CCCCCAGCCAAACCCCAACGCACCCCCAAACAAAACGCCCCTCCCCCCCCACCCCCGGAGATCCTCACCCTCTCGCGCGAAATCCGGACCTTGCCCGCCAAATGCCCCTCGGGCAAGGGCTACGACGCCGGCACGCCGATCCGCTGCCTCCACAAGGAGCCCGGGCGGTTCGTCTGCATGTCGCCGGTGGGGTGGGCGCGCCCGCACTGCCAGCGGGTGTTTCCGTCGCTGTGCCACCTCCGGCGGCATCATCGGGTGATCCACGGGCCCAAGACGCAGACCTGCGGGCGCTGCGGGCGGCATTTCTACGGGAAGCTTTCCTGGGAGTTGCATCTTTTCCGGGTGCATGGGCTTCCTTTGGGGGGGCCGGGGATTGAGGATTTGGAGGAGGGTGGGAAGGGGGTTAAGGTGGAGGTTGAGGATCCAGTCATTAAAGTGGAGGAGGAGGTGGAGGAGGAGGGGATGGGGGTCAGGATGGTGGTTGAGGAACCTGAATTGGAGGTTAAAGTGGAGGTTAAGGTGGAGGAAAAGAATGAGATGGGGCTTGAGGTTGTAGAGAAAGAGGAAGAGGAAGAGGGGGTGGACACTCTCGGGGTCCAGGTCCAGATGGAGGAGGATGAAGGGATGGAGGATGAAGAGATGGAGCTCGAGGAGGGAGAGATCCTGGAGGATGAGCTCGAAGAGGGCGAGATCCGCGAAGAGATGGATCTTGAAGAAGATGGGATTGTGTTCGAGGCGGAGCATGACGCGGTCCCGACCCTGAGGTCTTACCACCCGGTCTACGGATTCTATCGCCCGACGTTCAGTGACGAGACGCTTGACAAGGCCGAGGGTAAAGAGATCCAGCCGGTTTGGCCTTAGGCTTCGGCTTCGGCTGGGAGTCCTCCACCACCCATCATGTTTTTCCTATTTTTCTTCGTCAATAGTTTAAGTTAATTGAGTATTATCCAACTCTACAGATATTCCATGAAGAAGTGATATCGATGTACTGACCAATGTAAAACTAACTAGCGGAGTGACGCCTCACGTAAATACCCGCTATCGAAATGCTATACCACGTACCACGTACACTACTAACAACACTTCCTAAAGAAAATAACCTCTAAGCAGGCAGCACCCCCTGCGGGTTATGAAACACATCCCCCGGATCCACCGCCGCCTTGATCTGCCCCAACCGCTCCAAGTTCCCACCCCAGTACGACCGCCGCGGATCCTCCAGCCTCGGATCCACATAACCCGGATACACCCCGTCCCCAATCCCCGGGGTATTATTCCGGATGATCTCATTCACGCCATCCAAAAAGTCATATGTGGTCTGCGACACCTGACCCAAGGTCACCGCATACGACTGCATCCAGAACAGGGTATCCCGATGGGCGAACCCGGTCGCATCGTTGGGGACGTCGTTGATGGCGCCGCCTTCGAGATCGAAGATGACGAACCAGAGCAACGAGCCCGTGCTCGCCGTGTCCAGGTACTCAAAGAGCTGCTGCACGCCATCCTCGGAGATCTGCGTGTCCTGCTGGAAGGCCAGGCATCGCGCGTAGAAGTGCGCGGGGATGTCCCCCGTCAGATCCAGAATGCTCTGCTCGGCCCAGTGGGCGGTCAGGCCGAGCCAGTCGGTGAACACGATGGCGGAGGAGTTGCCGTCGGCGCCGGGGAACCGCGCCGCCAGGCCCAGGGCGTCGTATTCGGCCTGCGAGCCGAAGAAGGTGCCGGAGATGACCACCGACCCGGCCAGGATGGTGATGATGCTGGCGAGCTTGCGCGTGAGGTCCTCCTCCGTGATGAACGCCTGCCAGTCGCTGAACAGCTGCGCGCGCGAGCTCGCGCTCCCCAGCAGGTTGAACGTGTAGGTGTACTGCACCGCCTCGGTCGGGGCCGCCTCCGTGCGCAGGACGAACTCCGTCACCACGCCGAAGCTGGCCCCCGCCCCCTTGATGGCGAACAGCAGGTCTGGGTTTTCGGTGTCCGATGCGCGCACGATGCTCCCGTTCGCCAGCACCACCTCCGCTGATAGCACGTGGTCCAGCTCCATCCCCCATTGCCGCGCCGTCGGGCCCAGTCCCCCGATGGTCGCGTGGCCCCCGATCCCGATCTGCGGCGACGTGCCGTGCGCCACCGCCCGGTTGCCCGCGGAGACCAGGTGCGTGTCCAGTTCGCCGTTGAGCATGCCGGCGCCGACGGTGGCGCGCTGCGTGATCGCGTCGTAGGCGAAGGACTTCATGTTCTTGAGGTCGATGACGATGGCGCCGTTCGTGCCGCCCAGTCCTGGGTTTGGTCAGTGTTGTTGCTGATTAGGGGGAGGGGAGGGGAGGGAATACCGTAGTTGGCATAGCTGTGTCCTCCGCTCTTGGCTTGCACCTTGTATCCCAGTTGGTTGGCACACTGCACGATCTCGGAGACTTGGGTGCTGGAGGTCGGGAAGGTCACCGCAGCAGGAGTGACGGGGTAGTTGAGGTTGTAGACTTTCACCGCGAGGGTCTGGTACAGGAGATCGCCCTTGAAGGCGGCGAGCGTGCTGTCATTGTCGACGGCAGAGAGGATGCAAGACTTCAAACTGGTGGTGGCTGCCGCGCTTAGACCGAGAAGGCACAAGAGGCAGACCATGAGGGCCGGTGAGAAACCCATGTTGGTGGTGGTGGTTTGTTTGTTAGGGGAGAGACCCAAGGCAGCGCAGCGCACATTCCTGGGCGGAGGGGCCGGGAAGGGGTAAATAAATAAAAGCTGCGGTGGTGGGACGGGGCGGCCCTGTCCCACTCATTCCATCGCCCAAGAAGAATGTGTCACTCGGCTGATCTTTCATTGCTTCTTCAGGAAGTCAGCAGAGAACTGACTCGACAGGGTTTCCGGAGAGGGGGAAATCTTGGGATGGTTCGTCTAATTTGTCACTTTTACGAGCGATCGCGAGCGATCGGCGGGACCAGCAAATTAGGATTGGCCGTGCCTGGCGATCTATTGAATTCAAGGATCCACTCATCCAGGCCAGCCGCAATCAGCTTACCACACATGGTATGGAGAGTCTGGTTGTAGCTTATCTAGCGAACTCAGGTAGACACTAAGAAAAATTCAGCAGCTACCCGTGGTGGCCGGGGACCCGTCAAGGTCTGATTGTGTCGGGAAACCGGTCCTGGTGCGGAACACTTGGAAAGAGTGATTCCTGTATACCATGCACGGTACCATGTGCATCCGCTTGTATATATGGCCGGTCCAGTAGGGAAGTATCTTTGCAGCCTATACTTTGTCTTGCTTGGCCTACCGAAGTACGATGCCCGATAAAAGACACTTTCGGAAGCCCCGGAACGGTGATGCGTTGCTCAAGAGTGACCCGGACCAGTGTCTCTGTCGGATTTCTTCACCACCGCTTACCCTCTTGTAAGCCTTGCGCACTCGAATCGACTGATACATTAACACAAGACATATGACCATGGAGAATCATGAGCAAGAAGATAGATGACCAGAATTGATAATCTGAACTCCAGAACCATGGAATAGAACATCGTGCCGATGTCACCCGGCCTGCTATCCAAGGAACGCCCTGGTTGCACACCCCGGACCTGGACGGGACTCACATACTACCTACTACATTTCTAGGCTACCACGAAGCAGCCCAATCGAACAATCTCAATAGATGCACACAGCAACGCTACATCTAAGCCCCATTACTCTTGAAGCTGATCCACCCCCGGGTAAAAGTCTATCTTTCCCCCCTCCTGAATCACCCCGGTACGATCCAGACACGTGCGTCCTCTAACAAACGGATCCACCACCCAATACTGCTTGCGCCAGGCCGTGATAGCCTCCGTCCGCTGCACCGCCACACTCTCCGGCTCCGCCGCGCCCAGCCACTCCTCCGTCAACTCCAGCAGTTTAGAGGCCAGCTCCTCGCGCTCGGCCAGCAGCCGGTCGCGCGTGGCCGTCTCGGTCATCCGCTCGTTCTCGCCCGCCACGGGCTCCACGAACTCATACTCCCAGGCTTCCGGGCCGCCGACTTCCTTGAGGATCTTGTCCGGGACGAGAAACTGCTCCAGGTCGGCGACGGACCTGGTGAAGTGCACCTTGGAGACGATGACGGGGTCCATCCAGGATTTGACGATTTTCCAGATTCCTACTTGCATCAGCCCAAGCACTATCCCATTAAAGAGCTGCAAACAGGGAGCCGGGCCTCACCCGAAAAGATCCACGGAGCGTTGTGGATCAGCATAGTCCCCAGATACTCCGGGTAATTCTCCTGAAAGCAATCGATGACGAATCGCACGGGCGCAAATTCCTATTCTGCCTTCAGTATATTTTCCTCCCGGCCATCTACGGATGAGAAGGGGTGAGCTCACCATATTCGACACCGAAAACCCCGTCATGTCGAATAGGATTGTCTACACACCGAACCCGTCAGCCTCCCTTCCATATGACACACTCGATGAATATAGGGGAGAGGAGAACATACCGCCGTCTCGACGGGATCGACCAACGTCAAGCGCACCGTCTCAATCATATGCAGGATGAACCGGGTGATGACCGCCTCGCTCTGTTGTCCGGGTTGGTGCAGCCGCACGCGCACGAGCAGGACCGGCCGGCCCTGGCGATCCGTCCCGTGGACGATCGCCTTCCCCATGCGCATCTGGTTCAAGAACGCCTCGCTGTCCGTCGCGGTGGTCTTCACGGTCGTCGCCCCGATGGCGCCCGGGATGGAGGGGGTCTGCGGCGCTTGTGCGGTGGCCTCGTACAGGGCGTCCAGCTCGGTGGCGGCCAGGACCCGGGCGTCGATGTCCTGCGTGTGGCGGAAGTGGATCGCGCGGAGGAGCATCGCGGTCGCGGCGGGGACGGACCATTTGCGGGCGCGCAGGAAGCGGAGGAGGAGAGTATCTGGGGAGTCGTGTCTGGCGAGACTGAGGAGGCCGGCACGGAGGGAAGGGAGCGGGTGGCGAGGGAGAGTGTCGAGGATGGGTTGGAGGGTGTCGAGGGAAGGCAGGTGGTGGGCTGCGAGGGCGGAGGCTAGGCCGGCGGCTGTTGGGGCGGTGGTGCTTTCGGCGGTGGTGTCATCATTGTTGTTGATGAGGTAGAGGATGATGCTCCAGGTTTGATGGAGCTTGGTGGACTGGTCTGAGGTGAGGTTGTGGATGTAGCCGGTTGGTGGTTGGGAGGGGGGAGTGGGAGTGGGAGAAGGCATGGTGGGGTGAATAAGGATGAAGGGGAACGAGGGTGGAAGTTGTTTATGAAGAAGAGGGGGGACCGACTAACACTGGACTAGCCCAAGACCCCAACCCCGATCGACCGGGTCCTGGTGGGAGATCTCAAGGGGCGGCACTGCCCGGCCCGCGCTCCTCTGTGGGGAAGCCCCGAGCTGGCAATATCAGCTACAATTATGACAATGCCTAGCTCGATAATGAAGCCAGCTGGAAGTTTTTCATATTTTAAACCTCCCCAGGTTGTCTTTGTCATGATTCCTATAAATATGTTCAAGTCTTCTAATGGTGTCCGACTGGGGCAAAATCAAGGACCCAAACACCCACTCAAGCAGCCAAACATACACCCAACAATGAAATCCTTATCAGTACACTCCAACCTAGAAATCTTCAATCCATCTAGAATCATAGTAAGCTCCCACTATCAAGACACGCAAACCGCACAACCATCCACCTGCCAGCTGCCCACCGACGTTCCCAAGATAGTAATCCGCCGGACCAACAATAATCCGCGACTCCTCCCGCCCGCTCCTCCGCATCCCGGTCGCACCCGCACACCACATCAAATCCAGTCTACGCCTCGAACACACATCATCACCAATCCCAATTCTATACCTCCTATACGCCACATTCTCCCCTAAACCGAACCAGAGGCAAGGGAAATGGGCTTCATCGACTTCCTCAAAGAGATCCTCCGCCCGGGAAACGGGATCGACTACCCCCAGAAGGGCGACATGGTCACCGTCCACTACCACGGGTATCTGCATGATCCGACGCGGTCGTGGGGAAGGGGAAGGCGGTGAGTGCTGTCTCCCTTTGCGTTGCTTCGTACATTCGCTACGGGTTATCGCCGCCTGTATAGGAGACTACATACCGTCGATAACTCTGCAGGAAGCAGGAGTGCACTAACGAGATTACACTGTGGGGAGCAGGTTCGACAGCAGCATCAAGCGCGGATATCCCTTCACTTTCCAGATCGGGATGGGGACGGTAATCAAGGGTAAGTTACGGCCGTTTTCATCCCCACCTGGTGTATATCCACCGGAACTTTTGAAGAAGCTGATTTGGGATGGTAGGCTGGGAGGTCGGGGTGCTCGGGATGAGTCTGGGAGAGAAAGCGCTGCTGACGTTCGGACCGTATGTTTCCCCTTTCCTCTGGTACGGGCTGGGTGTGCTGATCACAGGAACAGGCAATATGGGTACGGGGAGAAGTACGCATCTGAATCCTGACTGGGCTGCTGAAAGATGAATGCTAATGTAGACGACCAGGGGCGCTCCGCCATTTATCCCCGGGAATGCGAATCTGGTCTTGTAAGTTTCCTCCAAGTCTGGGTGGACGATGCTAATTCTGCAGCACGGTGGAATTGTTGGCGATTAATGGACGGGGCCTGGATTCCAACAGTGATTCGGAGTGAAACGGCCCTTGTAGGCTTAGACGTGTGTATGATATGTTGGCTTTTACAGTCGAAGGAGAGGTCTATTGTCTCGTATACATGACCATGCACATTCGTGATATACACCTGGAAAAACTAATAATACAACTTCACCAAGCTCGGCGTCACCACATCCCACGACGTGAACGAGCAGTGGCCATACGGCTCATCCTCATCCGTCCGCTCCGCTGCCCACGGATACTCTGGGGTCGGCGTCGTCACCTGTGTCTCCGCCTCGCGCGGAATCTCCCCCCACATGACCGGTTTACCCGCCGCCCTATCGTCCCCCTCTGGCGGATGGCACGCTGCACTGATCGCCGCGCTACAGTGCGTTGCCAGCGGCATATGGGACTTGAAACGCCGCGCTCCCAGCGAGACCAGTAGCCCCAGAGCCAGGATTCCCACCCACATGGTGATGAACATTGCCATGGGTGAATAACAGCACCCCCGCGACGAGTTCCCCTCGTCCTCATCGCCGTACACGTCGTATGCCTTGATGTTGACGAAGAAGATACTCTGCGAGAGAAGCCAATGCAGCGTCGCGGATAGGATCATCAGCGGAAGGCTGTATCGGTAGCGGAGGCTGAGGTAGTAGGATGACTGCTGTTGGCCGCGGGGCCAAGAGACGCGCAGTGGCCGCCGGTGCAGTGCGTACTGGTCCCATTCCTCGGCAACAAGCATGCACGTCAGAAGACTATTGGAAAGGAAGTAGAGGATGGAGAGGACTATCTGGGGCGTGTTGGCGAGAAGGACGAGGGCGATCATGTTCGAGGAAATATACTGGATCATAGTGGTGGCGCTGGTCTGCGCGAAGCCGAGACTCATGGCCGTGCTGAAGCCTTCGGTTTGGCGTATAGCGTAGGTGGTTAGCCAGATGGCTGTGACTATGCAAGCGATAAAGCTGATGCGGGGGTTAGTTCTTGCAGCGAATCTGTTGAGGTCGAGAGGTAAGGGCCCTACAATAGAAGAACCAGCGTCCAACGTCGCCAGCTGACCGCCTGGTACCATCTTTTACGCGGGGGAAGAATGCTGGGGTAGACTTTGGTGTCTTTTGTGGTAATCGTCGACGAGAGATTGTCCAGCGAGTGTGAGGTTGGGCTCGGAGCTCTTCGTTGTAGCGTGTATCCTTTCCATGAACCGATAACAATGCCAGGGAGGGTCCAAGCTTGCGGCCCCCGAGTCATTTGCGAGCGGGAGAGCAGACATCGGCCACGGGTAGTCGGATCCGGCCGGGTGAGAAATGAGGCCACCGCATCACCTACTCTTAACATGAGGTCCGTGCGCTTGACCCGGGCAGTCAGCAGCATACAGACGACTTTGATGATATTGCATACAATGACGACAATCGCAATTGGGGGACTGAAGAACAGCTGACAACGTTGCTCCTCCTCTTTAATCAGGCAGTGTGATACAGGGACCTCTCGCGCGCCTGTCTGATCGATGGTATAGAAATCAGACATAGACCCGGTACTTAGCAGTTCAAAGGTCACAGCAGCTGCCCAGGAGCTGTTCTTCCAGTGAGAAGGGGTGTCCAAGTACGCGCGCAGAGCTTCGTAGGACGGATTGTAGGCATAATTGTACTCGGCAAGAGTGTACAAGTCAGCACTCAGGCTAGCATTACCACTCAGGACCATGTCTTCGTAGGCAGGCCCCACGAGATTGATATAAGAGACACTTGCATCTAGGGGATCAGGAACCGAATAGTTCCAAACGCGATAACTCCAGTACTCGCTGGTCAGCGTCAAATTGCTTGCATTTGGAGGCGAATTGTCATTCAAACCCTGCATGATCTCATACACCGATGCATATCTCTCAAGACCTCCAAGCTGAAGACTGCTAGTGTTGTGAAAGTGTTGTCGACCTGCGACATAGATCAGTGTACCATACTCCGTATTGTACTCGACATTGTATCTGGTGGTGCAATCCTTCGCCGTCGCATTGACAAAGGTCCCGTTGAAAATTTGCGTTCGAACGACATCTGCCTCGGACCCAACCTCAGACAGAAACGAGTCACGACTGGTAGTGTCGTTACCAATCAAAGTCTCAGTCGGCGACAGATCATCTGGTATCATAAAAATTCCATAGTCGAGGGTCGAAATCGATGAGAAAATGACGGAGTTGTAAATCATATGGATTGGCGTCGAGCTGATCAAAAGCAGCAGCCATAAGATTTTGCGGCGTCGGTCCATGACCGCAAAGTTGCGAAAGCTGAACGTGCCAACGTCGAGCCATCGCGACTTAGCATGAGCCCGATCGAGGTCAGTCCGGGACGGTGCCCCCAGGCATTGCATCACGTAGTTGCTAGCCCCGAGAAGAATCGTGCTCAATACGTTGATGATCACGTGTAGCCCTGTCGCCCAATGGCTAGAGCGCGAACACTGTCCACTATACAACTCTGCCATCTGGAATTGACCTCGATTTGTTTTCCATTGGCCACGGTACGCAATGATCGTTGCTACGAGCAGCATGATGATGTTGACGATTAGGATGGTGCCTGTAATCCAGGTACATATCAGCGCGCCTCTAATCCACTCACTCCCTTCCTCGGCCTTGGCCAACAGTTTGAATCGAGATGAGAGGTGTGCCCATCGTCCTTTTCTGCCGTGAGTCTCATCGGGAATGCTCGAATAGCGGAACTGCTCGCGCCAAGCAGATGGTGGGCGGGACCCCTCCACGGTCACGTGTACCGGATCGCTGTCTACACCCATGGTGTTGGAATCCAAGGCATTGGGGAAGTTTTTTTTCGATGCGTAGCACGCTGGAAGGGGAACAAAAACAACAAGCGGCGAAGAAATTTTGGATGCACACATATTGGTGGCCAGGGGCTTTTAGACCCTGCGGCCGGGTCCGTTAGTACGCCTGCTAAATATGGGGACTGGGTCAGAGCGGAAAGTGATTGCTTCAGCCTCGTGGTTAACACCACTTAGCGTCGGACTAGCAGGCCATCGCTCCACTTGGCGTGCTAGCACCGCAGAGTCGTTGAGACACCCCCTTTCCTTCTATCAGCGCTGGACCGCAGTCAGGCTGTAGATGCCTTGGCAGTGGCAGCAGGATTTTTTCACTGGTCAATGGATCCCGGAACGAAGATCCTTCATCATGATGTGGTCAATGGCACCCGATCGGCACTTGAAGGATGAGGATTAAATGAATACGAGAGGCATGGCTTCGTCGGCGGCTCCTTCGCCACCAACGCCGTTAGCTTTGGACGTGGGATGCCTGTACCTGTCAAATCGTCTTCAAGAAGCGAGAGCATCGCCCCATAGGTGAAATTGGACGGATGACGCACGGACAAGGGCCGTTCCTGCGCGTCTGACAGGGTACAGTATAATACCAAGCTCAATTAAGGTCATGCTGTTGTCTCAGATCGATTGTGAAACCGAATCGCCTGCAATTCAAGCAGTCTCCATCAATCGAAATCCTTTCGTTTGGCCTGAGTAAGGTGCAGCATCACCGCGGAAGGATGCTAAATTGATATGATAGTTCGACTCACACTCCGAAACGGGCTTTCTCTGATGGACTCGCGATGATGTCGACGGATGCATGTTTTGGATTCGCTCATTTGCCCTGTGCAAGACCTCCTTTCATCTCGGCCATACGCATTGCGCGGTAGGTTCATATGCTTTGCTCATGGTCGATTGCGATTAGCGTGCGTACCAGAGAATCATCTAGCCACTCGAAAGACAGACAAAGTGTAACATCGGGCAGAGCGGCCATCGCATGAGAATAGATCTACGTAGCGCAGTCAGTGCACTGCCCCACATCACTACCCCGGACACGACACCTACCTGGAAGAGGCTCGATATATCTCGTCTTGAATCATTTCGTGTGATCGTTTTCGAAACGGCAGATGGAGCCTTGTCCTGGCCCTCTGCTGTTTTGGGTTGGTTCCGTCGCTAATCACCAGTCCATGCCACTAGCAAACTTGAGTCTCTACAATGACTTATGACGGTCGCATAGACTAGAAACCGAATAAGTAAGAAAAGAGGATGAGTTAATCCTAGCGATGGGTGTAAATTTGTAATATTATAGAGTGTGGCAGTAACGACGCAACTAGTCAGATTTGCTCGTCGTCCAGCCGCGGTCGCAATTCCCTAAGTTCTGCACAGTAGATTTCTTTACCACCTTAGACGACTCGAGCGCCAGGCATCGACAGTAAAAAACTGGTTCTGTGTAGACCTGCACTGTAACAAAAAATCAGTCTTCCGGGAACGGCTGAAGCGGTCGTATTGCAAGGTAATTGCTTTGCAACTGTACGGTACCCTCAAATATTGTAAAACGAGACTAGTCTTACAAAACAACATCGGTAGGTAGGTCTGAGCTTCGAATCGAATAAGAGTCGAAGCTTACTGCATCCGCGCAGCATTGCAGGCTTGTGCTTGCGCAGCCCGGCAAGTTGATTTCAGGATGTAAGCCTTGCGTTACGCCTGGCGTGTTCCTTCCATGTGGTGTCCCGGACTTGGTATCGGTCTTCCAGTTCTATCGTTCGACGATCGAACCTCTAGAAGGCAGTGCTTGGACATATAGTCGAGAAGATAATTGCCGACCGATCGGTTCTTTCCCCGAAAGGTGGCTCGATTGATAGCTCCGAAATCAGGTACGCGGTCGGAGCGCAATCTATCGTAACCAAGCAGAACTCTCAGCAGGGGAACTTCTGATCAAGGTTACAGGATACTCACCAACTCTGCTCTGTTCCCTCAGCAGAAACCAATTTAGAGCTGGATCTGCGCAAGAACTGAGGTGTGAAACGGGCATGACGTCGACCGATACTGACGAGACCATGAGCGCAACCAGCTCTACTCTATCCTCACAGCATCAGCTGTACGGAGTCGAGCGTCAGCAGTGGTTTCGCACGTGATCGGATTCCGACCGCGCGATAGAACCTGTTGCATTGGTACGCGAGACGCCCGCGATTCGTCGTGGAGGTGACAGCGTGTTATCGCCTACCAGGGGTAACTTTCTGTGGCGCAATCATTGCCGGAGTAAGCATCTGCTCATTATGAAACGAACCATGGGAGTCGTGTTGACATTTACACGGACTGGTAACTGGAACCGGCGGGAGAATGCGATCGGGGTCTTCGGCTCGCCCCGCGACTCTCGTAAAGTGAAACCGGAGGCGGCGTTGGCGTTTGCGATTGCGATATGCATCATAGCGGATAAAGAATGCCCAGGATCGTTCACATTTCAAAGTGAAAGTGCCGCTTGTCATGGAATCATAATGTCCGGGTTCGAGATTGTCAATGAGATTGAAGATGGATGTTGTGCTTGATGCGGAGAAAGAGGGGAAGAGATGGGGAACAGAAGTGAGGGGGATTCACCACTGCTGGGATACAGTACAAACGGAAAGTACTGCACAAAAGGCCGCGAGTCTTTCCGCAGTCGACTATCTCCACCTCTCGGCAATCTTCACATCCGCTCCAGCACAGCTGCATATGGCACAGCAACGGAGCCACCTACGTGTTACAATCTCCTCGATGTCGAACTTGCAGTTATTCAGTAGCGCAGACCATCATGAAGCATACTCGAACTGGTCTTTGAGGGCCCTGTTCACCCGTACCTAGTCGAGGTACTAACCTCCAAGTTACACACACTGCAACCTACTATCTCCAGCCGGCTAGACTTCAGATACTAAAGAACAATTCTCAACCACAGCAATCATATTGCAGCAACACTAAGCTCAATTTTCAGAGGCAAGCCCCTAACACAATCAACAAAGCACAATCTCAATCAGTGACAGCATTCGCTCATTCTCGTCTTCGTTTCCAGTGATCTCATCCCGTTGAAGCCCAGGCGTCCGACATCCCAAAGGACCTCCAACCACCCAAGCCGCATTCTCGCTTCACATCCCCCAGAGTCCCGTTTAAACATACTCGACGGTGACGGAGCTGCTGGAGGTGGAGACAGAGGTGAGAACCTTGTTGTTCTGCTCGATGTCGATGAGCGTGGCGCCGGAGGGCCCAACGGTGGAGCCGCTCTTGGTGGCGTAGGCGCTGGAGAAGGTGACGGTGCCGAAGTCGGCGAAGGGGACGAGAGAAGAGTTCTCCTCGAAGTCCTCGACGATCCACTCGGCGTTGTACCTGTGACAGAGAGTTAGTGATCACGGCTTCTGCACGGAAAACAAGTTGGGGGGAAAGGAAGAGAACATACTCGCAGAGATCGCCATCAACACCACCGCTGAAGGTGTGCGTGACGGTTTTGCCCTTGGTGACGTTCTCGACGGTGGCGGTACCGGCGGTCTTGCTGGTGGCATCGACGGTGACCTTGACGACGTCGCCGGCGGAGAAGCTGATGCCGCTGAAGTCGTAGGCGTAGTCGGGGTACCACTCGTACCAGGCGTCGTAGCTGACGGTGCTGCCCTCGATACAGAAGTCGAGACCGGTCTGCAGGATGGCGGTGCCGCAGGTGTCACCGTCGATACCGACCCAGGCGGAGGCACAGTACTGCTCGCGGCTGGAGGCGCCAGAGGGCAGGGAGGGGGTGGGAATGGTGAATTCGGCGGTGACGGCCGTGTAGCCGGTGCCGATGAGCACAGCGCCGGCCCAGTTGGACGAGTACTCGACGTTCTTGGAGCCGGTCAGGTTGATCGCCTCGCTGGTGCCAGGCTTGAGAGGGCGGTTGCTCTTACGGCTGCCGGCACGCTTGGCAGCGGCGCGCTTCTCGGTGAGAGGAGCAGCAATGGCAGCGGTGGCCAGAAGGCCAGCGGTCAAGAGAGCAGAGGTCTTCATCTTGTTGGATGGTTGGGGATGATGAGATCGAGAGAAGAGCGGAAGTCAGCGAGATTGGGCTTTGAAGACGAAGGATGCTTGCTGATGGAAAAGGCATGAGCTTGAGGGGATTTCAGGGCATCTTTATATCTTTCTCTTGTCCCCTGGCCGCGTATCATGCGGTTTAAGCCAAGACAACTACAGACAGGACTCCGACGTATCTCGCTGCAAAGCAATTTGGAGGTGATAAGGCCGTACAGGCTGAAATAACGCGCACGTTCCTATCACAGGGCAAGCACTAAAATTGAAGCAGATAGTGGCTGACGAGCCAAGACGCTTGAAGCAACGGGTTAATGAGGGCTCAATCACTCCTCCCGCTTGGCCTATGCTTGGTGGTGGTGGCAGACATTGGCATCCTCGGCGAAAGCTTCAGTCGACTCAACATTATGGATTAGACAGTCCATTGCTCTCAGGGACCAAATGGATCAGCAATTCAAGCTCATGATGTGCGAACACGATCGTCCTACTACTGTGTAGAAGCTCGGAGGGTGAATCTGAAGAGGAGATCAAACGCTTCAGAGGACCCCCATCTCCTGACTATCAGTTGAGTTACTCCGCTTTTCCCCTACCAGGCCGCCTATTAGCCTGAGTGCGCTAGTCTGCATCAGGAAATTCGATGCTCTGATCAGTCTTTACATCTGCACCCTCGGCCTCATGATAAGGCAGGGTCTGCCCATTGCTCTCGGAGCTAATGCCTGCTTGCTTGATGACTGACCCTGTTGGGGTAGGTTGTGCGCTGATTGATGGGGAATATCCACAAATACTACGGCGTAGTATCTCGTGCCCTCCCAGCAAGGCCTATCGTCCCTCACGTACATACTACCTTTCCCTACGTCTGATAACCTTGACATTTAGGTTATGCACCCCTCGTTCTGCCCGCACCTGCAGAACCATCTCCAGCCGCCGGTGCTCAGGGCGGGCCTCCGATGGAGGGCGCATGAAGACAATTCTCCCATTGGACTGGCGGCCCGTGTCTGACGTTGCCTCAGAAAATTCGCAGTCCTTGCAACTCTCCAGATAGCCCTTCTCCTATTGCTGTGAAGAATTTCAGAATCAGAGCTACGCAGTGAGTGAACGGCACTATAGCTAGCAGGCCGAAGTCGGGGGACTAACCCAGGGCAGGCCAAAACCCCGCGGCCGGACGACCGACGGGATCTCCGCCATCCTTGCCGCCCGCCCCGCTCTTCCCCCTCCATCATCCACCTCTCCTCAGTCGGCCTCGCTGCTTGATTGTCCAACAATGGCTGTCGCCAAGAAACGATCTTCGTCACATCGCCGTCCTTATCAGCGCTGACCTCCGACGTTAATATAACTTAATTGCACCTGAAATTGGAGTCCTTCAGGCCGGGCTGGTTGAGGATGGTGGCAGGTACTCACCTGCTTCAACGCAGATTGTTGGGTAGAGCATATCATCTGGACGCCTGTTCTTCAGAGTGCGCATGGCATTGTGGGCTCTTGATACGTTACAGAAAATGTATACACTCGGATCTTACAATTGTTTTGGGCGGCAAACAATCAGATACCACCCCATCAATCCTGCCAGCTAGTAAAGCATTGCGTAAGGGGGCGCCAACTAAAATTGGCCTCGATACCACTTCGCTTAGTCCAATCCCTGTTCACCTACGATCTAGTCGCGTTGGAGCTAACACAGGCTTTGAATTGTTCGTCGCTAGGCGCTCTGTAGACGTCGCTTAATTTAGTGCCTGAACCGATGACGTAGCTGGCGCATGGCTCGGGGATAGATGGTAGTTCCACGCCGTAAGGGACGAGTCGGTCTTCATCAAAACAACAACCCTCCGCTCCGAGCAGGGCCAACTCAACCACGGGTGGTATTGAGTAGTTCAATGGCCGGTCGAGACACGGTGTCTACCCTCTCTAGCTGGCTCGATTACATTATGTCGAAAATATTTCGGATATTCTAGAGAAATGTATTATTTTTACACTCAGATCTTTACGCTTGATTGGGGAACCCACAAAACTCTCCTTTTATATAGATGCAGTTGAGCATCCTTGACTTTCTGTATCTTAACTTCCCATCACTGAGTAGGGTTCTCAGCAAGTTTAACCTAGCTATTCAGGGAGAGTAAGAGGTATTTAATGGTTGCTAGAGGCAGAGGTTCCGCTAACCTGAACTCGCGTCGGAGACAGCCTTACGCAACGGAGCTAGCCGTTCACTCACGAAATCGAGGAAATACCTGACCCACGACACCCACTGTCATAGCCCTTCATTGTAAAACTTCCTTGGAGGCCAATTTCGTCTTGTTTCTAGGTAGGCGTAGACCAGGCTCGGGTTCATGCCGCAGATCGGATTTAGGACTCCCCAGCAGCAAAGTCACGTTCCATTTTGTTGGAAACCAGCAGGTCAATTTGAAAAGAACCCCCAGCCTTGGAAGCATGCGATGTATCATTACATACGTAAGTTGTTCTAGAATATCCGCAGAATCCCATACTCCCATGCCAGAAAAGGGTCTAGGCAGATCTGGAATCTTCCGTTCTCCACGCACTCCGTACGGTACAGTACTATGCAGGACCCATATGATGCAATATCTTGCAGCAAGCAGTCATACCCGATACATAATCAAACCGGACCATTTTGTATGAGCGGCCTTGCATACCTGGATTGGAGATATGGGCCCATAGCGACTTTCCATGACCGTCTCCAGTTCAAGTTCACCTGTACCCCTTTCTCTATAGGTAAGACACAACGCTCTTCCGCGAATACTCATCCTAAGCTACTCCAGTATAATAATCCCGGTAGATCTCGTATTAAGTAATCAGCGCCACTGTTTACTACACTCCGTGAGGTCCCCATGGAGTAACAACATTGCCCCCGATTCATTCTAATCTTCTGCATCTCGCGCGAAAATCACCCTCCCATATTGGAGATTACTGTCATGGGACTGTGTAGGTAGACGGCTAGAGTTTTTACACCTTGGGAAATAGCGACAAGGGGCGAAGTTCTATGGGATTCGTTGTCTATGGTATTTACAGTCTCCTGCCTGGCCAGCTACACTACGACTCCGTCAACATTTATCGTCTCCGAGAATTGTCAATTAAACAAGTATGTCCAGAGAGTCCCCCTAGAAAGAGATTTCTCTTACTTGAATATAAATGTTCAAGGTATAAGTTCAAGATAGTAGCCCTCGATCAACAAGCGAAGTTCCAAGCAAGTTGTAAATTGGCTGGCCAAGCAGGAGGAACCTATGTGGTGATCACGTGACATGTGGATGAGTTGACCATGGTCCACCTCGACTGCTACAGGCAGTCCAGTTTTCGAGTAGTGAATTGCTGGCTGTATTGAGACTATCTTGATCTTATTCATTCTTTTGGTCGTGTAATTTGTCAAACTCAGAAGCTACAGTCTCTACTAAGAGTGCACTGTGAGCATTTTGGGACCACCTGGATATACATATGGGTGGACCCATCCAAATCACCATCTCAGAATCAACTCCAACAACCAATCCTTAGGACTGCGAAAGTACCCAAGGTTTCATGAGATGGAAATATGAATGATATCTTGAATTTTCATTATTTGGTTGGTTGGTTGAACCAGCTGAGATTTGAAGATGGGCAACTCGCTTGGTGAATTGCCTCAAATCTCATGACCTAACATTTAGAAACACCGACCAAAAGTAGAACACGCAAATACTCATAGAATAACGAATGCTTTTGATTCCAGTCCCTAGGCCATTTTGAAATGGAATTACGAGTAGCCTGCGGGCAAAGCAGAGCGGGCGACGGAGGACCAACACACCCGAGTCGTACCGCTTGCTACCTGCCAGCCCCACCAGATTGAAGGAGAGACGTGTCTATTGTACCTCTATAACTCTACACAACACCCGAAACATCAGACGAGAACCCGCCCCCGGAACCACTTCCCCGAGCTTACTTCCCCCTTTTCCCCTCCAGATCCACGGGGAATTTCTCCCGAATCGTCTTGCCATACCGGTTGAACAGAATCGGCACCGGCACAAACGCCAGCGCAATGAACCCGAGCAACGAATTGCCCCACCCCAGCCCGAGGGCATCGAACATGGCCGGGCCCGCGAGGGGCAGGAGGGCGCCGACGAGCGACCGCGTGGCCGTGAGGGCCGCGTTGGCCGACGCCGCGTACGCCGGGTAGCAGTCGATAACGTAGGTCTGGATGGGCATGTAGATGCCCATCATGCCGATCCCGAAAGGGGCCATGCCGATGATCGGCACGATCCAGTGCACTTTGTACTTGGCGGACCAGCCGTACCAGAAAAAGCTGATGGGCAGGATACAGCTGAAGAAGATCATGGTCACCAGCCGCATTTCGGGCTCGAACTTGCCCCCGTTGCGCGCGGTCAGCTTGGCGACGATGCGGTCGCTCGAGAAGGCGATCAAGGCGAGTCCCGTCATGAAGCCGATGCCGATCCCCAGGTAGGCGAGTCCGGAGATGCCCGTCGACCAGCCGTAATCCTCCTGGAAGACGGAGGAGATGGTCGTGAAGAAGAGGTAGAGCAGGCCGTAGACGAAGGCCATGTAGACGGACAGCAGTAGGACGATGGGGGACTTGAAGAGGAGAAGGAAGGGGCGGCTGAGGCCGAGTTTCATAGCCTCGCTGAGACGGGGCCCGCCCTGGCTGCTGGATTTGTCGTACGCGCTGCGCAGGTCGCTCCGGTTGAGTTCCTTGGCGAGCTTTTCCGTCTTCCAGCGGATCAGGACAGGGGCGTAGGTCTCCCGGTTGAGAACTTCGATACCTGCGGATATGCACCCGCTGGCGATGAGCAGGATCCAGAACACCCAGCGCCACCCGATGGTTTCGCCGATGAAACCGCCGGCGATGGGCCCGGCGACGGGACCGATCAGAGGGCCGAGCGCCCAGATGGAAGTGGCCATGCCGCGTTGTTCGGTGGGGAAAAGGTCGGCGATGACACCGGCGCCGAGCGTGAGACTGCCGACACCGCCCATACCGGCAAGAAGGCGGAAGACAATCAGAGCGGAGATATTGGGCGCGAGGGCGCAGCCGATCTGCCATACCACAAAGAACCAGTTGGCGCAGCTGAGCACGATGCGACGACCGTAGATCTCACTAAGAGGGGCGAGGAAAAGGGGTCCAATCTAGTGCAAGGTATTCATTAGATTAGCTATGAAGGATAAGTCACCGGGGAAAACGTACCGTATATCCCAGCAAGAAGATAGTAACACTAAATGACAGAAGGTATTCGTTGGATACCCCAAAGTCTTTGCCCACGTAGCCCACCGCTGGAGAGAACATACTCGATGCGAGGGGTGAGATAAAGGTGATGGAGCTGATCAGGGCGAGCAAGCCCCATTTGCGCCCACTGGCGAAATTCTGTGGATTGTGAGGATCATCCTGCCCATCCCATCCCACAATGCCTCGACTGAGGTCGGTTTCGGGAAACAGTGGACGTGTTGGTGTAGCGGTAGCCGGAGCAGTTGTATCTTCTGTTAGGGTGGGTTGGTCGTTGGATGTGCCCGAGTATGCAGATTTCTCCGAGAAGCGCCGTTGGCTTTCCACGTCCTCCATTGCCCGCCTAGTGAGTTTCCGCCAATCGGAGAATTAGTCGTGCTAAATATTAGAGTGTAGAAAAGAGGACGATCGCTGTGGGAGATGAAGAAAAGGTTAACGAGCGGATAAAGTAAGGTGATGTAGACGAGACTACAACGGTATTAAATATATATTAGAAAGAGAAATTTTGGCGGGTACAAGATAAAGACTGCAAAATGCAAGGTAAGAGCGATGCTTAAAGATTATAAATGGGGCTGTTGATGATGGGATTGGGGCTAAAGTGTGCTGGCAGCATAAAGGTATGCATAAACCAGGATGCTGTCGGCGGTTTCGGCTGCATATTGACCTTGTGCATAGGCACAAGTTATTGTGCTGAAGGTCACAGCGGACACTCTTGAAGGGTGATTGGTTTGACCGGGCGAAGGATTGCAGAATCAAAGCAAGCCAGCAGCAGAGCGGGGATAGGCGTTAAGCGTCAAGGTTCTTGGGCGGATGAATTCTGATTTGAGGGCAATCCCGGGGAGGAAGCGCTGATTCAGTGCTAGGATTGTGGCCCATGGTCTGGGCAGCTTCAACTTGGAACTTATGATTGAACCCGGGCCACACTGAGTCAGTGGCCCACTTTCGGCATTTGATTTGACCAATCCGATTTGTCGCGCTGCTCTTGTGTTGTGGCCTAGCCACCGAACGTTTCTCGTGTTGCTGAAGCTGATCTCTTCCCGGCATGGAAGCAAGATGCATTAGGAGCTGGAAAATGTCCAACCAACCCTGCAAAGCGTTTGGTTATGCTTGCTGACAATGATGACAGAAATCGGCACGATATCCGACCGCACGTGGATGGAGCCGGCTGTCGCACCATCCCCTTGCTTAGAACTTACACATGTGCTAACTTACATGGTTCTCAAGATGAGTGAGTCTCTCGATGATTGCACGATGGTTCAAAATAGACATTTCTTCACGTGAAGCTCTTACCACAGACTCATGGTTTTACAACAACCGACTTGTGTTGGAGGCATGGAGTGTTGACTCAGCGGGAAGCCTTGGGCATCCCCCGCTCTCACCACGCCCCGACCCCTGTCAACAGGTGTCACAAGACAACCACCCCACTTGACTTGAACAAAGAGCCTTCAGGACATTCTTCAACCATGCAACCTGGGACTTTGTTGTGTTTACCTATGCAGTATGCAGCCGCATTCATGGCTACCCCTCACCGCACTACTTCCGTCCTCAAATCGGCCGGCCAACCCGGTGAATCCACTCCGTTACCCCGCGTCCCCACATTATACCCAAGCGCCACGGCCGCCCCCTCGAACTGCGCAACGGGCTTTACTACCCTGAAATTCGCGTCAATGGCACCTGAGTGACGAGTCTCAAAGAACTCCGGGCGAAACAGTGTCTGTGCGTTGTGCTGATGCAGCAGCTTCATCATCTCCGGCAGTAGGTAAGGCATGGCGTGGTAGTGGCGGAAGACGGGCGAGTCGTGGCGTGTCCACAGCTCGGACCAGACCTCCTGGTCGTAGGTGCCGCACGAGCGGACCAGCCATTGCGAGTAGTAGTTGAGAGAGACCTGTACACGATACAGCTGATTAGCTGGAGCTCTTCCAATGGGAAAGTGGGGGGGAAGAGCCCTACATCAATACCATAGCTGCCTCCGTGGTCTGCTCTTCTCACCAGTGCTTCAAGGATGGCGGCCACTCCCGCAACGCCAGTACTGTATGGCATCCAGAGCGGTCAGCTGAAAACAGCTACTAGGTAGAACTCAAGGCCGACCGAGCGAACTCACCAATAATCCGAGTTAGGGAAGACTGGAGTTACAGGTTCATCCAAGCCCATCGCCTGCCCAAAGCTCATCGATACACCACAACACTATTGCAAGATTGCAAGTTAGCCGAGGGAGAGAAAGAAGTACTGGGTAGGCGTGCCCACCGCATCACTAATCTGCTGCCACCCACTCCGGTGGCTCCAAGGCCCATGCCACCCATAACAGTTCTCGCGCACATGTAGGATCCCATACGATCGATCTTTCACCAGATCGAAAGCGTCCCGCCGACTGAACCCCAGACGATCCATCACGCCGGGCCGATACCCGTCCACGACGACGTCCGCCTCGCGGATCAACTGCCGCAGTCGCTCCCGGTCGGCTTCCTCCTTCAGGTGGAGCGAGCAGTTCCATTTCCCCCAATTGAGGTCGGGGTGCAGCACAGACATATCGGTGATATGAGGCGAGGTGACCCGCATGACGCTCGCGCCAAGCTCGGCCAACCCCCGGGTGATGGAAGGGGCGGCAATCACTCGAGTCAGATCTACAACCTTGAGGCCGGCGAGCGGTCGCTTGAGTGATGAGGGCAGGCTGGGCTGCTCAGGCCACCAGGACGGGGGCTGGGTGGCGTTCACATCCTTCTCGATCTCATATAACCCTACGTGGCTGTTCTGGCGACCATGCTCCGAGGCGAAATACTCGTCCGAGGTCCATGCGACCGTGCCGGCCTGACGGAACTGTTCGTTCATTAGGTGGTCCAGCGTGGCGGAGTCGTGCCGGGAGACTGCTCCTTGGATGCGCTCGACGGCTGACTTGTAAGTATCTTCTGCGGGTCCCTCGAGGGAGAGGCCCAGCGCTGTCAGGGTTGGCTCGGGGTTCATGCTGCCTGCATGCTGTGTCAATTCGATGACTCCCTCTGTTTATGGCAATGAACTTTAGAGGGACACCACCTACCATGCACATGGTAGAATCGACCATCCTTGGTCTTGTAGATATTGGTTGCGAGACGCCGATGATCGCCATCGGTCGCGCGATGTTTGTCCTGCTCGGGAAACAGCTGGGCCACGCTGGGGCCGAAAAGGTTGATTGGTTTTGGCTTGCCGTCGGAATCAACTATCTGTGCAAGTAACGGACTCATAAAATACAGCGACGCATGGTCTCTACGACACCACACATTGTCAGCTAGATGCAGAGCCTGCGTTTCAGCTAGGTGTGGACTCACGTGTCGATGGTGACTCTGACCGGGTCAACCCGATACTTTCGTGTCACCAAGTAATTGACCATGGTCGCTTCGAACGCCTTCAGCGCGGAGATACTCTCTGCAAATCTCCAATTGATGGGGATGCTGGGCTGTGCGGTGCCCTCGAACTGCACATATCCACCTAGCTTCGGCAGCTCTGGGGGAAGATGGCTGAAAAGTGGATTGTTCAGGATGCCAGTCTCGAAGACCTGCTTCGATTCCTGGGGGACCGAGTAGGTGGATGCTGATGGCATTTTGCCTGTTGGGGTTTTCGGTCAAAGCAAGTATATCGGTCGGCAATCGGAAAATCGAAAACAACACACTGGGGGGGTCGACGCGGGTTATGAAGGGAACCTTACGCTTATCATGCTTGACCTCCACATGAGCCCATTCTACGAGAAATCAACTACACCCTTGTCTCGACCCCACCTTTCTACATCAGCCTGCTCGGTCGCACAGCATACGATGGTTGCGTGGTGGGTGCAGCAGCCTGGCGGTCAGTCTCCGATCGGCGGACACGCAACCCCTCAGGACTGATCGACAGTGTGACCCACTGCGGTTATGACGGGGTTGCGTGGATAGTTTTGTGCTTATACAGACTTAGCTGGACATTATTTGCCAACAAGGCACAGTATCACTCGTCGTGAAAGGAGGTCATAATAAGGTTGGTGGCAACTGTCTACATTGCAGGTCGAGATCTTGGCTCCAGCCCCATCCACACACCACTTTAGAACTGCGCAGAAACGGACAAAAGCCTGGTTAAAGTATACGCAAGGTACAATCTCTGAGATTACTAAAGGTGAAAGATGTAATAGATAATATTTTTCTTCACAGCAAAACAGTCTAAAATCAATGAAATGCCTGTTCAAGATAGAAAAGGGATGTTCCATCCGGCGATATCCGACCAACCACCTAGAGCTCGACCTTCTCAGAAGCTTTGCGCTCTTCCCAGCGGTTGAGGATATCCTGGATACTCAAATCAATCGTCAGCTCAGCCTCATCCTCGCCACTATTCACATTCAGTGACAACTCGAACGCCCAGCCGCCGGGTGGCGTGAGCTGGACGAACCGCTCCCGAAACTGCCGGGGCAGGACTTTCTGAAACTTTGCACCATAGTCCTTGACCTTGCGCAAAACAGCCACCACATCCGGAGAAAGGAAGACCTCCTCGAGAAGGTAGTGCTCAATTTTCTGCAACATGTCTGCGGGAGTGGTGGTGTCTTCCTCCTCACCGAAGTGCATCACATGGCCGACCACCTGCTCCAACTTGGGCAGGAGGGCGCGAATGTCCGGCACGAGGCCATCGACGGCGCGCTGGAGGAGACCCACCGTGAGCTCGAGATCGTTCAGGTCCTCCATAGTGGCCTCCTCCAGAAACTCTTCAACCAGAATCGCGGCGAGCCCCTTGCCAAACATGAGATCGCAGACTTCCTCAATCTCCGCGAAATGGTCCTCCGCGCGGCCAGGAAGGAGCGCCAAGAGCTCCAGGACAACATCGTTCATCAGACGCTCGACGTTCGTCACGAGGTCGACGCCGAGAGCGTACGCCTCCGGCTCGGGCTTCAGCACCATGATGCTGCCTTGCTCGCGCAGGTATTCCTGCATGACGTTGTCCAGCAGAATGGTGTCGAAAGCCGCGGAGTGCGGGTTCCACATGGCGTAGGCGTGATACGCCTCGAGCTCCGCACCGGGTTCAGTACGGTTGGGTATTCCCATTCCAATCACCGTGAGGGCGAAGAGAAGGGGATAGACGAACATGACAGTGATTCGAGACATTGTCGCAGAGTTAGACAAGGGTAGTAGGGCTTGGGTGGATAAGATGCACACCGTGACTAGTGTCCGTCGGTTCTGGTAATGGTAGACTTGACCTTGACGAATGAGCCAATGATGTTGTTGGGAGTATAAAATGATCGGCAACGGCTGTGGCTTTATACCCGTTGACATTGGCATTGTTTGTTTCATGAAAGATCGACGACCACCACTTTAGCGTAGAATCTTGGGAACACTAGAACAGGGAGTCTTTATGAATGCCAGGTCTCAGGCAAGTCTTTCAGCATCCTTGGATAGATAGGTTCGATTTCCTTGCAAGAGCTTAACCTTACAACAAAAGATTGTTTGAGTTGGTACAAGCTTTTGAGTTAAGTTATGTCTGTGCTTGATTATTTTTCCTTTCTTCAAAGAAGCACGCTCAGAGCCTTAGCAGTAATAGTCTATAGATACTTATTCACGGCCCCTATACTCACGACTGCTCCTTCCTCGTCATATCATCAATTGTTATATTTTTAATTGTCATAAGGCCTTATTGCGAATCTAGAAGAAAGAGTAAAAGTCACTAGGAAGATTTAATACCTCAAATGCTTACATAGGTATAGAACCCTCATAATTGGCTCTTTGTAGATGTTGATTACATAATAAATGACATATTATCAAGCTGTAAAGCTGTGATCTGTACGTTTCTTACAAGGGTATGTCATAGCTGAACTCAGTAACATGAGCCCAAACAAATATGATTTGGGAAAGTATGTCACGCTGTAAGATACGAAATCGACTCCGGACCTAACTTGTAGGCTGTTGGCTGAATGCACAGCCAAAATTAGATTGGACCCCAAAGATTGCGAGTTATAACATATAATGCTTTAGTTCTCCCGCGCCTGAAGTCTGAAAGGACGTAACCCTAATCGCAACGGTTGGCTCCTCTAACAGCAGCCCAGGGTTTCAGCAAGGCGATTTGAGATATCAAGAGCAAGTCGTGATCTATCACTGTATGAAAACGTTTCAACCAGCAGGTAGTTACCAGGTACAGAATCCCGATATAGAGAGCCACAGAAGGAATCCTTAGTCTTCTGTTCTCTGCCATTTTCTCCGGTCTAAACGGTACAGACAGCTTTCTAGGACTTGGGGAACCAGGGGGAAAAGCCTTACTATAAAAAGTTCTTGTTCCCTTTCTCAACTTCTTGATTCTTTCTCTTCATCATCTTCTTTCCACGTCGGCAATCTTGCCAGCAACCATCTACGAGAGCAATATTGCCGACACCTGTCAGCCCTCTCCAGCTCTCTCTGGCTCTTTCTGGCTCTTTCTGGCTCTCTCCAGCTCTCTCCAGCCCTTTCCTGTCCTTTCCTGTCCTTTCCAGTCTTTTCCTGTCCTCTCCAGTCTTTTCCAGTCCTCTCCAGTCCCCTACAACTGGAACATTGCCAAGACCTTCAATCCACCAAGGCTGCTGCTTTCGACGTTGACAAATCAACATTCAATACCCGGTACAAGCATTGTGATCCACAGCCACAGGTAAGAGAATGCTCGCGAGAGCTCAGCAAGACTATTCCCATGCACCTCGAGAGCCCCCCCCCCGATTCAAACTTAGTGCTGGGCTACCTACATTTGCTGACTCGTAATACGTTCAGAAACAAACCCAAGACTTTACTCAACCGTGAATACCTCAATCAAAATGTCAAACCCAACCCCAACCCCAACCCCAGGTCCGTCCCCCACCCAAAGTGTAGAGTCCCGACTCTAAACCCCAATCACTAAACTAACCCCCCTACCCCCAGCCCACACCACCACCACCCCATCCCCACCCTCAATCCAGCCATGCACCTGGCCCGGCCTTTCCTCCTACAGCGCCGACTGGGCCTGCGCCATCAAAAAGAACCAGAGATACCTCGCCGGCGCCCTGGGCCTCCCCACCACCGCCGACCTCTGGGACCTCATCCACACCGACACCCACCTCGCGCCCGTCCTCCGCCATTTTATCTCCGCGAGAGGCGCCTGGTTTGGCGCCGACGGGTCCCTCCGCCCCGGCCAGAAGCAGACTTGTTTTCACACGGTCATGAAATAAGATGCCCTCGTAGTACTCCAGGGTGCGGAGGAAAACTGATCACTCGGATGGTCACTCAATTAGCGAGCACGTACTTGACCAGTAATACCAGTTCAATCTTACCAGACACCAGCGCATTTCTCTCCACGTCATATGCCCGGCGTTGAGCCAGGAACACATCCGCTTCATCCAGGAGCATGATGCAGCCCCAGTCCTGGGCGAGACGAAAGACTTCCTTGAGCTTCTCCTCCACTTCGCCTGCAGTAAGTCCAAGATCACCACATGTTACAGGGAGTAGAGGTCTGCCATTACTTATTGCCGCGCACTCTGATTCGGAATTGTCAGGGCTTGGACCTATAACAGACTCAAGAATCTTGAGGACATACCAGCTGTCGACGTTTTCCCGACGCCCGGGACCCCATGTAGTAGGATCGTTACTCCATTCCCTGCCCCCATCTTTTAGCGACGACACTGAAAGGACAGGTATAGGGGTAAGGAACAGATGGCATACCTTTGTTTCTCAACAAGTCAAAATGCACACCTCCAGATTTCTGTTTGGCAAAGTGCGAGTGGATCAAGGACTGCACCAGATCCTTGTGGCCATCTGGAAGGCGCAGTTTCAACCAAGGGTTGTCTTTCTTTGGTCTCTCCTGCAAGCGCTCAGCGCCATTGGGTCCACGCCCGATCCGCAGACAAGCTGTTTAGGCGGCGAACCCCGTGTGAATCAGTGAAAGAGCACTATGCAATCGGGGCCAGTCTCCACCAAGTACGTACCCCATCGTCTGGTCGACAGCACGAAGGCAAAAACCCGGTTGGGCAGAATCATCAGATCATCACCAGTTGGCCCGCCTCCAATCTTGGCCCAGGAGTCCCACATGCGGTTCTGGGCGTCCATAAAGTCATCCGTAAATCGCTTATCCCAGGTCCCATCCTTCTCCATCCCGAGTCCTGTTCCTGTCTCAGACGTTGAGGTTTCCCCAAAGGCATGATCCACCGTCACGGGGCGCCACCAGGGGATTTCCCCAAGGCACGGGTGAAGTCCACAATCACATCGCTGTCGATCTGTTCCGAGTAGCAGGAGGCGCTCCGGGGGATTTTGTCGACTAAGTCGGTCAGTTTGCGACCAGAGGGATCCAAATAGTGACATCTGCCACTGTAATCTAAATGCAAAACTTTCTGGGTGCAGTCGACGAATTGCTTTCCGCGGGCCATGAGGTGCGCTCGGTCGGTGAATCCCTCCCGCTCCGCGACCGGGAGCGGGAGCACGGGGAGCGACTTGGCGGCCTGGACGCCATCAAAACCACTAATTTCGAACTGACGGAAGACAGGAATAAATCGAACCCCGTCGAAATCCAGATAGAAGCAGTCTAACACCAGGGGAGCCCAGCTACCAATGCTTTTTTCGTCGTTGAACTGCTCAGAGGTTTCCAGGATTCGACGGCCGCCGGTCCGTTGCACCACCTTCCAAATCTTCTGGGGAGGGCTGCTACCTTTGATGTAGACCAGAGAACCTTGAGCAAAGACGAACCAGAGATCAACAAAGCGTACCATGTCTGGAGCAGCGGCCAGGTGCGTTTGTGCTGGACGAAGGGTATCGTCCATGAACTGCACCAAACAGCGACAATCCATGATTAGAGCCGTCAGCTCAAGGACCCCGAGCTCTGATATATTATCTTTCGAGTAAGCCATGTCTACCACTAGAGAATCATGAAGAGCCTGTATATACTCCTCTTCGGATGAGTCCTGCAGTTCTTTCCGGATCGCTTCGAACTCCGCCACCTTAGACCGAATTGGCTTGTCAAGATAGAGTAGCAGTTTGAATGGTCGGAGAATTGACAGGGGGCTCTGACCATTGTAGGGCAACTCCCCGCTGCAGAACTGATAATCAAGAAAGCTCTTTAGCCGATGGCAATTGAGGCGAATCCGTTCAGGCATGGTGTTCAGCGGCAAACAGTCTGTGGCTTCTCCGGCGAGGATGGGTAATTCCATATCCGATGCCAAAGAAGCACCAAGCTGCTGAATATCGCCAGCCGTTGGCTCATTGTACGGAACCTCAACGGCAAAGCGCTTCGGGGGCGGAGTCCTAAACAGGGCCACTTCGGCCCAAGGCAGATGACGGATCTGTGCCATAGAGATCTCCATTTCCGCGGTGTCTTCCTCCTCGTCTTTATTTGACTCGTTCTCCTCCTCCCCCTCATGCTGTTCCTCGCACCTATCGTTCTTGTTCTCCTTTCGCGGCCCATCGAGTAGCGTGGCCAGCGACTTGTTCATTTCCCGCAGCATCTGCATCTCCTCGAAGAGACTGTGAGAGATGTCTCGTAAGGCATCTTGCCAGTCAAATCTGTGGGCCTCCACAACTTTCTGAGTCCGGCTTTCCAGCTCCTCAAACTGCGAGAGCGAGCGTTTGCTGGTTTCAAACCACTCCTCCACTGTTGCCCGTGGAATTGCATCAGGCGGGGTTTGGTCGGTCTCTGACGATTGATCCTCGTGTCCGAGTTGGAGGGTAAGGTCAACCTCCGTGGTAGTCAATGTGGTCGTCATGATTCCAGGTGTACCTCAGGGGTCAAAAACAGCGTAAGAGATGGGCAACCGAGTAGGAGAGAAGCCAAGGATCTGTCCCGATCAATGGCAGGCAGCTTTATAGTCCAGTGCCTGGTCCAGAAGCTCGCTCAATATTCCAAGCTACTATAGGGATGCTCAGCTGTGCTCAGCTGCTGCATATACGAAACCGTCAAATGTAGCGATTGGCGGTCGACTAACATATGCAGTGTGCCGGTGTGACCGGACGTGCTGACGTGCAGATTCATGCTGAGATATGGGAAATGGTTCGTCCGCTCGGACCTTCTCCCGCATACGTGGAAGCAAACAATGTTCAGGCAGATATGCATGCGTACGGTGCCGGCGAACTCCGGCGAACCAGGTGGCATGCGAGTCTTTTCCGCGGGGTTGACGAGGAGCGCCCATCTCACTTGGACCCCACCTCCGCAAACCAAGACGGGCCCTCATCTGAAGCGGACAGCGACGGTCGACAATCTCAGCTCGCTCAACCACAACATGCGTCTATGAAACATTTTCGACGTATCTTTCCAAACCATGGAACCCGCAACAAGAACCGTCACGCCCTGGATCCAACACAATGCGCCCAAGATCGACCCAGCTTGGGCGTTTGCCGAAGCACAACGGCTGAGGAAGCAAAAGATCCCGGATCCCCCGGCTCGGTGAGTCGTTCGTCAAGCTGAATTGGAGTGAATGTGTAGCTGAAGGCATGATCCGCGTCCACGTTCCAGTGTCACAAATCGGAAGGAGCGATTCAAGAGCACCATGCGGGCATACTTCAAAGCGACGGGAGACAATCAGGCCCAATACATCTTCGAACACACCCATACATGGGAAGAGGTCCGGAGCGAGGCACAGAAAGCGCTGGACCTACGCTACCGGCAGAACGGGAAAAGGAACTTCTTCCGCAAATCGATTCGACTCGTTGGGGACGTGGCTTCCCGGCTAGAGTTCCTGACGCAGCTAATCCCCAGCGGTGATTATATGGGAGTTCTCTGCGGAGGGCTCAAACTCATCTACAATGTGCGTCCGGCTTCTGCTGTGTCTGTCGCATTCTAAATAGCCCGTACCATTGTCCCCCTTGCTCTCTCGCGATACTGATCTTTCTTCTATCCAGGCAGCGAATCGCATGAGTGCCGTTCGCGAGCTCATTCTCGGGTCATTGGATAGTCTATCGCAGCCGATTGAGGATGCCTCACCCTACCTCTATACCTACGCTTGGAGCGAGACGCTTCTGGAAAAGGCGCAGGACCTCTATATGAGCGTCCTAGACGCGGTCGAGAATCTCACGCAATGGATGGCCAAGACTAGAGGAGGTAAGAATTGCATTCTTGCCATTCTCACTCCCGCGCAGTGGTGCGAGGTACCTGGGAAAGATCCAAGGCGCTCGTCCAGCAGGACGACTACGGGCAAGATCTCGAACATCAGATTGTCACTCGTGTGGGAGAAGCAGCGAATGCATTTGAGAAAGCTGTCAAAATCTGCTTGAACACCGAGGTACATGATATGGGACAGAACGTGGTGCGTTTGGGCAAAGGACAGGACGAAATGAGAGACGAGATGAGAGACGTAAAGCGGATAGCCGCAGGCTCGTGGGAGAGAGTTGAGGCAATCCTGCTGGAGAGGTGGAAGCAATTGCAACCGAGTGAGTCCAGCATGTGCCTCGTTTCTCAGAAGAATTGGCCTCCTTGGTGCTTACTACAGATCTTTTTGTCTAGTGGTTGATGACTACAACGCCGCGAAAGCTGCTAGGGCCGCGCGGGTGTCCACCACCATCGAGCAGCTCCTCACTGCGCTGCACTTCGCGAATCCATTTTCCGAGGTCGATATCGTGGATCGCACGGTCAACATTATAGCCACTGAGCGAACCACATTACTTCTCTCCGGTAGACTCTTGGACGATGATGCCCAAGACCAGGTGGCGGGTGTGCTGCAGGATGCCCGGTTTCGCAGCTGGCTTCAGGACATGCGCTCCGAGGTCCTGGTTGTGTCACGCATGGAGGAGGATATCTTGGAAGAGGGACCCGTCTCGCCACTGACCTATCTCTGCTCCGTGATGATCAAGACTCTTGCCCCCGCCGAGCGCGTGGTGCCGATGGTATTCTTCTGCCGCCAGCACTGCGATTCTCAAGATAGCTTCGCCGGTGCTGCAGGAATGCTACGGTCGCTCATCGCCCAGGTGATCCTCAACCTCTACGAGACTCACAGACTCGATCTCACGTTCCTAGTTGAGGAGCATCTCCATACAATCGCGATGCAGGATGTGTCCACCCTGTGCCATCTTTTCGCCGAGGTGGTCAAGAGGGCCCCCGCCGGGATCGTTGTTTGCATGATCGACGGGGTGGACTTTCTGAGCAACCAGCTTAATCTGTACTGGGTGGATGGGGTGATGCGGTTTCTGAATAGCCTTCTGGGGGTCGTGGCGGGCAGCCGGTCGGATCTTGTATTTAAGATCCTGGTGACCAGCCATCGAGGAGCCAGTCTAGCGTCGCAATGGTTCCCTTATCGAGTGGAGCTGCCCGTGCTTAGTAGCGAGACAATGTGCGGTCTTGGGCATGCGACTGGAGAGATGCAGTCAATCTTCTAGCAGTGTTGCCACTGCCCTTGTAAGAGCAACTTTGGTCGTAACACGGTGGCGGATCACAGGAAAATAAAAGAGGGCCTACAGATAGCTTCTGAAATATCCATGCAGCAGCGAGACAACTTTCAACATGAATCATAAGCTTTCTATTTGTTTTTTACCACTTTCGGAAGTGCAGATCCATGCCTACCAATCTCTAATTCACGTACCAGCAGCCGCACGAGCATGAGTCCGAAGACAGGTAACTTACCGAATGTCGACTAGGTCTGAGATAAGCAATAACATCGTTTCTTATAGACCCGTCGTCTGATAAGCATTGGTAAGCATGCGGCTCCCGACCGGTACACGCTAGAATTATAGGCTTGAGCATGTAAAATCCGGTATATCCGAACTGTCCAGTGAAAGGCAAATCTCACTACACGAGTGACAATAATTATTCACATAAGATTACTGTACCCCTAGCTCGACTAACACGCTATGCTTACTGTAGACGATTCATTATTTGCCCAGCCCCTTAATCACCATAATGTCAATTGAAGGGCGTTAGCGCGCGGACGTTAGTCGAAGGGCGCGCGTCTCCGGTCTACTTAAACCCGTTGATCGCCGTGCAGCACGATACGCCTCATCTTTATCTTCATTTCCTTTGATTTGATTTTTTTCTACTATTCCACATCAAATTTATCCACCATCGATCCAACACAACTCCGCCTACACTCCTCCCCTCCCCACCCATCAACCCCGCCTCAACCCCAAGATGGCCCACTTCCATTTCCGCCTCGCAACCGCGGCCGACGCCCCGCGCCTGCGGGACCTAATCGAATCCGCCTTCCGCGCCGCCGACACCCGCGCCGACTGGACCGGCGACCTATCTCTGGGGGCGCGCTTCCACGTCCAACTGGACGACATGCTCGCGCGCATCGCCAACCCGGACGGCGCCTTCCTCGTCGCCACCACCACCACCACCACCACCACCACTGAACCCCAAGACGGAGACCAAAAAGGCGAGGCGGAGGAGGTAGTCGCCTGCGTCAATATCTTCAAGAAACAGCTCCCCGATCGGGACGCCGTCGCCCGCCTGGCGCTTTTGGCCGTCGATCAGCGCCATCAGCAGGGCGGGCTCGGGCGGCGCGTCATGGCCCAGGCGGAGAAACTGTGCCGGGAGATGTGGGGGGTGAGGAGGGCCGGGCTGAATGCGCTGGATACGCGCGTCGCGTTGATCCGGTGGTATGAGCGCTGTGGGTATGTAAGGACTGGGGAGGTGACGAGTATCTCGCTTCCGCCGGATGAGTTGAGGCTTGTGGAGTTTGAGAAGGAGTTGGGCGTGGTGGCGGTGTGAGGTGGTTGTTCAATGATGGATTTACATATGTTGGGTTATTGAGCGGATTGATCAGTGTGGGGGTGTGGTGTGTGGTGGGCTGATGGGGGTTGTGTGCTGCGATTATGGGGGGGTTCTGGAAGGGATCAGTCTGTCGGAGAGAGAGGGTGCTTGGTGGTCTATTTAGACTTGGTGTGCTTAGGGGGTTGCTGGTGGAAGGACAGCACTAGGGGTGGTTGATATTTTCAGTGTCCAGATGAACATCCTCACTTGTCACGCATATTCGATTCTCGGAGGGCCTGTGACACTATATAGAAGTGGTTGATGACTATGATAATTATGACTACGAGTGGACTTCGTGCCGTTTGGGCGAATTGTTGAGTTCTTAGAGTCGATGGCTGCACAGATCAATAAATACCATAGACATTATGAGATATTTGAAGCACCATAAAAGGTGAGAGTGTTATTCGTTAATCTAAGGCTAGGACTTACTGAGTACAGCAGAGCTTGGGTCAGTGTAACTTGTGGGGTGAAGGATTCTTCCATTAATGTATAGGCGATATACTAGTGACTGGAAGTAGACCAGAAGACTTGACAATAACTTGAAAACATTACTACCGAGGTTCACAAATCGACAAGAAATCTATCTCTGCGAAGCTCCGCAGGTCAGATTCCAGCACGCAACACAAAACCAAGTAACAAAAGACTACCTCCTATACAAATGAACCAGAAATCACAGTTTGTCAAACACTTCAATAGCAGCTAGGGCGGTCGACGTCGCACTCGCCGGGTTCTGCCCTGTCACCAGCCGCCCGTCCACCACGTGGAAATCATCCCAGATGCCCGCGGACCGTTCATCTGTTCAACCCCAGAAAATCAGTTTCTCAATCGGAATGGTAGGAACATGAATGGGAGGAACTCACACTTCGCCCCTAACCGCTGCGCCAGTTCCTCCACCATCTCCGCTCCGAGCCCGCGCAACTCCGCCATAATCCCCATCGTCTCCTCGGCCTCGGTCGTGAACCCCGTGATCCTCCGCCCCTGGATGATTGGGGTACCTGTCGCCCGGTCGCGCAGGTCCGCGAAGATAGCGGGCCCGTGGCAGACGGAGGCCACCACGCCGCCGGCCGCCCACACCTGCTCGGCGATCTGCTGCAGCGCGCGAGCGGTGGGGTAGTCGATCAGCGCGGCGTGGCCCGCGGAGGCGTAGAATAGCCCATACTCGGCCGCTGAGTCGGCGAGGATCTCGGCGGCGGGCCGCATGTGGTCGAGCTTCTGTCGGAACTCGCTGTCCACGTCGTTCCAGATGGCCAGGTCCTCGCCGTGCAGGAAGTCGGGTTGCTGCGAGAGCCAGTCCGCCGTGTAGCTGCCGGTCTCTGAGGCCAAGTCGACCTCGAAGCCGGCGGCCACAAGGGCGCGGTAGGGGTGCAGGGCCTCACTAATGAAGAGGCCGGTGCGCTCCTTGCCGTTAAATAGAGTGGCGGTGGCGGAGGTTACTGCGATTAGGGCTTTGCGGGCAGGCATGTTTTCGATTGCGTAAAATTGTGAGGGGGTGGAAAAAAAAGATGTGTTCTGTCTAGAAGGTGTTGAGTACTGTTGCTTTGTGTTTCTGTTGCTTGTTGATTCTTTTTTCCAATCGAAGATATCTTCCAGCTATTTATGCTTGCTCTTGTTGAATACGAGGAGACGCGGTCAAGGCGTGGGACATCCGGAGTTGCGGAGCTGAGGAGTTGCGGAGTCCAGCGGCGGCCCGGAGATTGCATGTTATCGATAAGGATTCGCTTTGCATCCTCCCGCAACTCCGTCACCCAAGTAATTACTAGTACTGAAGCTCATTCACGTGATGATGCGAGCGCACTCCACTGACAGACACCGCGTCAGCATCTCACCCCTCATCAATCCTGCTAGCACACCAATCCTTGAGAGTCAATGAGCACGTCTCAGACTTACCACCAGTCATGAGTGCTCCAATCACCAGACTGCCCAATACCCATCGTCCCCGAAAGAGCCAGCAGAACCAGCAGCAGCAGCAGATCCTCCAACGGCGCAAACGGGCGCAGGTCGCCCGAGCGTGCGGCAATTGCCGTGTCCGCCGGATCCGATGCGACAACCAAGTCCCATGCTCCAACTGTGCCCTAAGCCGGACGGTCTGCAGCAACAGCAGTGCGCCCGTCGCGCTCACCCTGTCCCAGGCCAACCAGGAGATCGCCTTGCTTAAACAGAAAGTCCAGCAGCTTGAAGCCGAGCTCGAAGGCTGCACTTGCAGCAATCGAGACAACCTCGCACCCGACTTAACCTTGCGCGAGCCGCCAATCGAGATCCAAGTTGAGCGACCCGGGAGTGAAACCCACCAAAATGCCACCCCGCATCCTTCCTGGGGAGGGATCCATTTTCGACCGGCACGCTCATCCAACAGTCTGTGGCTGGGCCCGTCCTCGCTGTATTCGTACATCCAGCGGATCAGTGGCTTTCTGAGCCTGCAGTTGGACCAGGAGCAGCCCGCGCATCAGCTGCTCCCGATCTCCGCCAGCGACAACAAGCTTCTCGACCGACCCACCACCGACCCGACGAAGAGCCTGAACCCGCTGCCGAACACCACGGCCTCTGTCTATCTGACTCCCCTGCAGGAAGACTTTTTCATCAACTACTTCTGGCAGACCTACCACGTTTCCCTCTTCCCCATCATAAACGAAGCGCACTTCAAGCAGCACTACGCCAGTCTATGGACGGCAGGCGGGAAGGAACGGGGACCGTCGGCGCTCGTGGACATCGTGGTGGCGATGTGCATGCAGTACCACATTTCGACCCTGCCGGCGGATTCGCAGAGCGGGCTGTTGGACGGCCAGGACGCCCTCGTGGCCGGCCGATGGCACTACTGGCGGGGCCAGACGCTGCTGGCCTACGAGCTCGAGAGCCCCTCGATCGCCACGCTGCAATGCCACCTGCTCTGCGCCGTCTACCTCTGCGGAGGCTCGTTCCACAACATGATGGACAGCACGGTGAGTCTCGCCGTGCGCACCGCGTACATCCTCGGTCTGCACGTGGACCCGCCGGCGAGTCTGCCGGAACCCGACCGCGAGCTGCGGCGGCGGCTGTGGTGGGCGGTCCATTTGATGGACACCCGAGCGGGGATGAAACTCGGGCGCCCGTTCATGCTCCCCGACCGCGCCCGCCAGGCCATGCCCCAGCTCCCCAGCGACTCCCTCGCGACCGCCGCCGCGTCCGGCTCAGCCTTCGTACCGATCGGCGAGGACGCCACCTGGTTGAGCTTCAACCGGTACCAGACCACGCTGTACATCGCCATCCGCAACGCCTACAATGCGCTGTTCACCGCCGATCTCCATCTGACCGAAGACCAGACCATCTGGGATGACGCGGACGCGCTGGAGACCGGCGCCCAGATCTTAGCGCAGCATGCCCCGCGCGTGACCGAGTGGGCGGAGAGCGTCCCGCGCGCCCTGCGGCTGCAACGCGAGGGTACGGGATCGGACCGAGCCTTCGCGACCGGCGCCGCGCGCCTGCTGCTCGAGCCGTTCACCCCGCCGTGGCTGCAGCGGCAGCGCGTGCTGCTCGAGCTCACCTACCACCACCAATGTGCCAACCTGTACCGACCCGCCATCTCGTTCCAGTGTCGCCCGCCACCGGGCGGTCACGCCGAAGGGCTGGCCCAACGCTGCGCCGCGCACGCCATCGCCGTCTCCCAGATCCTCCGCCAGGTGATGGAGGAGACCCCCCTTGTGAACGGGTGGCACGAGGCGTTCTACATGCAGTGGAGCGCGGGCATGACCCTGTTAGGGTTCTTGATGATCTACCACCACGGGCCAATGGCGCCCGACGCGCGGACCGCGATCGCGCAGGCGGTCGCCGTGTTCGAGCGCTTCCGCGCGGGATTTCCCGTGGCCGGCCACGCAAGCAGGATCCTGCAGGGCCTGCTGAGCCAGGCGGATCTCGTCGCTCGAGCGAGTGCGGAAGTCCGGCAGCCGGAAGAAGAAGGGCGGGGCCTCGGGGACGGCGACCCGCGCCCGTCTGCCTCCGCCTTCGATGCTGCTTGGGACTTGCCGCAGGATCTCGACGCGGATTGGCTATACCTGGCTGGGGATCTGGATTTCTGGAATCAGATCGAACTGCTGTGGCCTAAGGCTTCGGATCAGTTGGACTTGACTACGTTCGAAGGGGGACTGTCTCCTGTTTGCCAGGGAGTATTAGAATAGTATCTCAAGCGTGTGCCGGGTGCGTGCCACATGTCCAAGAAGCAGTGATTGATATGGAAATAAGAAAAAAAAAGCAAAAACATACAACAGAAGGGATTCGCTGGTGGTCACCCACCCAACTACTAACCTCCCGGCGTGTGGCTTAAGTACGGCTGAGCGGACGGGAAGCCCTGTTTTCCACACCCTGTGGTCGTATGTGCTCGGTGAAGTTAGCGGAGTGTCTATACCGAACAATGTCTGAATCAGGCGTTGCATAGTCAACAGACACAAGCTGCGAACGGGGATGTAAGCACTAATTTCTCACGCCTAAGCATCTCCCGCATGAACCCAGGGATCCGCTTACACTTTTTTGCCCACAACCTTAGGGAAAAAAAATATTAGATTCAGTAATCAACAGATAGCTAACTTAATTTCAGTGTACGTGATCAAACAATGTTGGTTGCACCTGTTTTGATACCGTGGAATCTTTTCGTCGTTATGTTCCGCCAGGATCAAAAGGTTTAGAAGGGAAAAAAATATATCACCACAGCCCCAGCATGGACCATCGACATCACACCGACACCACCCTGGCACCATCACCTCCACCGAGATAGATGACAAACGGCCAGTGCACAGTTTTTATACGTAAGATTGTTCACCAATCCTATTCCCAGTCTACTTAACTCCCACCTTAGGCAACGTACTAGACCAAGAGGAAAGCGCTATAATTACCACAAAGGCTATCTAAAGACTGAACTCCAGCTCAAGATATTGGACAAAGATGGTTGGCGCTCGAACAGGGATGGCGTATATGCAAAGATATATCAAGTTCGATCATCAGAGGAAATTCAAGACATAATCCTGTTCTCTGAGATTGCCGGACCGCAACAAGTCCTGCACAAGCATCATCTTATCTTTGCCCATTGCCCAACACCTTCTCCTGCAGCCTCCTCGCCGCCAACTCCCCCAACTCCAATATACTGCCCCCACTCTTCAACTCCAACGCCGACACCTCCACCGCGAGGTTCTGCTTCCACCAGTTGCGCAGCTCGATGGCCACCAGCGAATCCACCCCGACTTCCGTGAGCGACAGGCCCAAATCCAACGGCTCCGCGCCGTCCTCTGCCCTGCGCATCAAGAAGTCCGCCACGCGGTCGCGCAGCTCCCCGGCCAGGAACTCCGCGGCCGCCGGCTGCTGGAGTCGGGCCGGGTCGGTGCTGATCTCCGCGAGAAAGGATTTGAGCATGCTGCTGCTGCTGCTACCACCGCCGCCACCCGTAGCATCCTCGCCCTGTGCGGCAACCGTCTCGATGTTGCGGTAGATGGCCATTCGCGGGTCGCGCTTCCAGACGATGTGGTTGTCCGGGTGTGTGATGGGCAGTCGGGACTCCATCACTTGAGACACCTGGCTGGGGTTGTGGAAGACCCGTCCTAGTCCCGCGGCGGTGCCTGGCGGCCTGCCATCGTACGGCGGTCGGGCCGATGACCGAGCTATGGTTAGTTGCAGCGTGTCGAGGAAGTCCTGCTCTGTGAACAGCCGGGCGGAGCCCGCCTCCATCGCGCTTCTCACTGAAGGGTTCTGGCTGATGAACCCCACGTCATTGATAGCGCCGATGTCCTGCACCGAGGCCGGGAGCCCCTGCGCATGTCGATACTGCACAAACGCGTCGAGGAATGTGTTGGCTGCCGCGTAGTTGGCCTGCCCCCAGTATCCGACCTGGCCACCCACCGAGGAAAACAGCACGAAGAAGTCTAGATCTGCGTTGGACGGACCCAGCGCCCGGTGAAGATTCCAAGTGCCGTCCACCTTGGGCCGCAGAGGGGTGCGGTAGTCGTCCACGGTCATGTCCAAGATGCCCACGTCGCAGAGCACCATCGCCATTTGCATGACTCCGGCAATCGGCCTCGGCGCCTGGTCGATCACGTTCTGCACGGTGTCGAAATTGGCAACATCTCCGGCTATAGCTTGGACTGCGCACCCCCTCAGTCTCAGCTCATGGATGAATTCCTGGTCTTTTTCTGACGCTCCCGCGGAGCGCGACAGGAAGATGAGGTGCTTCGCACCGTGGGTGACCATCCACGTGTCAATCGCCTTACCCAGGCCTCCCATACCGCCAACAAGAAGATACGCTCGATCTTGGCGGAAGCTTGGCTTGGGAGTCTCTGGCCGCCATTGTAGCGCACGGTTGGTGTCCTCTGACATCCGGATGACGACCTTTCCAATGTGGGAGCCTGTCTGCATGTATCGAAACGCTTCTTGAACATCGTGGGCATCGTAGAAGGTAACTGGGTGGAGGGGCCGAATATGGCCCTTGGCGTAAAGGTCCAGCATGCGCTTCATCTGCCTGCTAACCTGCGCCGGGGCGGCGACAACCGACAGCGCCAGGTCGAGGCCAATGTAGGCGCGGTTATCCTCGAACCGGTCGAGAGCCAGCTGGCCCCGACCGAGCATATCCCGTTTCCCGATCTCCACCATGCAGCCACACGCCGCGACACACTCCCACGATGCGTGTAGCAACTCGCCAGAGAGATAATTCAGCACGCTGTCAACGCCTATACCATTGGTTGCGACCATGATGTCGTCTTGGAAGCTGGCATTGCGCGAATGAAAAATCCGACCGCGGGGGATTCCGTGCTCGCGAACTAAGAAAGCCGCCTTGGGCTCTGAGCCGACCGTGCAGTAGATCTCTAGCCCCAGCCAGCGAGCCACGTTGATCGCCGCAATGCCAATGCCGCCCGCGGCCGCGTGAATGAGGATGGACTGCCCGTTCTCGAGCCGTGCCTTATCGACCAGTGCAATGAGCACCGTCACGTAGACCGCCGGCATGGTCGCCGCATCCTCGAAGCCGAGGGTGTCGGGGATCCGCACGGTAAGGCGCCCCAAGGTTTGTGCCTCCGTCGCCAGACTGGATGTGGTGTTGTTGAGATAGAGCACCCTGTCTCCAACTTGTAGGTGGCCGACATCTGCTCCGACCTTGGTGACGTATCCCGCCCCCTCCTTTCCCAGAGCGATATTCGGCAAGCCACCGTCGACCACGCCCATGGCAATGAGCACGTCCTTGTAGTTCATTCCCACCGCTTGCGTTCGAATCTGTACCTGGTCGGCTGCAAGCTCGGGCAGCGTGCCCCCACTCCAATACAGAGACTGAAGCAATCCTCTTTTCTTCACCCTGAGAGCCTTGGTTTCCGGCTCTGTGATTGGTTTCTGCAAGGCCTCCTTTACCGGGTACCAGTGATACCGTCCCACATGCAGCGCACCGTTCGCCCAGCAGAATTCCATGTCAGGATCCAGGTCGTCCGCCCCTGCCTCGTTGCTACGTTGCAGTTGCATGAAGACGCGCACCACGGCATCTGCCGCTGCCAGACTGTCATGAGACTCTAGTTCGAGAGTGGCGAGAGGCATCGCGAGCTCCGAGCGGATGGTCCGAGTCATTCCGAGAATCAGTGCTCCATGCGGATCCTGTGCCTGCATCTGCGTCAGAGGTGACAACCAAAGCACTGAGCTTTGTTGCAGCGTCTGAACCATCTGCAGAAAAAGGTCCCAGTCCGCTTGGCTGGGGTCTTGCAGGAAGGGATGGTCAAGGTCCAGGAAGGATATCAAATCCTGCTCCGGAAGAGGCTGCTGTTCAACATCACTCACTTGCCGGTGCTGGGTCTGGTAGCCTCGTTGCTGGAGCAAGCTTCCCACGTGGAGAGCCAGTGGGTGAATGCAACATGGCCCGGAAAGCAGGGTCATGGTTTTGGGGTACACAAAGTCCGACGCGGGTCGAGCCACGATATTGGCATTGATGTGGTACGGCCTTTCATTGTCCAGTCGAACCGTCTCGCATCCATCAAAACCGGCCGCACGTAGTCTGGTGTCCCATTCTTCCGGGGAGATGAAAGGCGCATTGACACGGCCGTCTTCGGCTCCAAGCCACCAGCCCGCGAAAAGACCCTTGGATGGCAAGTCAGTCACTGCTCGCTCGGACAACATATTGAAGACGGTATACGTACCATGACGAAAGCCATACTCTGAAATACTGTGACAGTGAATGTTGGAAGGATACCATTGAGAATGAATTGGGAAGACTTACCTGGTGAAAGCTCCTGCAAAAACAGCCGTCCCTCCGGTTTGAGTAGGTTTCTGACATGCACAAGCGTGTCATGCAAGCAGGGAGTTGCATGTAGGACCTATATCAAGAAGACATCAGCTGAGAATCTTGTAGGCCAAACGCCATGGGAGGGTACTGCCTCGCAGTAGCAGTTTCTCACATTGGAAGCGATAATGAGGTCATACACCTCGCCCTGAAAACCCTGCTCAAGCGGATCCTGCGAGATATCCAGCACTTTATACTCGATAGCCTCGAAATCTTGAAACCGGTTCCTAGCTGCCGAAAAGAAGCCTGAAGAGATATCGGTAAAGGTGTACTGGAGGTAGAGCCGCTCACCGTACGCCGACCGCAGATTGGAGAGAACCTTGGCCGTCAAGCCCCCCGTGCCCGCCCCGATCTCCAAGACTCTCATCTGAGGCTGCATGTGGCCGAGAAGCTGAAAGAACTCGGAAATATCCAACGCATTGTTCATCCAATCATATACACTCGTCAACGTGCCGTCTCGGATCATGACGTCCAGAAAGTCCACTCTCCCCTCGAAGACATTGATGATCTGGTCATAAGTCTTCCACACAGCTAATCCATAACTCCCACAGCCACGTGCAATACACTCTTCAAGGGCTTTTGGGATTATCGCCCGGCGCACGGGAGAGGACATCTTAACCAGATCTACTGAATCCCCCACCAAGATGTAGCCCGGTTGGGCAAAAAGGGCACATTGCTGCTGTAACCAGTGACGGTATTTCTCCAGATGCGGATGCTGTGGGGTAGATACGCCCCGCAGAGCGAAGTCAGACTCCAACGCACATGGAACGTATAGTCTCTCGGCTAGCGCAAGTTGATCTCGAGTATCGTAGGCTGGCCGCGTCAATTCGCCACTGTCCAGGAATTGTAACGCGGGTTTCCATTCCATGGTGATCGCCATGAGCTCGTTCCGGGCGTTCTGATCCGGCTCAAAGCGTGTAAGAACCGGATCCTTCATGTAGAAGAGCAGAGTGCCATCATCTCCGACCCCGTACGAATGGCCGCCTGATAGATCCGGACCGCTGTTTGTGGAGTAGAGGTGCATCTTCCGGCCGGTCGCGTTTCCAACATATACCTCGCCTACGAACTTGGGCAGCAGGAGGTGGTCGAAAAGTCGGTAGTCTCCTTGAACGATGGCTCTCATCCATGCTTGCAAGGCTAGATCTAAGCTTGCTGGGTGGAGGGGGTAGTTCGACTCGGATGGCATTCCAGGATTATCATCGACCTCCACGGCTGATTTCTTCTCAGTCACGCTCGCGGTGATATTGCAGAGACCCATAAAACGAGCACCATAGTTCAGTCCAACGCGAGCAACTGTCTCATACCACCGTGCGGATGAAACTTTTCTGGCAAGGGTCTGTGCTTGCGGTGTCCTCTCGATGGCTGCCGGTGGCGCAGATGCACGGCCGGATCGCACCAATCCAGAGCAGTGTTTCTTCCAAGCTTCTCCATTGTACGATTCGATTTGGAACTCGTACCAGCTGCTGCTCAGACTCGATGTTAGCCGCTGAGGCCGAAGGGTGGTAATAATTTCAGTATCAACCTCATCCAGCAGAATCAGTGCCTGGTGAAGATCCACCGCCCTCACAGTATAGTCCCGCACATCGCTGTCAGCCAGTTGTGCAACTGCGGCACCGGCCACTGCAATGTAACCAGCAGCCGGAAATACAACATCTTTACCAACCCGATGGTCCCTCAACCAAGGGAGGTTCAAGAGCCGAACATTGTTTCGCCAGGTTGGGACCAGGTCTGTCCCTTCCAGAATTCGAACGCCCAACAAGTCGTGTGGCAGGTGTCTCCGGAACCGCCAGTTGTGCATTACCCGAGACTCGGCCCAGTACCGCTTTTCATAGTGCCATGGGTATTTAGGCATATCCGGCAAAACCACGGCATGAAGAGGATCGGAAAGAATACTGGTGTTCACGCCTGCAATAAAAAGCTGACCGATCGCTGAAAGAAAGGACTCTGTGTCGCTCTCACCTCGCTTCAACGTGGATGTGTAGACCATTGAGCGGGACATCGACTGCATGATCTGGCGCAGGGCGCCCCGAAGAGCCGAATGCGGCCCGATCTCTACCAAGGCAACATGAGGTAAATCGCGTATCATCGACTTGACAGCACTGTCAAAAAGAATAGGATTCTCAAGGTTGTCCTTCCAGTAGTGCGAGCGAAAATGAGATGCCTCCGATAGGACCTTTCCACCATAGACGCTGGAGTAGAATGGGACTGTCGGCACACGAGGATCAAGGCGATCGACGATAAGGTCGTGGTATCGATTTGCGACCGGGTGCATGTGGCCTGATTGCTCTGGGGTCAGTATTCGATGGACCAACAGGCTCCAAGACGTTTAGAGGGGGTTGATATCGCATACCGGAATGATAAGCCATCTCCACTTGCAGTGTTCGAATAAAAGTTTCTTCATCCTTCCCCTTGATATTAGCCAGCACCTTGTCCAGAATGTCTATATCCCCAGCCAAGGTGACACTCGAGGGACTGTTCTCGCAAGCGATGCTCACTCCTGGAAGGAGGAACTGAGCGACCTGTGTCTTTCCCAACCCGACCGCTGCCATGCCCCCTTTCTGTGGTGCATCCTTGCAGACATGCCCGCGGTAGAACGCGATAGTAATGGCTTCGGACTTTGTCAAAGCGCCTGCTGCATAGGAGGCAGCAATCTCACCGCTAGAATGCCCAATCACTGCCGAGGGCCTCACGCCCCAGAATGCTAACAAATCGACCAGTGCAATCTGAAGGGCGGTGCAGATCGGTTGGGAATATTCCGCCTTCAAGACGATTTTATCATCGGAGTAGCAAAGAACGTCTGTAAAAGATCTGTTAATCCTGACCCTATGCCAAACATAGATTTTATGCGAACTTGCCGTCGATCGACCAAGCAGGTGCATGCTCAAGGCTCTGTAGCACACAATCCATTGATCGAATACTCGCCAAGAAAGGTGGAAAGTCAATGATCAATTCACGTCCCATATTGTATCCTACCCTTGTTAAGAACTATTCCTGATAAGAAGCATCAATACGATTAGACACATACCATTGCGCTCCCTGCCCCGTGAACACAAATGCCGGCCGGGTCAAGTTCTGGCAAAGTGCCGGCGTAGGCCCGGACAGCGGCTGACTACCATCAGTCACACAAAAAGTCCTGTATTTCAAGCGCTCTCGTCCCTCAGAAAGATTGTGAGCAATTATTTCCAGCCGATCAGGAAATCTGGAGAGATAGTTTTGAGAGTTTCTGGTCATTGCCTTGACGGCTTCTGGGTGTCCGGCGGAGAAAATCAAGAGCGTTTTCTTCCGATTCTGAACAGCCATTGGCAGCGGAATGGGATTTGAGATGCCTAGGCCAAACGAGGCAGCGGAATCAAGGATGAACTAAACAGAAGGGTCAATATTGACGGCATGATAGCACAAGTGTTCGTCTTACATGGACATTAGATCCACCTATGCCAAACGAGTTCACGCCGATGCGCTCGGCACGATTCTTAGGCCAGGGGCACGCCTTCACTGGAACCACTAGCTTTGCTTCTTCCCATGGGACTTAAAGTCTTCTGTTAGCCGGAACTCTCGAACTTTCAAGACCTTATGTTGACTCACTGGCTGGATTGGGCGTATGAAACTTGACGTTGGGGATGATCGTCTTGTGCTCCAACGAGACCACTGCCTTGATCAGACTTGTGAGAGCTGCCGCCCCTTCACTATGACCCAGATTTGGTTTCACCTACCCCCGGATCAGTCTTCAACAAATCGCACTCGGAGTTCGAATTTCGAATAAAATCACGTACCGCGCCCAGATACACCCCGGCCCCCCCGAAACACTTGGCGATTGCGTTCGCCTCAATCGGGTCACCCGTAGCGGTTCCTGTGCCATGCGCCTCAACCATCGCTGTCTGGGAAAAGTCCAGACCCGCGACAGAGTAGGCTTCACGAATGGCGGCCTCGTGTGCAGCGGCGCTAGGGGCACTGAATCCGGGGGTCCTGCCGTCGGCATTGCTGGCCGAAGCACGTAGGATGCCGCGAATCGCGTTGCCGTCCCGGACCGCCTCATCGAGGCGCTTGATGTAGAGCGCCGTCACGGCTTCACCCCGCGCATACCCGTCCGCGGTGGCGTCGAAGGACTTCGAGGACCCCTCCGGAGACAGAGCGGACTGGACCCTCATGGCAACTGTCATCCCCGGTGCGAAGATCAAGTTTGCGCCCGCAACAACCGCCGCCGGGATATTGCCTCGCTGAATCTCCTGCATCGCCTCGTGCAGGGCCACGCCAGCCGATGAGCAGGCGGTCTTCACCATCATACTGCCGTGCACGGTCAGCAGTAAGTCAATGCAAACGAATTGAGGAGGGCTTTATCTTACCTCGGTCCTTTCAGGTCATACTCGTACGCAATCCGATTGGCGATCGCATAATCCAGCGCGCCGAGCAATTCAGACGGGCTAGCATAGCTAGGATCTTTGCGGCGCATGTCCAGCCAATCCTCGCCAAACAGTCCCACGTAGGTTCCGATCTTTTTTCCTCGCCAGTCCGCCTCACCGCCACTTTCGAAAGCCTCTCGAACCACTTCCAGGATTAGCCTCTGGTTGGGGTCCAGCTGCGCAGCCTCGGGAGCCGTGATGGTGAATGTGGAGGGGTCGAAACACCCCAAGTCGAGGTCGAGGAAGTAGCCATGCCTCGTGGACACTGTGCCGGGCTTGTCATGAGGGCTGAAATAGGCTTCGATATTGTATCGATCGCGAGGGACCACGGAGCGGGCATCTTTGCGGTCGATGAGGAAGTCGTACAGGGCCTCTTCGTCGCGGATCCCTCCCGGTAGGCGCATTCCCATGCCGCAAATAGCAATTGGGACGGGAGCGCCTGACTCCACGGATTGAGATCGGCGATGCGATCCTCGCTTTTTCCCGATGTCCGCGCCATTTGCGGTGCCATTCCGAAGGCTCGTGGGATTTGTCATGTTAGGGGAGTAATTCATAATCTAGCGACGATTGCAATAAGAACAGGCTGCTCGGGATGAGAGTGATTCAATTGGAGGTTATTCTGGTCGCAATCTGGCAAGCATCGATGAAAATTATATAGTCGGTAAATTGTCTCGAAGCCCCATGGTTTGGGGCAGGGGGTTTATCCGGTTTGAATGATCCAGCACTGAGGGAACAGCAGTCATGCCCTTTTGCCATGCGTGGCATGAACCTTCATTTCCCCCTTTCATCATTGAATACCTTGGTCCTCGGCCTGTGGGTGTGTATCATCGATTTGTTTATAGATGTCGAAGAAGAGTCATATACCGATGCTTAGCCATGGTACAGCCCGAAACTCAAATGGCCCTCGAACCCAATATCCGTACTGTACCGTACGACAACCCGGCGTTTTATTACCTACGACAGTACCCTTATGAAACTCGGTGTGGCAGAGCGACCTGGAGTAATTCTGCCTTGTGATGTAGGGTATACCGTCAACCAAGGCGGTTCAGACACTAGCTCCATTCAATCTCGCTGTAAGGCCTTCCTATTTTCCTCACATATCCCTTGTGATTCTCTCTATCAAGGCCAGTAGTTGTGCAAGAAAACGCGCCTTCCCTCTGCGATCCAATCCTCATTTATAGTCATATCGACGTCGAATAGATGATCCGCTGGCAACGCGTCCAGTCTCACAGGGGTACTGGGAGAGACCTCCTTTAATCGCTGGACATAGTTCACCGCACATTGATAAGGAGCCCGCACGTCATCCTCGATTAGTAGTGAACTCAACTCAGACAGACCCAACGCGAAACGCAAATCAGGCCAACAACATACCAATGTATCCTCTCGGCCGTGAATAATCCACGTCGGAACAACTGTCTGCTCTGCTTCTGCTTTCGCCACCATCCTCTCCACCATGTTGACCGCATGAGTACCCCCGTCTGTGCGCTTGAGCAATCGAGTAAAGTAACATTGCTGCACCATGCACAGGAACAACTCCCACAGTTCTGGGGACGGTTCCTGGCGCGATCGGATCGCGCCTGGATGCTGGGAGCAGCCATTCATGTACTTCCTGATCACTGCCTCCGCCTGTCTGGGCGGGGGAGGCCTCATTCCCATGAACGTTCTGGGCCGTGGGATTCGAAGTTCCGGAACATCGGGGTCGAGCGGCGCGTAGGTGGAGATAACCGCCCGTATGGTAATCTTCGTGCCCTCCCTTTTGTCTTCCGTCGATAGAATAGAGCTCAACTCGAGAGCAGAATACACGGCCAAGCAGCCGCCGGAACTCTCACCGCAGCATAACACTCGCGAGAGATCCGGAAACAACCCCAACTCTGTATATTCATCCGCCATAAGTGGCGACAGATCTCGCTGCATCCATCGCCAGAAGTGATTGATGTCCTCGAGAATATCACTCACGCTCGATTCGGGGAGGAGTCGATAGTCGGGTCGAATGATGATCGCCTCGTGGGTGCGGGCGAGGTCCAGGAACCATTGTGCAAACCAGGGTTCGTAGCGGCGGTGGCCCATGAGGAAGCTCCCTCCGTGGAAATGCACGAGTACGGGGCATTTGTGTCTGTTGTTGTTGTTGTTGTTGTTGTTGTTGTTGTTGTTGTTGTTGTTTTCATCGGGGCGGGAGCGGGACAACAGATTAGTGGGGATAAAGAGTGTGGCCTCGAGAGCATGGTTGTCCACCATGCGGTAGCAGAGGTCAATAAGGGTAAAGGGATCAAAGCGAGACATGGAATCTAGGATATGTGCGGGCGCGTAGGGTGCTCGTTTCTGTGCTTGGTGGAGGTATCAATGGAGAAACATGTGTGGCGGAGGAAGGAAAGTGGGAGCCGAGTACCTGCCAGCAGGCAGCTTTGATGGTGCCCGGTGAGTGATAGTAGGCGTTCAGGACAATTCACTGCACCACACAAATGTGTTTACTGTTAGCCCACCAAACCGAAGGACCACTGCGTATGTGGCAGTACATGAGACAGTACTGTAACGACTACTACAAGCTCTTCCGGATGTAATCGCTATATCGAAGGCTTGCACTACAATCAAACTTCATCGAAACTTTGAATTGGGGAAATCCCGAAAGCGCGGATTCATAACAGTAGTCAATGATGTACAGGACGTGGTCCACATCTATCCATCTGTAACCTTGTTTTCTACACGGTAGCTTGTCCCAATTCTCCCCGGTCCAGCCTAGCTAGAAGTCGAGTCTTCGATACTTTGCAGGTGGCAGTGGATCCGTTCATGCATGTGATGGCCTCCAGGCCCCTTTTCTATGATTCACCTACTCATTGCGTTTAATCCAGACTACAATAGCTACGCTGGAAGACTCGCAGCCATCGAAGCGGGCGAGTCGGGACTACCGACCGTACTTCTAGGCCCTTTCGACATACTCCTACGGGTCTGGAACGCCCTCCTTCATGTGCTGGAAAGTCTGCTTTAAAAATATGTTTCTAGCAAGATCCCCGAGAACCTACCTCGGTAGTCTTTAGTGACACATTCACATCAACCAGAAATCTATCAAACCAATCTATTACCGCCTGCAGCCTTTTCTGAAATTCCCGTGTCTCGGTCCCATTGCATGGAACTTGCCCCCATACCCGCAGGGAGCGAGACGTGCGCGTTCGGGTACCGGCATCGCAGTGCTCATCGTCATCCCGATTGACCTATTGATACTGATCCAAAAATCGCCAAAGCTCGTCCAGCGCATATCCACACTCTCGCGAAATTCGGTTCAGCCGTTGTTTCTGTCGATCTTCAAGCGCATCCTGTGGGTCTAGGTCGTCGATGGCCCGGAGAACAGTCGAGAGGCGCTGTACCCTGGACCAGATGTTGTCAGAATATTTTTTTGCGTTGCAGGTTCTGTTCAACTGCGTGAAGGATTGGAATGATGAAGTGCATACTCTTGGGACAGCGCTTGGAACACATTCGGCGCATCGACGAAGCGCCTGCCTAGTGTCTTGGCTAACTGCAGCGCGGTGAGGAAGTCGCCGACGCCGAAGTCGAAACCCATCCTTTTTTCATGTTGGATTATTTGGCTCACCGGGGGTAAAGCAGGGATTTTCGACTCGGAGTATCTGCAGAAAAGTTCATTCTCAGGAGTGACTTAAGCACTCTGGTATGGAGCGGTGGGTTGTAAGATCGGAACACTTTTCTTTCGCGGGTGTGGCGCAACGTGAGGCTGAGACGGGTGGACCATGGAGACTACAGAGTAGGAAGTCAACGCAAGGCTAGGCTAGGCAGTATCTTTCTGTGACTACCCCTTGCACACATTGTAGGCCAGTTCTGATGGAGCGAAATGAAGAACTTTCACCAATTCGAGGCTAGAAACGAGTTGGTACTACGCTACATTAACTGCCGGGGATAAGCTCGGTGACGAAACAAGGCAAACAGTTCAATCAGACGGGCCATGAAGAGAGAGAACAGATAGATCAGGGGTCTAACATGAGAGCTTGGAAGTTGGGATAGAAGAGAGCAAGGTACAAAAGAAAGAAAACAAAACCTCTAAGAACCGGAAAACAGACCCGTACAGATCGCCAAATCCAGCTCATCCGCCACGATGGTAAACACAAACGGGCGATCGAATATCAACTCAGGGATATAAGGGGGAGGTCCACCGCGTTCGAACATTACCGCTGTAGCTGCGGCGGCCACCGTGCCCTTTTCGTTACACTCCACACTCAGACCCTGAATGATGTTGCCCACCTGATCGTTTCCTCCCACATCTAGAGCTGGGAAAGACCCGTCAATCGGAAACCCCAGCGCCTTCAACGTGCTGTTGAGCTCATGTTGCACCTGAAGTTCGAAGCGAGGCAGACCGAGCCTGCCCACTCGATGCTGTACAAATGAAGGAATTCGCCGGGTACGCAGGATTTGGAGCACCTCCTGAATCGGGGTATCTTTGTTGGGGAGGTAGGCGATCATCGACCACTCCGATGGCGGTGTGCACCGGTAGGGCAGGCGGACGGCTGTGCACCGTTCGCCCTGATAGACGGGCACCTCCTTCCCGTGCTTATACATCATATCCACTGTGGCAGTTGCTTTCTACCCGTTCTTTGTCGTGGGGTAGAAAGGGGCACAGCGGACTGTGTCGCGCGGACGGAACGGCTCGGCCCACGCGGCGGCGAAGATCAGGGCGTTGATGAGAGCTACGACCGAGCCGCGCAGGTCGTCTACTGTCAGCAACGACGGGATCCTGCGTTTTGTTGTCCGAGAGATCCACTTGTTGATCTCAGCCACGCTGTCGACCAGGTTTCGGAAGTGTAGATTCGCGTCCACCTTGAGCCCTCTCAGATAATCTTGGTATTGTGGAGAGAGGCAGACTTGAGTTTCAGCCACGAGCCCGTTGGCCGAGTGGAACACATTGTCGGATTCGAGCATGCGGCGTATCCTCGGGTAAGTGGCTTGCAGGTCGCGGAGGCTGCCGGCGCCGAGTTTAGCGCACATCTTACTTTTCTTGGGATCAACTGTTGCACCGGCAAGCATAGTAAGGGCTGAGAAGGTGGAGAGACCGCTGACAAGAGTGCTGTTGCTGTAAGGGGCGTTGTTCTTGGTGCAGAACTGGATCAAAAGGTCCCAGCCCAGCTTGTTGATTGTGCTGATGACAGCACGGTCTTTGGGGTTTCGTGTCGACATCTCAGCTGCTAAAGAACCGCCCTTCTTCAGAGGGTTGTGCACTGGTTGAGATGAACTGGAAGGAGCCGTTTGCTGTATTTCAGAAGAGTGTGTAAGTTGGTATGGTGAGAAAATCCAAGTGATTTGAGACTTACAGTGCAGGAATGAGGAGGAGTGCAGAGATTGCGATGAACTATGTTGCAGGCAGAGGATGAGTCATTTGACGATGATGGGATGCTTACCGCTGCAGTTCCTCACGCGTGTGTTCTTGGGTGTCGATTTAGCAACAACTCGTCGTGTCCCTGATCCATGGTTCTATAGTATGAGACGGGTGTCGGCACCTCTATTCATTCAAAGATGCGCCAATGAAAAGAACAACATAGCGACGGTACTAGATCTCATATACCATAATTGCATATGCCTATGGACCGAATCACAGTCTAAAACACATCTTCAAGGGCATGTCCAAGTGCCTCATTGCTGGGCAAACACCCCAAGAAGCAGTTCGACAGAGTGGCCTTCAATTGGCTACTTGGCTCTGGGCTGCCAGCTGTAGCAGGCCCCCTTCAGTTAGCTGAATTCAACTACCTTTATATTATATAAATGTACGGTGTGATGATGTAGCGCGAGAAAAGGGTGGATAGTTTCCAGCCTGGTAAGGATTTACTGTCCCGTGCGCGCGCTACATTAACCTCAGTTTGCTCCTTCCAAAGTAAGCCTACTACCAAGCTAACGAGCACTTTTGCTCAGGCTTAACGTTTCATTCGATGGTGGGGCACTGACAATAATATAGTGTCCATTGCATACATCGGTTGGCTCGTAATAGTCCTGCGCGTTTTAGTTCTAACCTATGTATTGTGCTTCTTGATCTGATCCAGGTGACAGCGCAGTAGTGACACCAGTCATTTCAAGTTATTGAGACTCGAATTGTATCGTATGATACTTGGGGCTTGTTACACCAGAATAGTCAGCTTCACTCACTATTCCATGCTCTGGAAGCCTCCTCATTTCGTCTAAGGGGCTCTTCCCCTTAATCCCCAAACAAGATACGCTCAGTATCTGGACACAAGTGCTTACTTACCATGCAGACACCTCAAGCACTCCGCATATTGTGATAGGTAATTAGCTTATTGTCTTCCCAGATGCCCCACGCCAAATCCAATCAAATAGGAGGCATCTGAGCACAATTTGAAGGTACCGCCTAATATCGAGCTCAACCTCTGACCTGCTTGGTCTAGTTGAAGGCATCCCGTCACGAAATCTCACTGACCGGCCAAGCGCAAGTGTCGGCCCACTCCTCGCAACAGAAAACCCACTTCTCCGCAGCACAAGCACGAACGGGCGGAAGCGACGCAAGACGCCCCAGTAGCCCGCTGTCATATCAACCGTCACCCCACTTCATTGGATAATAAATGATTGCAGCCCGTGTTAAACTCTGAGCAAAGTCTTCTATGCCCGTGCCATAATCCTTGGCAAATAGACCAGACCCTTATAGGCGCTTGGTCCCTTCCCCAACCCTCAATAGTACGACTTCATCACTCTGTCACCCACAAAACCAAAAGCACACAACCGCAACATGCCTTCCGAGCCTGTGGACGACATCATCAAATCCCTCGATGAAATCCAACCCGACAAAGTAGGCAGAGGGGAGGTGGATCGTCTCCGTCTTCGCGCAGCCGCGCGTCGCCTCCTCGCACGGGTAGAATCCCCGTAAGAACAAGCCTGGGGCTTGTGTTTCGACCAACCGATTATTTTCGCCGCGATTCAGACGTGCATTGATGTGCAGCTGTGGAGTGAATGGACGGGTGCTGGGGGTGGAGAAAAGTCGCTCGACGAGCTCGTCCACCTGACGACGCCGACCGTTGACACCAATCTCCTACGCCAGTTCTCCCCTTCGGTGTCCCAGTAACCATGTCCGTGTGGCTCGAGAAAGTGCTGACGAGTGAAAATAACCAGGTCGGCTTCTGCGCCTTCTAGTCGCGTTCGATGTCGTGGAGGGGACTGCCGCAGACAGATACAAGCCCACGCCATTCTCGTCTGCGATCGGTGACGAGACCACCAAGATCCGTGATTCGCTGCAGGCTGGGTAAGCAACCCCCCGTTCATGACATCGATATCGCAAAGTGCCTGTGCTCATGTTTCCTTTCTGTCGTCTGTTTCTCAGGACATATCAATACCTCTCCGCAGCCTTGAATCTACCCACCTACCTAGCTAGCATAGGCTACCGCGAGCCCACGAGCGTCGAGCGAAGCAACTACGCAGCGACCGATCCGGGCGGCATGAGCTACTTCGCACGGTTGCAAGCCAGCCCCGCCTACTTCGAAGCCTTCACGGGCCACATGGAATCATGGACCGCGAGGAAGACGCCGTGGACAGCAGTCTATGATACCGCCCGCTTGCTGCGCGAGTCACCGCTGGAAGAGGGCACCGCATTCGTGGTCGACGTGGGCGGGAATACCGGCATTGATATAAAGCACGCGCAGCAGAGGCATCCGGACCTTCCCGCGGGAGCATTCGTGTTGCAGGATGTCCCGGAGATCATTGGAACTTCTCAAGTCGATGAGAAGACCTTGGCAATGGCGCATAACTTCTTCCTGCCGCAGCCGGTTAGAGGTGAGAGACATCCTTACCGGCCACCCTTCCCAAGATCGAACAGATAAGAGTACTGATCAATTGCTCATGATCCAGGGAGCCACATCTATTTCATGCACGCCGTGCTGCATGACTGGCCGGACGACAAAGCCAAGCAGATCCTCACCAACACCAGAAATGCAATGAGGAAAGGGTACTCCAAGCTCCTCATCTACGACATCGTCCTCCCTTCCACTAAGGCAAGCACAATTCAGGCGACAATGGATGTGCAGATGATGTCGTTGCTTTCCGCGTCAGAACGCACAGAGGCGGACTGGAGAAGGCTTTTGACCGATACGGGGCTGCAGATCTGCAGGTTCTGGCCGGATCCGCGGGAGTATGAAATGATCATCGAGGCCGAGGTCGCGGAGGTACCGGGCCGTCGGGGAGAGGCACATCTCTAGATGAGCGAAGCAAGCAACATAATGATCTCTTGTCCGGGAAGGCCGGGATATGCCAAAGATGTCGCCGGGGTGGGACTCACAAACCCTAGCAAGGCGAGATTCGTTGCTCCCTGAGTTTTCAACATCTTCTCCTTGCCACACAGTATGGTTCGGATTTAGCCTTTCGGAATGGAAGTTTTTGTTGCGCCGGGGTCGAACCCGCCGGCCATCTCTGGCTGATCATGACTGTTGGTACGCGAATACACTGGTGCGAAGCACGAGCGGAATATACAGCCGGTCAATCCACAACCCCCAAGCGATGGATTTCGGGAGATAGCCGATTATTCATTTGGTAGCAAGCTCTGTAGCTTGATCAATCGAGGCAGGTGACAGCAATGCCGCCAGGTAGTTGTAACCAACCAAAGGTCACGTCGGAGCCACGGACAAATGTCTGCCACCCGTGGGAATGGAGGAGAGGCTATCTCGGGAATGCAGAGAACAAAGAAGCTGTACAGCGGGAACGGCATTTCCAATGTCATCACCCCAAGGAATTTAGCTTGACATGTGGGAGAAGGGAAAACGTGAGCTGCGCAGTACCTTCCGCCCGAAAACCCGCTAGTAAATCAATTTTCAGGTTGTTGCTCCTACCGTCGCAACATTCTTTACCATCCCGAAGCTTTATTCTGAAGCACTACCCCTTCCCTTGGAGTATCGGTGAGTGGACCTGGAGCTCTCACAACATGCCCTCTAGTGATAATGGGAACAAATCATTGGGGCCTAGATTGGAATGTCCTCCATGCCAAGCATTTGACACTTCCGAGCAAGACGAAGAATTAACGGAGGGAGTTATAAATAAGGCTCATACTTGAGAGTGCCTGTAAATAATCTCCGGGGAAAAAGAAGATAGTGAACTTGCCCAGTGTTTCGAAACTGTGCGTATCGCATTTAGTCTGTTCATCAACTACGACCTGAGAAGAAAATACTTAACGCTATGACCCGAACGGTGCTCGCCCTTCTGGCCCTGACTTCCTTCGGTATGCCTATCCTGGTTCATTCTTCTCGTAGTAAGCAAATCCCCCGTTATTCTAACATTTATCAACAGTGACGGCCGGGTTTGCACCAGGCAACAGAAATAGTACCTGTGCACAATGGTGTCAACAGCTTAACCTCGACAAGACGTGCAAGCCATTGGCAGCCAAGGGGCAAGGTCCCTGTTATACCTGCGGACCTGCCCGAACGGCGGCGAGTCAAGAACTCTGCTCTGACATCTGCACGGACACCAGTACGGATAGCAAGAACTGTGGATCATGTGGAGTAGTGGTGAGTAACTGAAGGATAGAGTCCCAGAGTCTCCCGCCAATCGATATTTACTCTTTCACAGTGCCCGACCGGATCAACCTGCTCCCAAGGCGTGTGCATCTGCACGAACTCAGGCTTGGGTCTCTGCAACGAAACATGCCCTTCCTTCGATTCCGATAACAATCACTGTGGGGAATGTGGCAACGTGGTGAGTTCATCTCCGGGCAGCGGAGTTCGCGGTTTCGACGCACAGAAACTAACTCGGATGGCTTTGGCTTCTGCCCACCGCGAGCGTGTAGTGCCCTGCACCGTCGACCTGTCAATCCGGAGCTTGTGCGCCATGCGCAAGTTTCCAGCCGCAAACCACATATGCGGTCAGGGACCTCCCGTGGGGTGTAGCATTGGGCGATTTCAACCAGGATGGCCATCTCGATCTTGCCGTGTCGAATGCTGGAAACGAGACCGTAAGCATCTTGCTCGGGACTGGCTTGGGGACCTTCCAGACTCAGGTCGCCTATGCTGCTGGCAGCGCGTCTTTTCAGGTCGCCGTTGGGGACATCAACGGTGACGGTATTCTGGATCTGGTTTTGGGCACGGGAGCCAATACTGCCAGTCTCTTGTTGGGAACCGGACCCGGCAGATTCCAGCCACCGCTACAATTCCCCGTTGGGGATGGCCCCGTGGCCATCGCGATCGGGGACTTCAACCAAGACGACCATCTGGATGTGGTGACGGGGAATCACGATGGAGATAGTGTAAGTGTTTTGCTAGGGACAGGCGCAGGGGGCTTCCAGCCCCAGACTCAATATGCCGTGGTGAGCACGCCAGACGGTGTGACTGTCGGTGACTTCAATCAAGACGGCCATCTCGATATTGTGGCCAGTAACGAGGGCAGTAACGTGGTCAGTATCTTGCTGGGTAATGGCGACGGAAGCTTCCAGCCGCAAACTGCAGTCCCGGTCGGATCTGGCCCATATGGTGTGACGGTTGCCGATTTCGACAAGGACGGCCGACCAGACTTTGCAGTTACAAACTCCCTGGATGCCTCAGCGAGCGTCTTGCTTGGGGTGGGAAACGGGACCTTCCAGCCACAGGCTGTGTTCTCCGTGGGATCCAACCCGAGGGCTATTACGACGGGTGATTTCAACCAGGATGGTGATCTTGACATCGCGGTGACGAACATTGGGGGCGCCTCTGTCAGTATCTTGCTTGGGACGGGGTCAGGGGACTTCCATACACTTGCGACCACATTTGCAGTGGGCAACAACCCGACTGGAATAGCGGCGGGCGATTTCAACGGAGACGGCTACCTCGATCTCGTTACCACGAACATACTGGATGCCACTGTTAGTGTTCTACTCGGGAAGCCCTGTAACACTTGATTGAGCCTCTCTCACCCACACCAGACATCCTCTCTACAGTCATGGGAGCATTTGTGATATCTGAATCTCAAACTGAGTGTATACATGCGGCGGAGGAAAGGTGAATGGAAATGGGACCATCAAGGCGGGGCCGCAGGTTAGACCATGTCATGGACTACAGCCACCCTGACTTGCTAAAGGCTGTTGATATTGTTAGTACTGTGCAAGCGTGTTGACTATCATTGGTAGGCAAAATATCCACAAGAGAATGCTTACCAGAAAGTATCTATACAAGTAATGACTAGAACACCCATTCTGTGCATATCAGCTCTTGGCACTATATCTGCGAGGTTTCACCCTATCCATTAACTTACTCGTATCTAGATGACACTACCCGGCCCGTGAAGACAAGCTTCAGTGCATGTGACTATAACAGCGCCGTACGCTGAGGTTACTTACCCTGGCTCAGCTTGCTCGTGCAGTCCCACTTTAGCCTCGCTGTTTGCTTGTTCGGCCACTTCAATACGACCTTTACACATCTTGGACGGTACATCGACCATCTTTACTCAAGTCCAGGCGGCTCACAACCGAGATACACTGGAGCTTGTACATTCTGTGTCCCAGGGGCTATTCGTGTTAGGCCTGAGTGATGTAGGCCGATGGCCTGATATGTATAACCAAGAGAGGCGTTATCCGAGCCCACCCACCTCCTCGAACTCCCTGGCCCATCTCGCTGTCGAGATGTCGAAAGCATCACGAAAATCCACTTTTAGGGCTGCCCCGCTTCCTGGACGTGTTGCTTGGTACGCGACGACAGGGGTTCACCTGAACTCAGCCAATCAGATCACCAGCTGAGTCGAGATGTCAACTAATCACGAAAATCCACCTTTAAGGCTGAGACAGTGGACGTGTTACTTAGGACGCGTTGACAGGGGTCGCCGCTGGAGGGGCCAATCAGATCACCAGCTCCGGCGAGGTGTCGAAAGTATCACGAAAATCCACCTTTAGGGCTGCAGGAAAATCAGACGTGTTGTCTGGTACGTGTTGAGATGGGTGCACGTGGGGTTGGGTATCTGGCGTTATCTGATCGGTCAACTCCGTTGCTGTCAATCCCATCGATCGTTCGATCTAGTAGACAAAACCCATAATGTGATTGTCCGTCGCCGTGCGCTCAAGACCCCGGCGAGTCGACGACAGAGGTCACCCGAAAAAGAGACTCCTTGACTAGAGTACCTGCGGAGGCTCTGTGCAGGGCTCGCGGGGGGCTGCGCATTAATCACTTCTGTGAAGAAACTGAGCGGGTATTTAATGGATTTCGACGGTGGAGAGAAAGCGGGCTTGGGGAGAGGCACGGGACATAAAAGGGGCAGTCTTACACAGAGTTCGGGCTGCCACTGTCACCAGGATCGTTGGCTCTCCACCATCAACATTGAAATGCAAAGGGCTTGGTGGCTTGGAATCATAGTTCGATCGTCGTGAGGGCTTCTAGAGTGCAGGACCACCTGCATAGCTCTATACGCGCTTCATCCACCCACCCGCTGATTCCACCGTGGTGATAAACTTGTATCAGCGGTGACGGGCGTGCGGTTCAAGGTGGCAGGGCGCTGGCAAATAAACAAGACTGTTAATTCAGCGGATGGATGCGCTGATCTTGCCCCGATATCTCATCACTGCGAACTGATGAAACGCTGCATCCAAGGATGGAGAAGGTCCTGGCGGGTCAGCTGCAGCTGTGCCAGCTTCTGCGGTTTATCTTTGTTGGGCACAATCGAGAAACAACCCAGCGGAAAGGTACTAAAGATTTGTGTCCCGATCCTTAAACGAAAGTACTACCCTCGTGGACTGCACATCTAATAGGAAACAAACTCACTAGTTAAACACTTCCGTTGCTCTTCCCCCCCCCTTCTCCATGTTCTTCTTGTTCTCCATTATTCTCTCCCTGTCTCAAGCTCTGTTAGTAAGGTTCCACGCATGAAGTGTCAAAATGGAGGCAGTGTCCGTATATCTAATGGTCCGTGGGGGGTGTGCTACGGCAGGTAGTGTGGATGAGAATTGGGGCACACCAGGCCTCTTTAATGCCTGGCTTATCGCCAGAGCGATCCAAGTAATACGTCGCATTCAACTGCTCCTCAGCACAAACTGATACCTAGCAATCTCTCCCCAATACTCATTCCCCACCCTCTCCCCTCATCATTCTCACCATTGACAGAGGAAGACCTTCATTCGAAGTCCCCTGAGAAGTCGAGAATAAACCATCTCATCTCTCCTCCTCAATAACATACGGCCCCTGCAACACCTGAGTACTGCGAGTAATCACACGGCGATCCTCGCCCCCATCCTGCCCCTGCACCCACTCCACCTTGAAGATCCCACTGCGAACCGCGGTCATTAGCCTGGCTGTTGCAACACCACCACACAGGCCCTCTCAGAGGAAGGAAAGGGAAAACGTACTGAACCTTCCCCTCATAGATCTTGCCATCATCCTTCCCGATCACGCGGCCCCGCATGCCGAACCCGAGAGTTCCGCCGCGGCCCTCCGGGTCGCTGGGGTCCGGGGTGGCGACGGGGTCGAAGAACTTGAACTCGAGGAAGGTGTAGCGGGTGCGCCAGTTCTGGACGAAGTTCTTGAAGTCGTCGAAGTGGAGTTTCTCGTAGTTCCATCTGCCGTTGTTGTCGCTGGAGGTTAGTGGGATGGGGTTCTGTTTGACGGGGCTTGGGGGGAAGGGGGGGAGGGTGATAGTTTACTCAAAGGTCGTCTCGGGACTGAAGTTGTCCTCCAGAAGTTTGAGGGCATCCTCGTCGGAGGGGATCTCGTACATCAGGCTTGTTTCTGGGTTAGCGATAGTTTGAGCGAAGAGCCGTAGAAAGGGGGCGGGGGGTTCACCGCTGAATGCGCTGGACGTAGTAGAGCAGAGGGATGGTCACCTGCTCCGACTTCGTGGTAGGGGGAGTGGTCTTGTTGGGAAGAGGAATCATTGTTGCGATGATTTTAGACAAGGCTGATTTCATTCAAATTGTTGTTGGATACTTGGGCGGTGCTTGCTGGAAAATGTTGACAGACAAGGAGAGTGCCGGAGGTATATATATCTTGCTCCGTCAAGATGAGCAGGGAAATGCTTCGACTACTATACGAAGCTGACGACCCTGGTATCACGCATAGCTTGGACAGCATCGAAGCGAGGGTCAACCGTTCCTCCTCCGATTCGAGGGTCTGTGAAAGGTGTTTGTGGGGATCAGTCCGGATCTTAATTCCTCGTATCGGACTGACAACCAGATCTCCGGTTCTGTCACCCAAGATCGGCGTACGACACTGAAACGTCCGGTACTTACAACAAAACTTGATTTAATTGCACCACGTAGCTATTTGCCTGAGGAGTGCTGGACGATACTGACGTGGATTGTGTGCCACCCGTGTTGGCGATCTGGTGCGACTGGGCTAAGCCATGACAACGGATGTTCCCGCTCCGCAACATGGTTCATCTACACTGTGCAGTACAAATCCACCAGCCCTGCACAAAATAGCCCTAATGACGAATTTGCTAATAGGCGTCGAAGTCTGCACCGTCTGACTGGGCGATCACTTTCGCATCAGGAATTGTTGACTGCGCTGAGTTTCATCGGGTGCTCTTCTCCCGAGGACTCCGGATGCTAGAATACTTCCCACAGCAAGAACCATTTGCCCCACGGCATTGTACTACGGATACGGTGTTTGCGAAAAGCCCAGAGGTGCAAACTATCATCAACTTGTACAAGGCAAGGGAACATGATGACATCGACTGTACAACTTAAGTCGATTCGGATTCTCGGTGACCCGAACGCCAGCTCAGTCGAGAGGGGATGGAAAATATAAGAGGAAGGGCGAAAGGCAATAGAATGGACAAACACACTTCATTCATACTCAGATGCTCACCAGGATGTGACGTACGTAGCCGCGGACATGATCTGAATAAATCAAACACCAATCTTGGATAAGGATCCAGCAGATAATAAAGACTTTCAGACAGCGACGCGATACTCGATGTTTGGTTTCAAAGCCCCCTATCCTCTAGCGCCCGCCGCAACGTCTTCTGAAATCCAAAGACATGTTCCGGTGATAGCATCGTGTAGTGCGCGCCCGCCACATCATGGAACCGCGGCTCCGACCGCGCGAAATCCTTCCATTTGACCATATGTTCATCGTACCACTGCCGCTTGGACGATGCCACTCCTGCAAGCGGGACACAGTAGAAGCAATCGATGCCCACCACCGACCCTGACGGCTCATACTCGACTGCCATACTCTGCAGCCCGAACGCCAGACATGCCCACTTCAACAGACCATGCTTTGTCAGTGCGAGCTCTGTCAGCCGGCTCGAGTCGGAACTCGTCCACACAATCTCCAGCGCTTCCTCCTGCGAGATGCTGTCGCCAAGCTCCGCCGCCAGGTCATTCGCACGACCTTCGCTCATCAGATCCAAGAAGTAGGCGAGATGAAGCAGACACTGCCGGAAGTCTAGCTGACGCATACGCGATCGGATGTGTGGCGGAAGGTTAAAGGAGCCGAGGAACCCTACAGTATCCCCGTATTGCTCGAGCCGCTTGCTGGTCTCGAAGGCGAGCATGGCACCGTACGAGTAACCGGCAATAGCGTAGGGGCCTTCAGGCTGCGTGCGCTTGATTGCGGCATGATAGGTGGCTACTGCCTCGCCGATATTATCAAACGGCTGTTCAGACTCGTTGAAGCCTCGCGCCCGGAGCGCGAAAACTGGCCGGTCCTGAATATATTTGGTAAGGTTCAGGAACACAAGCACCTCACCCACCCCGGGGTGAATGAGCCAGAGCGGTGTCTTGTGACCTTCGTTGTGTAGTACGACCACCGGGTTGTAGATGTGGGGAGCCTCGAGAGTGGCTTTCTGCAGATCTCGGAGGGAGTCCCCGAGGGCTCGGATGGTTTGGTTTCTTAAGAGTGTAATGATCGGGATTTCTTCAGACAGGTCCAAGCGTTCCTCAAGGGCCTTCTTGAGCTTGATCAGCTCGATTGAGGTGACGCCCAAGTCTAGAAGTGGGCTTTGTACTCCGAAGTCTTCGTCATCCAGGCCAAGGGTGTCGGTGAAAATGGCGAGGAGAGTAGATTCAAGTTCGTCTCTCGGTGGTACTTTTGTGATGTTTCGGTAGAGCTTGACCATCTTGCTATTTAGCTCCTGGTAGGGTTGGTACTCTCCTCTCTCGTAGCTGCCTTTTATCTGCGCCCTCGATAATTTGCCCAGTGCTGTTTTTTGAAGAATGGTCTTCGAGAGTGGAATGACCTGTGGTCGTGCCCCAGTGCACATCATGACTGTCTTGGAGATCTCTTCAGTCGTTTCGACACGGGCGACCATGTCATCTGCCTGGTATGTTGGTACGTAGACCAGACAGACTTCTTTCGTCTCACCTCCCGGGGGCAGCGAACAGAAGCAACAGTTATATGTAGGTGTGAGACCTGGAATATTCGCATCCTCTAGTGCTCTCTCGATGGTTAGAGGGTTATACTTCAGTCCGTTGACGATTATTGTGTCCTTAGCCCGACCGGCCATGACGAGATAGCCATTGCAGTCAAGCAAGGCATGGTCGCCCGTTTTGAACCATCCATCGCTTGTGAAAGAGTCCGCCGTGGTTATCGCATTGTTGAAGTAGGACTTGAATACCACCGGGCCAGTGACTTCGAGGTTGCCAATCTCCCCGGGCGGGACGCAGGTGTTGGCGGGCGAGCCATCTGTGATCCGAACCTGAATTCCCGGCATACATCGGCCAACTGCCGCAGATTCTAGCTTCTGGTCCTGGTCATACTCAGGACACCGTGTATTGAAAATGGAGCCAGCACAAGTCTCAGTCATCCCGAATCCCGGCACGATGACATTCGAGGGTGTGCCGTATCGGGACAGCAGCTCCGCGATATCGACGCAAGTTCTGGTCACATTGGCTTCACCTCCGGACGCAATGTATTGCAGGCAGCTGAGATCCCACTGGGGCGGGTCGTGTAGGTTCTCAAGGGCAACTCGGAGTTTAGCTAGAAAGAAGTTGGGCGCGAATGTGCGGCAGACACGGTGTGTGTCAATCAAGTCGAGGAATGTGGTCGGACTGGACAAGAGATCCGAGCCGGGAACATGTACCTGATCCATGCGAGCGAGCATTGCTTGCAGATGGATCTCAACCAAGCCTGCGACGTGGTCGAGGTGTACCCAGTTCATTAAGCTTTCCCCGGCAAGCGGGATGACGGAAAGCTTGCCGACATTTGCTGCTAGGATCTGACCGTGGCTAAGGCAAACTGCTTTGCAGTTCCCAGTGCTACCCGAGGTGAGTAGCATGACGGCAGTATCTTCTGGCCCAGGATCGATAGCCATGTCTTTCACGAAAGGCGATCCCGATAGATTCAAGGACTCAACGGACACGGGTTGTATCGCCTCTTGATCACGGAATTCAGGCATCTGGCTCTCTCGAGTCAAGCACAACGGATGCTTCAGCATGACTGATAGATGCTTTAGATGAGCTGTGCGGAGGAAGGGGCTGTTTGGAAGTGCTGTGGACATGACCGGGATACATCCTGCCAACATCACCGCCCAGAACCAGACAATGTTGTCCCAATGGGCAGTGAAGTGCAGGAGAACTGGAGACTGGACAGAGAGGTCGCTGGTACCCCTCCGGCGAAGTGCCTGGCTAGCCTGACGTGCCTCATGCAGGAGCTCGCGATAGGTGTAGGTGCTGCGGCACTTGGTTGAGCCCGAGGGGTAACAAATAATCTGACCACTCTCCCTCTCACTAGCCACAGTGTCGAGCAGTTGAACGAGATTTTTGAACGCCATATTGTTGAAATCCGGACAGGTCTTGACCAAGAAACAGAGCACAGTGTCTTGATAGCGCAAAGATACAAATCTAGGATGATTGTAAGAGAAGTGCCGACTCTCCACGCATATGACGGCACTCCCTTATATCTTTTCGCAGTCTTCAATCCCGGGGATCATTGCCTCTCGAATCCCGACCGGCTTAACAACCGGCTTTAAAATCAGAGGTCCGTTAGGTCACCTCGGAGTATGTCAAAGCTTGCTAACCTTACTCTGCTTTCTGGAGCTCGATGTCCAAGGGAATGACCGCACCTTACCCTTGACTTGTGATACCATATGGAAATGAGCGAGGTGGCTTACTTGATTATGTGGCAAGCTCATCAGGCCGTGCAAAATGTCAACACCATCATCACTCGACAGAGACTTCGGCGTGAGATAGGTTCGGCCGAGAAGAGTCTAGAATTGCAGTCTCCAAGCCAGTGCTGACAATCACCGAGTATCCTAGCTTCGGACATTTCCGGCTTGGGAATGCACGAGGAGACCCGTAGAGCTTTGCAGTGTGGGAAATGGATGTCATCATAGAACTGGAACCGCGACTGTAAAGCTGACATGGGTGGTACCTCCGACGTAAGCGTCCCGTTTGACTTCGACATGAAGAGGGTGTAGAGCTTGAACGAGGAGGACTATCATAAAGTCTATTTGAGCTCGTGAAGGAGGAGGAGGGGGGAGGAACTAGCTCGTTGTGGGCGATGATGAGTGTTAGTTGTACCGATGGTGTCAAGAGGTAGCTGTGACTTATCTTACCGGGGAGTAAACATTTCGGGGAGGAGCAAATGAGATAGGCCAAGAGAATAAGCTTCGAGAATGGAGAGTAAAGCCAATGACCCGCTGAAAAGAACATCAAGGTTGTGTAGCGATTGTCGTTGACGTTAACACTCGAGGACACTGGGAGCAAGGAGGAGGGATGGAAGAGATGGAGGAAATGGAGACTCGGCATCTGGCAGGTTGTGGTTGCCGCCTACGAAGGAAATGTGCACGTCCTGGCAGATGACTTTGTTCGCTCTAGTGCTTTGACTCCTAGACCAACAGCTAAACAGCATTATTGTGATTTTGAACATTGGCCGACTACGACAACGATTGGTGCTAACACAAGAATACGGTGAATTGTGCCAATCTGAACCTATAATTCGAGCATACAATCCTGCAACAAAATCGGCCAACAATTTAAACACCACTACATTCTCTCCCCACCCTGCTTGACCGCAAAGATCAGGGCCTGGTACGGGTCCAAACCGTGATACTGAATGTCCACCAGCTTCAGACCCGCCGACTCCAATAGTTTTGTCCAAGCTCCGCGAGTCCGTTCCTGCGCCCCGAGGTTCGCCATCATCTGCAGATCCATCGCCGTAGCCGTCCAGTTAACCCCACTGTTGGGGAGAACCATCTCATCAAGAAGAAGCGTTGAATCGCTGCGCATCGCCTTTGCTATATTCCGTAGAATTGATTGGCAGCTGCTGTCAGGGAAATCATGGAGAACTCCGCGGAAGTAGTAGAACTTGGCACCTATCGCTCATCAGCAGGGGTGAACGCGGCAGTGATCGGCGCCGGACCTCACCTATGATAGGCTGTTCCTCAAAGATATTGTAATCCATCTTCTCAACCCCTGGGATGGTGGGGGCACTCTCCATGACCTGGGGCAAGTCTTGAAGAACGAATCGACCGGGAATGTCAGGATCATACTGTAGAACCCTCTGGCATTGATGCCCGGTGCCCCCGCCAACGTCCACGAACAAGACCTCGTCTGTTGCTGTTTCCTTACTGCGAAGCACGGTTGCAAGCTTGGCCCAGTTAGTGGTCTGGCTCCTCTGGAAATGCATGTGGTTGTGGAACATGGCGCATTTCTCCGGGTGGGCTTTTAGGAACGCGAATAGGTCGCCTTTGCACCCGAATGCGTCATGCAGAGGCAGGTTGAGAGAATCCGTGGGGTTGTTATAGCCGGTTCGCTCGAGGAATGGTGGCATTTGGGCCATCACCGGAAGGATTAGTTCGTAACTTGAAGAGCAATGCCATATTAGCTGAGTGCTTATTCACCGGCGCTGGCGGGCGTTCGAGGGAAGGGAATAGCCTTACTAGGCGTTGATATAGCTTTCGCCCTTGGAAGTAGCCAGAGCCCGGGTCATTTTATTTCCTGCAAAGAGGTCGGGTCCGAGCTCTGTAATCATTTGGACGCTCGCAAGATAGCGCATAATCCGGCCTATCCTATATTAGCTTCCTCACACTATCGAGAGACACTTCTGTACCAAGCAATATCTCATCAGCAGAAGTCTCTTTGGCCAGTCGATCCAGATGAATGCCCGAATCACTGGAGGCGAGCAGATGGAAGAGACGCAGCCTGACACCAATTCGCGCAGCATATAGCTCGAGGGGCTATCGCGTCGTTAGCATCGCTTCACCAGGGCGTTAATAGACATACGGCAAAGGTGATGCGCTGCACCGCATCTTCGTCAGGCTCGAGGGAAATTATGAGATCCCGCAGCTCATTCACCAGCCGGCTGCGATTGTCTTCATCAAGACACTTGGCAAGATCCTTGACATGATCGAGAGCTTCATCCATCTTGTGTTGATTGAGGGAATGCTGTGTGCAGTGAGGGGGTTTGTTAGATGTTCGATGTACGGAAGTATGTTGAGATGGTGGGTGATAGGGCGACCGTGGTAAAAAGAGACAGGGTAGGCTCCTGGTTTGGCATGGATTTAAAGACAATACAGGCAAGAACTCCGTGTTCTGGAAAAGGACCAAAGTATATTGGCCTGGAACCATGTGAGCTAGGAGAGTTCCGAATTAACCGATCCACCCATGTGAATTTGTAACAACGCCGTAAAGTGACTCCTGATTGCGAAAGCTAAAAAAGAAAGTCGGAGACCATGAATGCACCCAAACTCAACTCATTAATGTCAATGTCATCCATTTCCCTCGGGGCACACTCCGACTACAACTTTCCAAAGTCATCATCATTTACCATCCCCATCTGTCTCTTCAACAAAACAATTTCCAACCTTTAAAAAGCCACTTACGTATCTATAACGCTCGTTGTTGCCCTGAACGGTGGTTCTCTATACCTTGGTTTCACCAGAAGCTACTTCAAAAACCTTCTCGGGTTGAACCAGGCCCAGACTCTGACATATTCTAGAATTATGACAGAATATTGACTCAAGGTGGCTGGGAAACCACTGCATCGTGCGCGTTTGCTCTGTGAATCGGCATGTGACCCGGATCATATGAAATCCATGCGAATGAGTGAAGCAACAAACTGGATCCTGGCGCAATCCAGCCAGCCACTTGGTCCCACACAATCGAGAATAAACCACCACAGCAAGGTTGACCTCCTAAAACCGGCAGTATACACACATACTGCTGCTGTCATTCTCAAACTGAACGCGTCAACGATTACCAACATGATAAGCAAGTGTCATAAATCAAATAGCCTCTCCGAACGAAACTCCATCCCGTCCCGCCCTTAAGACATGTTCCGGCCCAGAAGGGGGAACCCAGTTTTCAAGTCTCCATGCCAAATTTTTCTCGGCAAAGAAGATCTCACTCAGAATCCAGACGCGAATTCACCATGATCACGCAAGAGGGGCCAGCTGCTCAACTGCCAACTCCCTCCAAGGGAGGGACGGCCACCGCTGATCTCCCCGTCCGCCCGGTGTCTCAAGGCATGACAAGCTCTCCTCAACTAGGAGAGCTTGCAGCTTCCATTAGCACCGCGACCAGAACAATCGAGGAGCATCTTAAGCAACGGGACCTACCGTATCCGTCCTTCGAGGCTAACGGGGGAATCACTCTTCCCCGCGAGCTGCAGCAGGCAAAGGAATCAATCCTAGATTCGGCCTCTGAGCTGCGATACCTGCTCACAGACCCCGTGAGCGCCTTCTTCGAGGGAGCAGTAAGTCCCAGCGCGTCCAGTTCCATTCTCGCGAACCATAGCTGACAGTAAGGTGTAGCCGGTGGGCTTCATGAGTATGATAATGATTCATCGCTTCAACATCGCGAACCTAATCAAGCCGGACATGGAAATGAGCTTTTGCTCGATCGCAGAGCAGACTGGCCTTAAAGAGGGGGTGGTCAAACATGTGCTTCGCCACGCAATGACCTTGCGGGTGTTCCGCGAGTCCCGACGGGGATTTGTGGCCCACACCCCTCGGTCGGTGGTGATGAGAGATGGCGATATAGCACGCTGGATGGCGTTCTCTATTGACGAACTGACAGGGGCTATTCTTTGTGTAAGAGTTACGGCTATCTCGATGTGAGAATTAGCACTGACTGTCATTCATTCCAGGCGCCCGATGCGATGCAGAAATGGCCACGATCGGATGAGCCCAACCAGACGGTAAGCTCCACTTGCGTGTACCCTCTATCGCAATTGTCCAACGACAGGTCGCTAATGACGGTTTCATCATATGCTAGGGTTTCTCCCTCGCCGAGAACACGGATCGAGCCATTTATGAAGTACTAGACGCAGATCCTGCGCGCGGTGCCCGGATGGCTAATGCCATGAACGTGTGGGCTTCAAGCGAGAGTTATTCGGCCTCGAAAGTAGTTGATTCATATGACTGGAGTCGTCTAGGGTCAGGCACGGTTGTGGATATTGGCGGCTCACGAGGACAGGTTGCGGTGGCAGTGGCCTCGAGGTTTCCAGCGTTGAAGTTCGTGGTGCAGGACCTCGAAAGCACCATAGCTGGAGCCGAGGTAGACTTGCCACCCCAAGTCGCCGACCGCGTGAGCTTTATGGCTCACGACTTTTTCGAAGAGCAGTCAGTTCTTGCTTCTGCATACTTCCTACGATGGGTCCTGCACAACTGGTCGGACAAGTACTGTATCAAAATTCTCCGTGCACTGATCCCTGCGCTGCGACCGGGGGCACGGGTCATTGTCAACGAGATCTGCATGCCTGAGCCCGGAGAGGTTCCTTTGTGCAGAGAAAGGTTGGCACGGTATGTTGCCCTGATTATCGCCATGGGATTTTAAGCTAATGGGCTGTGACAGAACGATGGGCTTGGGCATGATAGGCCTGTTCAACGCTTATGAGCGAGATATAGAAGACTGGACCCGGCTCTTTGAGCAAGCGGACCCGAGATTTCAATTGCTCGGTTGTCGGCACCTGGACGGTGCGGAAATGGCTTTGATCGAATTTGAGTGGACCGGATGATCACATTGGTGAACATTATGATGTATTGTGCTTTGCAAGAAAGGATGATAATAGAACGGAAGTTCAGAGTCTTTTATCAAATGTCAGTAGTCAATTGCTATGATTTCCAAAACTTGTAAGGGTTCAACAACTCCACTCCAGCCCAGAACCACCATTGCGGCTGGCCTTCCTTTTCACCTTCATCATCCCCAGGAGCGACGGGCATCTCAATAGCCTTTATTGCAAGTGCAGTAGTCAATCCCCGGTTCCCGATCTTCCCCCCGGTCGATCCAAATCTATAGACCCAGCTTGTAGGGAAGCCGCCATCCTCACACTGCATGTCCCGCAATGCTCTCTCATCGAGCATATTCGACATCCCAAGCAGCTTACACGCATAGACTCGCATGGCCAGAGAAATAGCGTCGCCAACGGCACCAACTCGCTCATATACTCTTTCTCTCAGGAGAGGCATCAGCCGAGCGCGGAATGGACTGTTCCTCAGAAAGACTGAGAGTCTGGCTAGAAAGTACAAGAAGGCGTCCGGACTGATGTAGTATCTCGTGCCCTGCAGGTAGGCTCTATGTCGCAGCACGTCCAGCACCCAGTTAAAGGTGGCGAGTAACTCGGATTCTCGGCCGTTCTGGGCGAACAGGCTAAGCACGTTCACGCAGACGACTGGGTCGACTCGCGGGCGAGTGGGATCAAAATACGTCTTCCGAGGTTGTGTTAGTGAGGAACATGCAGATAAATCAACCATGATCATACCGGGACTATCCCGTCGTTGTCCAGAAGCAGCAGAATCTCATTCATCACATCGGCGACGACGTCTTTATGAATGGGAAGGACCGAGAGCGCGATAGAGGTGGTGTCCAGGTCGTTGGGGAAGGTACCCGTCGGCGACTGAGGAACCCCTGTTGACAGTCCCACCGTATCAATAGCTGCAACGCCTTGCTCGGGGAGAATTTGACCAACCGATGAAATAGTTCCATGTTCGATCCCAAGGTTCGAGTTCAATCAAGTCTCTACTCCCACGTTCGTTAGAGATTCCACATGCCATGTACAAACCTTGATGGAGAAGCTCACCGGTCGCCCGTCAGCTCTAGAATCAGCAACTGCGCAAAGTTTTCGTGGATCACGGAGTTATTGCTAGTCACAGTGAGGAGGCTCTTTGCATTCGAGCGGAGATACGTCAAGCCCCGAGAGACAGGGTCTTCCATCAGGTTTATGATCCGCTGCTTGAAATCGGTGACGTTCTGGAACACCACGCCGTGCATCCCCACGGACTGCGCGACCAACACATTCTCCGCTTTGTCGTCCACGAACACGACCTCGTCAGGCCTTAACCCGGTCTCTGCGAGAACAAACCGATAGAATCCAAGATCTGGTTTGCGCATCCCAACGACCCCGGAGAGATACACATGGTCGAAAACAGGATAGCTGTCCACAATGCGATTGACACAATCCTGTTCCGCATGAGGCGTGTTCGTCATGCCATACACTTTGAGCCCGGGGTTGCACTTCCTCATCTCGCTGACAAGCTGAAGGACGGCGTGGTTCAGTTCCAGGCTCTGACGGGCCTGTTCCATAGTGGAGGCCATGTCTGCAGCGCTGATGGAGAATCGTTCAGCAAGCTTCGCATAACATTCTTCTTCGGAATACCTCCCGCACTCGTATTCGAACCATATCTCGGAGGACATGATTTGTCTGAGCTGCGCTGGGGAGAGCGGGCTTTGGGCTGGCGGAGTCCATAAGCATAGAACTCCGGCGAAGTCGAGGATCAGTGCTTTGACGGAGGACATGGTTGTGCGCGAAATCGAGCTAGATTTTTTTCGAGCCCACAACAAGAATCGGCCACGAAAAGATTCGATCGCGTAGGGAACGATGTAGGCTGCTTTATATCGTCATACAGAAGCGTGATGAGGAGTCCAGCTTGGAAGCACTCCCGATTCACGGCGCCGTCTGGAGCGCAAACCCCACAACTACTAATCATAAAGCTCTAGTCTTGGCTGCAGCAAGCTTCTAGGGGGGTTTGGATCAGGCGACGAGGCGCTATGCGACAAAGTAAGAATGGATCTCTGTGGCAGATGAAAGGCGCTAAGAAGATGACGAGCGCATCCATAGTTGACAAACGAGAGATGATCAGTGAAAACAGCTAGGCGACAATTCATGCAAAAGACTTAGTGTATCTGTCTGCATAAAACTTTCCACTTTACTATAATTTCTGTTTGACCTACTTGGCTATAACCAAACTCGAACACCAGACAATCACAGTCGCATATTGTTTAGTGATCAAGATATGCATGCCACTGTCAGACGGACCCTTACACTTGAGACCCAAGTAGTGAGAAAAGTTTCATTTGCCGAGTGGCCGCAATGGTCTTCCGTACCCAAGCAGACGCGCAACAGTTTCGAGTTTGTCTAGACTAACTTACCCGTCACGAGGTATTGTACAATTAAGCTAGGTAATCCGACCCGCACGATACGAGCCCCGGACCAAAAGGATTGCATTTCGGGGCCAATCTGTGTGTACCGGACGGGGCGCTAGCTCGAGCCCGAGGAGCAAATCAGGCCTTTTACTGTCGAACACACTTCATCTTGTTTGGATTATGACGTGTATTGGTGGGTGGTAAGTGGGATAGAATGTGCAGTGTGTAAAGAGATGCTGAGATGTAGATCCATTTCCCATTTTCACATCCATCATCTCCGAGTCTACCAAGATATATCATTGACACGTCACCCGCGGTAGAATATCAATTGAAAGCATCACAACGGAGACACACGAACAAATTCGCCTTGTAAACCCCGTCCTGTTGACCCAAACCGATCACTGCACATCGACTATCATCTACAGACAGAGACAATCCTAACTCCTTCATACTCCTCCCTTCCCGCCCGTAGCGCCTCCCCCCTCCTAGCAGCCGCATCCCACTCAGCGCCCTCCAATTCCCACTCGGGAGTGGCATCGCCCGGGAACAACTGCCGCAGGATCTCGCCCACGACCACAACGATCATGCGTATCGAAAAGACCCGAGCGGAAGGGCATTTCATCTTCCCCACGGCGAACGGGATCCAAGCGAATTGCTGTGGTCCGACCAAGGACGAGCGAATTCGCCGTCCACCAGGCGTAAGGAATCGCTCCGGATGGAATTGTTGCGCGGTCGGGCCCCAGTGGGAAGGGTCCCGCTGGATGGCTTCGATGTCAACGGATGTGGGCACCCGGCTGATGCGGCGGATGGGCGGATAGAGGCGGAGGGATTCATATGCGATCGCTAGCGCAAGAGGCTCCGGGTTGTGGTCCGGTCGGCAGTCTCTAAGAGCCAGGACGTAGTTTGATTGGCGGGCGCCGGGCTGGAGAACTGCGAGGAGGGTGTACAGGGTCGAGCGCCACGGGGCTTCGAAGGCGGGGAGGAGCAGGTTCAGCGGGTTGAACTCTTCCGGGGGCGGGGAGCCTGAGACGCGGTAGAGGATCGTCTCCGCCAGCTCCGTTGACACTGCAGCGTCAATGAAGACGTGGCACAGGGCTTGGATCAAGGCGTCTGCCGAGCGCCGCAGATCCTCGGGAATGTCCTGGGAGGCGGCAGCTGTCACCTGAGCGTGCCGTTTGCCCTCTACGGTGATGCGATGGATCTCCGAGCCGAGGTAGCTGAGTTTGTCGGCACCGATGTTTTCGATCTCGAAGAGAGCTTTAAGAACGGCGGCAAGAGAGGTGGTGAGGCTGATCTGTCGTAGGTCGGCGGTGACGGTGCAGCCACCCGGTATTGTGCGTCTGGTGAACAGAGGCTGCATGGCCTTGCCCACTACCCGAGCGATGCCTACCCATGCACTATCATCTACTTTAGCAAGTGCCTTGTACAAGGCCTGACGGTACGAAAGCTGTAGGTCTACCGAGTCTGACACGAAAGGGTTGTTGAGCCGCCATAAACTCTTCAAGACTGGTGCCCCTGCTCTGGCTGCTCGCATCGCGACGGTGGAGTTCTGTAATGTGACGATCGGGTTCTCCACTCCGATCGATTCAAGCCAGACCTTGTCACCAGGGTCTTCATCGCTGCCATCTGCATATAGGAGAACATAGCCGACCATCGCACCCAGCAACAGAATGAAGAGCACGATTTCTTCGCTCATCCTCGGATATCACGGGCTACGCAATCACAGGCTGGCAAGGCGAAAGACCTTAGCAGGGACAGCGTCGTGCCATAGGAAACGAGGCCCCGCTACAACGAGATTTCTGTGAGTGATCCATACGGGCGCAGTGCACAGTATTCCACGCGGCGCCGGAGCAGGGGAAGGAAGGAAAAAAAAAAAGAACCTGCTCGGGAGCCGGGGGCGAGGGGGGGGGTTATACTCCGGCGGGTTTGCGCGGCTTCCTCATTTGGCCGGCAACCCACGAACAATTTGACTTAACCACCACATAGAGTACAAGTGATACCGATCATCCCGGTGATGCAAAGAGGACCACACCTATGTTGCAGAATAGACTTACCTTGCATTAATACTCGTGCGAACGATTGTTGCTTGGCGATATCGCCTTCGAAGCAGCGCAGATTGATTCCGAGTAAGGCCGAACCGAGAACACACAAGCCACCGTAGACTCTGTTTTCGACAGGGCACTGGACAAACCGAAAGCGTCTCGACTCAGTAGGTATGTCGTTCGCTGTTGACGAATCCTTGCTTTCATCACAGATGACCGCCCGAAAAGGATGCTTAGCCTGAACCGTTCACGGGTGGCAGAAAGTTGAGTGGATAGAATAGCGGGTCTTATAAGCGGTGCGGAGTGCTCTGCAAATCGACTATCATATGGAATAGTATTAACATCCCAATTCGGGTGTCCAATGACCATGTACGCATCTACATCGACCCCGACGTCTGTGTTACAGCCAAGACATTCGCTTGCGGGGTATTTGCACATGTGAGACAGAAGAAACTACCGGAGATGGAGCTTACCAGCTCAGCGTCGTCAGCTTTCGCGGGTGGCCTGCGCTGGGTTGTACTGTCACATGCTTCCATTCTACCTTATGGCTTCTGAAAATGAATGCCTGTGATCGGATCGAAGAATAGAAAAGAGGACAAGGAATTTATCATAAGATTCCTATAATCTCGTTTTAATAACGTTCATGATTGAACTTATGGATTACCATTGCGGGATATAACGAGCCCATGCAGTCAACTAACGTAGGAAGAGGATACGGAAAAAAGAGAGGTCATTTTGGACCCGACCGCATGGAAGACTAGAATTCATCGAATTTGACGAATGTAGGACTACTCACATCTGATCTCCCATTCCAGTGACACTATATACAGCAACCTGCATTCAGCATCCAGAAAGCCTGCGTCTAGCAGTCCTCCTCATCCTCCTCAGTAGCGGCGGTGGCAACGGTCGACTGAGTGGTGAGAGTGGTGTGTGTGGCACTGTCGACGGTGATGGCGGCGGAGCCGCTGCTCTCGTAGCCCTCGACGGCGACGATCTGGTAGTTGAAGGTACCAAGCTCGAGGCCGAGGTTCTCCCAGGCGTCGAAGTGGTTCTTGGTGGTGACGGTGCCGCCGACGCGGGCGTCGTCGCGGATGGACCAGTACTGCTTGAAGGTGCTGGTGCCCTCGATCGAGGCGGCGTTGGTGCGGGTCGACTCGTAGATCTTGTAGGTGCTGCCATCGCTGGTCACGGTGCCCAGCTGGGTCAATCCGCTGGACGGGTTGTAGTCGCCGTAGTGCTCGACGATGTAGTACTCGACCAAGGGGCTGGTGGTCCAGCCGTAGACGGAGAGGTAGCTGTTGCCGTTGTTGGTGGGGGTCCAGGTACCGGTGTAGGTGATGTCGCTGGTAGGAGCGTTAGATCGAGGCATACAAGAAGGAAAGCGAGAATGAGACCTACCGATCACTGCCAGTGCTCCAGCCCTTACCGGCAACAAAATTGCCAGCATCGCTCCATTCCACAGAGTATTCACCAGCATTGCCGTTGGTGTAGGTGACAGAGCCTTCGTTGTTCGTCCAGAAGGAGTAGAAGTACCCATTCGAGGTGCCTTCGCTGGAGGTGGTCAGGCTGCGCTTGGCCATCTCCATGAGAGCAAGACGGTTCGGGGCCGCCAGGGCGCCCGAAGCAGCCGAAAGAGCGAGTAGAATGTTAGAAAGAGCGACCATTGTGGTAGTTTTGTTGGTGGTGTGGTAAGGAATGTATCGGATGCTGGTGGTGGAAATAGTGAATGGACAGAGAAGCGCAGCTTAAGGTACCGGAAATGAATCGCCATGCCGACTCTATAAGTACTCCGAGCAGCGGTACAGTGAATCTGACCAAGGATCGAACAGGTGAGACACTACCGTCTGTCGTAAATTAATTCTCGTGGTTTTGGAGGTCGGGGCGTGCTCCTGGATCATTTTAGTAGCCGTCGTGTTTCAAATTGATATCCCCACCCACTTTTGTCCCCGCTAGCCCGTCTTCAGTGCGTTTGGCATTAGATCCAATAATAACCTCACTTTCAGTCTTTAGTCTCGGAAAGGCTCTGGTAGCGCAAACATTGGTGAAGAGAGTGGAGCTCGGACATTTGACTCAGGGTGGAAAATAGCCGGATTGGTGACTTGACCCTGCTTTTGCTGCTGTTCTCCGCCATAGACGTCAAGGTGTCTGGAGCACTTAGCGATGCTTATTTTAGCACATGGCGTTTCTATTCAGACTCTAACTGAGAAACCGGACTGCTTGGGTGGCCCGGGTTACAAGTCAATAGTTCGTTGAATAAATTAAACGGTGACATGAAGCTAAACAAAGGGAGCCGAGGCTAGTGGTCTACTCCGTACATACCGAAGAGTGCCACACTCAGGGGTTTGAATGACGCTTTGAGGATAGGACACTCCGCATCAAAGCCTGGACTGAACATTGAGAGACAGATGCAGCTTTCGAGTCCACCAGAGCTTGATGATGCGTGAGTTTGCGACAATGAGCGGATATGAAGGGTGGTTGAGATATTTGGTAGCTTAGTGGTGATTTAGAAGTTACTACTAGGTACGTACTGATAGATTACACTGGTCTCATGGCCAATCCAATCACACGGTATGTTTGACTGGGAGAGTAAAATGAGCACATATGACCACAGGGTGTGGAAAACAGGGCTTCCCGTCCGCTCAGCCGTACTTAAGCCACACGCCGGGAGGTTAGTAGTTGGGTGGGTGACCACCAGCGAATCCCTTCTGTTGTATGTTTTTGTCGCCTCCAGCCTTCTTCTTTCGATTATTTTTCTTCAGTCCCCTAATTGTTCTCTACGAGTCTAAATTCGATCGGAAGATGGAGAGACCGATAGCACTTCTTCCAAAGCTACCTGTACTCATACAGTCACTCTATTCAGCACACTTACTGATATTTCCACCATGCCCAAAACGAACCGACCAAGTCTCTCACAGAAACTGCTCGCCATACTCATCACCCTCACCACGCTGCGTATTCGACAGCGGAACCCGACTATACGCGAAGCCCGACTCCGGGAACTCGCCCTCCGAAACGGGGTAGGCCTTGGCTTTCCAAATCGCCTGGATCTTGCTCGCTGTGGCCAGGAAGCGGTCTCGTACGGCCGGGTAAGTGCTGCTGACAATTCATCCGTCGCGTTTCTGGAATTTACCGTCGACGAGCACATGCTTGATGTCACCCACATTGGCATGCAGGATGATGGCCGCAACAGGGTCGTCCCAGCCGAGCATACCGGGGGTGCTACCATCCCTGGCGACCACGTCGGCATTGGTTCCCACGGCGATGATGCCGAGGTCGGGTCGGCGCAGGGCAAGACCGCCCTTGCGCGTGGCCAGTAGAATTGCCTGGTCGACGGACATGGGGTTGTGGGCCGGGATCTTCCAGTTTTGCAGCACCCAGCGGTAGAAGGCGAGGCGGGTGCTCTGGTGCCAGAGCCGTGCCTGCGTCAGGATGTCGGTCGAGTAGGTGAAGCGCACGTCAACCCCCAAGGCGGCCTAGTCCTGGATCAAGTGGCTGCGGGGATTGCCGTGGCCGTAGTGCATCTCCGGCTCGGGCGTGATGTATATATACTGGTTCGTGCTGCGCAACAAGGATGCCCCCTCGCTGGTTAAGAAACTTGCGTGGGAGAAGACCACAGGAATGGCGGTGCTCAGGATCCCCGGGGCATTCAGATCCTCCGGCGAATTGCTGGCTTGGCTATACGCGAACCCGATTAGCAAGCTAGTTCACATAGACTTTGATCTCAAGAGGGGCAACATACCTCGCCAGATACCCTGGAAGGAGTGAGTGGTAATGACGGAGACCTTATACTTCCTAGAGAAGAAGCCTCGGTTATTGACGAACTTCGCAAGTTTTGGTCTGACACCGGGCAAGGAAAGGCATACCTGGCCAGCTCAATGACCTTTTGAATCTGGGCTAGACTACCAGGGTTGAACTCATCGTAGGCGATCCCAAGGCTGGTGGCCGTGCCGTTGAAGCGGCCGCTATTGGCGATTTCCTCGAACTTGTCCATATGCTCGGGAAAAGTGTAATTCATCACATTGTGGAAGGTGTAGCACCGGAACATCCGAGCACCACTGTCAATGCTGGCAGCCAGACCCGGATCGGTGGTCTCAGGTGTTGTGTGCATGGTCTAGGATCGTGGTAACTCCGGCGTTCATCGTTTCATGCAGACCCGCCAACTGACTGATGTAGACATCTTCGGGCGAGTACTCCCAAGTTACCGCAAACTCTCCGTACCGATCAAAATACTCGGCCAGAATGGTGTTGGAGGCAATGGTCTTGTAGGCGGTTTGCCAGCTGTGATGGTGAGTGTCGATGAATCCGGGGGTAATGATGTCGCCCGTGGTATTCACAATGTCAAGGTTGGAGGGAAAGGTGCGATTGTATTGTCCCGAGCAGACAGCCTCGATACGATCTTCGACAACCAAGACGGGGCCGTTTTGAATCACTTGAAGGCTTTTGGTCTCTGCATCGAAAGCGATCACAGTTCCACCGGCCAGCAACTCGAAGGTGAAGGCCTCTCATCTCGCTCGTACGGTGGTAGTGAGGATGCCCGTGAACACCAAGGATGATAGTGAAGGGAAGATCATAGCGTCGGCGTTGGCTGCGGGGGTGGTGTCTTTTCCTGTTGGGCGATGGGAGGTTCAACCATTCTTAGAGGTTGCTTGCTGTCGGCTTCATACCACATGATATGATGAACGAAGATTTGGTCTGGCAAACTTGCTTTCAAATCTTGGTATGTCAGTCAAAAACCAGGAATGAATACGGTGAACTTTATCTAATCAATCCTTAGACAGCACGGACACCTTTCTAAGAGGTGGATGGAATACGTGGAAGATAAACTAAATCCGAGTAGGGAAGATGGAGCGGATTTGCAGCTTGCGTGGGTCGGATCTGGCTATTTCCGGCGGACTTGAGATTGTTTCCGCGGAAGATTTGGGTTCTTCGATCTCCCAAACTCAACCATGAATCCCACTGGATGCCCCATGAGAAGCATCAAAAAAAGGATCATTACGAATCCCTCGGTTGGGCAATGCGACCGGCCTAGTCGCTTGGAAAAAGTCCGGCGACGAAGAGGTACATCAGGCCCGATTGTTTCTCTAGTAGCTTGCCTTCAAAATATCCAACTCGGCAAATAACACAACGCGCCTAACCCCCCCAAAAAGTGGGCCACTGACAGCGAGTTCTTAGAGAGCATCCGGAATTGGTTTCTCATTTTCGCCAACTACATCGGTTCGGCGACCTACACCCCCGGCATTACTGGTGTAAGCAAGGTAGCAACTACGCCCGGGCTGGCACTCTTCATGTGGGTTATGAAATTGGTTCCCAACCCACTACCTTCTACGGTAGCTTTAGACAGACCCTTTCCAACTGACCGTTGCTTTGACTCGGACCCATACTCTGGTTGCGGCTTTGGAAGCTGCCTATTATCGGGGGAGCCATCATTAAAAACCACCCGGACCATCTTATTCTTCTCTGGCTTTGCTGTCATATACGCCGAAGACTTTGGCGTGTTCCTTGCGTTTCGATCTCTGACAGGGTTCTTTAAATATTCCGTTATTGCCGCTGAGGCGACATCAATGGTTGATCTTGGGGATTCTCAAGTGGACGATTGTATGATTCCAATCTGGGGATGTTTTGTGGTCTCCGCTCCGGTCCTCGGGTCCCTGATCGGCAGCTTCACCTACCCCTTGGCGGGGGTGGACAAGGATGATTTGACTACTGCTGTGGATGTCTGGAAAGATGCTTATATCCTGTTCCATCTTTGTCCCGGAGATGCTGTTTTCTCTATACTCTTTACAATCTCTGATTCGACCTTTCCAGCTCTACTTTCTGGAGCCGAGTGACTTCCCGATGAAGGTGTACTGTACTGTACATTGCTCTTATCTATGGGATTCTCTACATCAAGTATGCATCCTTCCCGGTTGTCTTACTCCGAAATCACAAAGATCAACTTGGAAGGAGTATGTCTGATTATCGGTAGCTTCTCTATCATGTCTTCGCGATGGTAGAAGAGGTGTATGAACACTTATTACCAAGCAGTATAGTTAGTTGGTGGGTAAAAAGCCCAAATGCCGAGGAGGCGACTCCTCAATTCCTTACACAATGGTAGTCTCACGCAGGGTCCATGGACTCGGTTGGACTTAGGTCTTTCCGATACGTTGGGTATGCTACGATCGCTGCATACCGAATCCTGGATTGTATTCGTTTCTATGCGATATCACTATTCATATTCAGGCTTCGCATCTCCGCAAAGACGGCTAGAAAGCACAAACTCTCAGGCAATCATAGACTTAGCTATATTTGATGAGAGCCCCATGCACTGACTATGTAACATGTAGATAGGTTTTAGTCAAGTCCCCGAACCCAACCTAAATCCCTTTCTGCTCAGTGCATGGTCTCTTCGAACCACGCTGCGTACCTCCACCATCGTCCGTTTTCCACCCCCTGCCCCTCTGCGTCCCACCTCCTGGCTCGGTCGCTACATGCTTGGGGAGGTCGTCACCACAATAGGTGTGGTTGCGCCCCGGACCATCCAGGATGGGACATATGCGCTCCATGTTGAACTCATAATCGTCCGTCTTCTGACACATTTGGTGGTAAAAGTCCTGGATATAGTCGACGCCGACCTTGAACCATCCCTGATAGTACAGGGACTCGGGCGCCCCGTCCCGCGGGTCGTACAGTAGATCAATGGCCTTGACGAACATCTGTTCTTCGTCCCAACCCGTTGTCTCCTGGCGGCGCGCGATGGGGCGGGGTTCGGCGCCCGCGACAGCTGCTGCACGACCTCGTCGTCGATGAGCAGACAGACCTCGGTCAGGATGCCGGGGACGAGCGGAGGGCGGTTCCGCGATAGGAGGAGGCGATCGCGACACAGCCGACGGATCTCGTCGATCGAGTGGGGTGCGGCCCGCGGTGGTAGGAGCTCGATCACATCCAGACCCAGGCTCTCGCAGATGCTCTGGGGTAAACTTCGAACGGACTCGTGGCAGTCATTGATTTCGCAATGGATGTATGTCTTCAGTTGGTCAATGAGCTGGTTGGCGAAGGGCGGGGATTTCTTTGAGAATGGTGCGTAGTAGACGAAGAATCCCCAGTTGGGATACGTCTGGATATTGAGGTCGAAGAGAAAGTCTTAAGCCGAAACAATCATGTTGGAAATTCTATTAAGGCTGGGTCTGAAATTTATATCTCTATGGAGCCAAGCGAGAGAGAAAGAGAGGGGGTTGAAGCTTCGAGTGGGCACTTAGACGGGAGATAAGGTACTTGGTAGGGCCTGTTTTTACGGGACTACTAGGTAGTCATTGGAGCACAACTCGTTCGGTAACAGTAAAGTTGCATAACCTCACCGATGTTGGTTAAGACCACGGGTCCCAGAAATTAGTGTTCAATAATGAGCGTGTAGCTCTGGCTCTCTTGTCTCCTCCCATTCTGAAGGACTATGGTAAGAAATTCTGTTCTTGTTTATCGGTCAATTTATATTGAAGGTTAATAGCGAGCGAGAGCCATGGGTCGATAATATTAGGAGTCTTTGCTGGGTTGAGAATATTGCACGCAGCCGGTGTATTATTTCAATGTTCAAAGATTGCGGATCTATGCGACGGGACTCACTGAGGCAGTGAGATGTTCGACGGCCTTGAGCTTCCATCCGGAGAAGCCTAATCCTGGCTGCGACACTGAATTCACAAGTGGAGTTTGCATTTCGCTGGCTCTGGCACGCTGCCAATGTTCAGCTATAATGTCTAAGCACGGTGTGCGGCCCATGTAACAAGTACAGCCTACATGTTCGAAGACTGGGAATCGTCATTACAACTGGTTGGAATTAGGCATCCAGAAAGCCAATTGCGCACATGGAGAACGCGTGGACAGTGCCAGTTCATGCTTCGTGGCATACCTATTATGAGCGCACCGGGAACTATCACGTAGCTAAAGGTACCTTTACTACGTCAGCCGACAGACGATGAGCTGAAAGGGGCGATGGGGAAATTTCTGTATCCGTGCAACTATATGCTTTTGTGGACACGGTACGGAGCTCGCCAATTGAGAACGACAATTTGACACAAGAGAGCATTGGATTCTGTATAGCCAATTCCCACCACAGGACCTAGTGCCACCGGCCGATCCTTGCATTTTCATGGTGTCTCCACGAGTACTCGTCCCAGACTCCTCCACTAGAGCCAGGCAGATCAGAGACCTTTCGTCCAGTAAAGGCTATGCCATCGCCAATAAACGTCATGTTGGCTTGGCCCTCAAAGCTGTCGAAGTTGCCGTCTCTGAACTTGATACTGCCATCATCTGGCTCATTAAAGATCTCCCCCTCACCCGTCTCACAGCCCAGCAACTTCAGGAAATATAAGCGACTCGGGCTCTGTTTGGATTTCTTTGTTGAGCGGCCACTTTGAGAAACTGGTACCTTCCGTTTCACCCCCAATTTGGGGCTTCCATCCCCCTCAACCCCACTATCATCCGAGTTGCCATCGATCAAGCCCTCCTCTTGGGAATCATCATCCTCCTCTCGTTCAAGCTCAGCGCAGTACCGCTCTAAAACCCCCTCATCCGCGCAAATGATCATGGCACCCTCCAGAGCCCCAAAATAGAATCCGGCCTCAAAGACGCCCGGGGTCGCAGTTTCGTGGATATCCAGAGTCAACCCATCCGCATCCTCGGGCCACTGGTCTTTGATCTCCTCACAGTCGACAATGTAGCTCCCGACAGGGGATGGAGCCTCCCGAGATTTGCGCCGATAGTCCGCGTGTAGCTTTGCACGGTCCGTCTCCCGCTTCCGCTCCGCAGCCTCGATCTCCTTCTTCTCCTTCGCCGCATGGCCCTTGGCCGCCTTCCCGACCGCAGCCTTGTTCCACCCCATGTAAATCACCTTGGTCTGCGGGCCGCGAGCCGTCTCATGGTGCAGGCCGACCACCTTCTCAGCCGCCTCTCGCATTTGACTCACGCGGTACTCGCTGGTGCACGGGAACGGGATCCCCACTACCGTCTTGGTGATGCTGCGATCCGGGCGCTGAGGATCATCCCCAAAGTACTTCTGGATGACCCAATCCGGCTGTCCGGACAGCTGCTCCGGCGTGCGGGTGGCCAGCCATTCGCGGTGCAGCTGCGCCTCCAACGCGAGGCGATGCGGCTGAGCTTGGGTAGGAACATTGACCGGAGAGTGGCGCCGTCTACGCGCTCGATGCGGCCCTGCGTGGTGCAGAACCGACCGTAGACGGAGGTGAAGCCATCGCGAGTGACGTCTTGTGTTCCAGACATGATAGTGACTAAAAAGACAGAGGTGAACGGATGAAAAGGGAGAGTGTTGCTTGGAAAGTGGAAAAGAGAAGGAATAAATGTGGCCCATCAACAAACAGATGATGAGGATGCGGGCGGTGAGTGTAGCGTCGGTTGATGCTGGTGACGACACATCATGGATTGCGAGTCCGTGCACGCTGTAGCACCTGCCATACTGCGGACATGAATCTTAACCGATATTCCAACCGCGCTTCTTTGTACCTTTATTCAAACATCTTTTCGAGTATTCTCCAAGCAGACAGGATGGAAAATATTTCCTTAAGCACCGACACCAGTATACCAGCTTCCTCTGACCGGCGTCTACTACTTGCTGATGACGGCCAGCAACGGCCTCGAAACTTTCAGGAGGGCGGATCGGCAGGCCCATTTCGATCGACGCTTGCGGGCACTCACCTGGTAACAGCAAAAGAAGGCCATGGGACTTCCTCAACTTTCGGTTGTTCACTGCTCCAATGGGCTATCCGGAACGATATAACTCTTTGCCGGCAGCACAATGTACTGCCATTGGACTTCCTCTTTCGTCGAACTCGTCCATTCTACGTCCAGGACACGTGTTTTCGATCGAGTTTGATGAACAATACGCAGTTGAAGGAATGTAAGTTCGATCGGGTGGAGTCCCTCTTCAAGCTCTCTCTAGTACCTATGCTAATCCAAATGGTCGCAATGGCCATCGTCAGCCGAAGTAGCAACTTCGGCAATATCAACCTGCAGGTAAGGCTCGAAGTCGCTTGATGGCCGATGGTGGTGAGGCGAGCAACACCGCACCCTTTACCTCCTACTGAAACGCTACAGGGTCTTAAGGATCGGTCGACGTGTGCAGTTGCCGTAGCATAAAAGCAACGCGTAGTGCGTACGACGCATCACCGATGAACTGCTGACGGGTCTTCCTTGAGAAGCTTAAGGGAGCCAGCAGTGGAATTGGGTTGGTTAAGGATGGTTATTTCGGAGTTCCGACCGACTAGGGACCACTTATTCGCATTCATAATTACTTACTGTAGGAGGGCCAACTTGATTGATTTACTATGCAATCTTTGTGCCTCGATGACAATCACCAAACCACATTCAGGATCCCAAACTAGAATCTAGTCGATTCTGTACTACATAAGATTAGCTAAAGAAGAATAAACATTGCAAAATAGGAGCATTAGGAGACCGCCCAGGAGAACAGGAAGACAACTCAAATATCTCGAAAGATTTTTTAGTTCGAAGAGGCTACAGTAGTCAACATCGATTCGACAGGCGATAAGGTAGACCAGCAGAACGAGCTGCGGGTCCCTGTCGTTGTGGTTGCTGCCCCATGAAACTAAAGTACCACGTGGGCTTTCCGTGTTGGATCCGACACCCACGATCAAATTTGTCGTCGCTGTCCAAGCAGATCCAGTAATCTTTCTTATCATAGTGCTGATCATCGCGAAGATGGTCCTTATCGGCCGTTCTGAACACGCAATCAAGACAGAGCCCTTCAAAGAAGCCTGCCACGCGACTCGCTGCACATCTGACAACACCGTTCCAGTCTGCGGTGCACACAAGACAGTCTGCCGGTTGGTCCGCTGAAGATTCGATATACGTGTGCATTTGAGCTGCTTCAAAGTGGGCCAAGCGGTCGATCAACTCGTCAATTCCTTGGTGCCTCAAGCAGTCGTTGAGAGGCCAGACCTGGATTCTCTGCAGCTCGCGAAGGTATTCAAACACGGTACACTTGCAACAAGGTGGAAGTGATATTTGAAGCATTGTGGAAACGCGGCCAAGAAGATTCTCGTGGATGGTATCGTGAGAGTGGCACGGGCGGCGTTCAGCTGCCCTGTTACATCCATGCAATTTAGGTGTTAGCAAGGAGGACGTCGCTGTATTCGAGGGGAGAAGAAGACACATGGGACAAGAATGACTGAGACTGTACAATCGAACCTACGCAGAATCGGCGCGGAAATTGGTATTTGCACTTCAGGCAGGCACCACGCGGTGATATGCTCTGTGCTCTGGTACATGAGGGCCCTCGTTGCCCGAGCACAAATTGTCGCATGTTCCAGAGCGCAGCTTGGAAGCATGATCTCTCGATAGAAGCTCAGTTCCATGCCTGGGTCGGCCTGACTTTCTTTGTGGGTGCAACATGCGTCGAACCATTGTGTAAGGTTCTTTGGGCAGATGCGACATTTTCGGCAGTCGAAGATCAGACACCAGACGTCTGCCAAAGAAGCATCGCCCACAGGTTTCTGGTCCAAAGTATTGTGTAGCTTCCGCAAGATGATCTCCAATGCCGTGATGCTGTAACAACCAATCTCAACAACAGTCTCCCGCCCATTCAAGGACTGTTCTAGTCTGCTCCGGAAACACTGGGACGAGTTGAGAAGTGTTCAGCGGTCAACTTGAAACGTTGCGTGTTTGTACACAAGGTCATCCTCCAAGGATCGGTAAATCTGGGTTGCAAACAGCTTCAAGTCAGACGGGACAGTGATAGAAATAGTGCCAGGGCTTTTCTTGTCCACAAATGGTGGTGGGGGCATATTGCAGTGCAAAGGTGAATTAACTTGCAGTGGAAGAACACAGATTTTCAATGAAGAGGATAAATCCAGTATTGTGTGGTAGTTGAGCAGCCGAATACACAGTAAGAATTGAGCGAAGTTTGACAGCGATCAAGAGCTTAGACCAGATGACATAGAGGGTGAGTAAGAATTGCGGTGCACGGAGGAACGTCCCCGCGCAACGGTTTCGGCCTAGCTGCTGATGTGAGCGTTGAGCATTGACTCAAATGCGACAATGAGATGCTGCAAGTAGTATGGCAGTTGTAATTGTTCAGATTCATTCGAAGCAATACCTAGTTGATTTGATCCAATCACCCGTTGCTATCTACCTAGTAGTCATCTATGATTTCAGTCAACGTCTTAGCCAAACAGAGAAGTGGGTCAAGGCTGACTGAGGTAGATTATCCACTTACAAGACAGGTATAAAGCCTGCCGGAGAATGTTATCAGTCTATTATAAACGTGCACAGGCCACCATGCCGGAAATCCAGGCTACTCAAGCCCTCTTCAATTAGAAAGAGTATAAGAAACCAACGCTACCACTCCCAGCCTTGAGTCGACCCGTCCCAGAGTTGTCCCCCCGCCATGGAATAAGGGCGCCTGGCGAGACCCCAGCCAGTCCACCGCAGCGGGCACCACTTCTCCTTCCTATCTGTGGTCTTAGCCATGAAAAAGTTGATGAAATAACTTAGGGAGAAAGGGAAAAGAAGTATTAGCAACTGAACAATTAATCTTGATAGACAAGACTTACAGCGTCGCGGACTCGGCGTCCCAGACAAGGCGGGATGCTCGGCCATGGAGCGGCATGTACCCCCATTTACACAGCTGCCTGAAATAATATTTCCATATTAGTTCAAGATGCACAGCGCATTGAGGAAGAGAGAACAGATGTCCACAGTGGCACAAACAAGTAGTTCTTCCGGAAGTGTTGCCGAATCAGCTCCCGTTTGTCGGGCTCCATGTTCCAAAAGGTGTTTTCTTCGACCGCGATGCGGCTTGCCAGGCGCCGTCCGGGCACCACCTCCCATACGACATAGTTCAGAAAACCATCGGGAACAAGACCCGACTCTCCCTGGCTTGTAATCTTGGAGTCCAGGAGGCGCGGAGTGATCTGGGATTTCTCGCGCGTAAGAGCGCGCAGGGCGACGAGCTCTGGTGGGTCGTCCCATGTCTGCGCTTGCTGGCCGCGGACGGCAGGTGATTCGGCCTCGGTACCCCCGATAGAGAACTGCTTATAGAGCCTCATGTGAGCTTTGATGTTGCGGTCGGCTTTCTTGCAGATAAGGCGGACGGTGGCGTAGGATGCAGGTGGGTTCTTTGGGTTTCCCTTGCTTGGATAAGTTGAGAGACATGTCCGTCGCATGCCTCGAGGACGGTCCGAGTCTCATTGAGTTGAATGGTGGGCTCGATACCGATCTCAGCCTGCGTGAACCAACGGTAAAACATGGTCATCCCGCCTAGAGGTTAGTTTGTGGCTGAAGTTCCTAGGTCGGACAAGCTAGGGTAGAAAGAACGAAAGTAGAGAGAGAGAGAGAGAGAGAGAGAGAGAGAGAGAGAGAGAGAGAGATGATGTTTTCAACGGCATAATCAATTGGCAGATACAGTATGGCTGGAAAGGATGGTTCGGGTGAAGGTTGCGATACTGAGAGAATGAATGCCGGAAGAGGGCTATTACAAGCAGAACCTTGACTGTAAACCTTCAATGTGTGACGTGGGAGCGTACATCGTAAGTCTTCTTCACCTGCTCTTCTGATATTACATTCACACCTTTTGCCAGAATCCCGGGTCCTGATGGCTGTGAATCACTTGTTGTTCCCGGGTAGGCCTACCCATCTAATAGATGTCTTCGTTTGTTAACATCTCTTGCCTCAGACCCTATCAAACGCCCGTCCAGTGTCCTTGTGATGCACCCTAACGATGAACGGGACGGATCAAATCACAAGAGATTACGATTCTAGCCTTGGTAGTCAATGGGTATCTATAACCCAGTCCGGAGAATATTGTGTAGTACGAAGATTCTGTAGACTGATTTCGTATTCTATTGTATTATCGCAGGATATGTGTCTGATAATCTCAAGTATGCCTCTCCCCTGATTCGTTGTGCACTGATGGAGTTGAACGTTGATTCTCACGAGGCTTGGGCCCTCCGGAATCGGTGGTACTCAGATCCATGAGTTCGGTCGGAGGTGAAGCACGTAGGTTCAGGAACGATTCGCGATTGTCGCCTACGCTCTGGTACTGAGTTTCAAGCTCCTTCATACGGATGGCATTGACCCATGAAGTCAGCAGGTAGCCCATAAGCACCAGCACATAGACCGCATTATACAAGCAAAAGATCACACCAACAACGCTAGCCGCCATTGGTGAGCCTTTGAAGATGCCCGAGAAGATGAGGATGCAGATGGAGTTCACGAACTGGATGATCGCTACTGCGATGGCGCGACCATTCATGCTTCGTTCTCGGCAAGGGCGGGCCCAGATCACGAGACCCATCATAATGACATTGATAACCAAGAGGGTTATAGCCTGTGCAACTGGAGCAGACTGGCTAACAGCAATGGTAAGCCCGCCCGTGAAGTCGTATAGTTGCTGTATGGCAAAGAAGTAGTATCTGTCGGCTGTATGGAACAGCTGAATTAATCGCACATTCTTTGCGTCAATGAGTCCCGATGAAAGAGTGTATGCTGCGGTCAGGCCGGACTTTTGACCTCTCCGGACGCAGAAGATGGTTCTCACTGCAATCCACCCAAGGCATACGGTAGTCCCGGCGCACCAGGTTATGGCCAAAACCAATATTCCGGCGGAATCACGCTGTGTGAACTCCCAAAAGGAAAATGAGGCGATTGAGGGGAGGGCATCAGTCAGGAATAGAAGGTACAGGCCTCTGCTACTGTTCAGCAAGCGCATAGGTGCCGACTCAAGCCATCGCGGAAGGTTCTTGTTGTTCGACCTTTTCAAAATAGCATGTCCCAGTCTAGCTGTCGCCAGCCCTACAAAGAGAATAACAGCGACAAACATGAATGAGAAATATGCCGTCATGAATACATTGGTGGACTCAATGCCAGCTCGGTAGGCCATTCGAGTAATACCTTTCACACTGTTTTCGTTACTCTTTGACACGTTCGAACCCGTTCTTCGGAGTAGACTCCTGCCGGAACTGAGGACAGGATCGGAGAACCCCCGCTTCTCTACAATCACTGAGATGCTTTTTGAGTTGTCCACGACAGTGGACGGGGTACCTCCCGTTGCCCGTAAGTACCAGCGGCCGAACGATTGAACAAACCCGATCCGTACAATTCCAATAGTCCACTGGAAGATTTGTGTCCAGGACTGTGCTATAGGTGGTAGTCTAACTGAGCAGAGGCCAAACATTGCTTGCGACTGCATGAAGCTCAACAAATCCAGTGACGCGACGGAAAGCTGTGTGGCGGAATGAAGATGGCCTCCGATCATGGCAATAGCGGAGCCGATCAAACCCAGCCCAGTCATGGCCGCAAGAACCCACGAAACAGCCGCTTGATCGACCGTGCGCCCGTTGGAGAGATCGGCTGAAAGACATGCTATAGATTTTCGAGCCGAAGCACTGTAAATGTATACGAGGATTGTGGAATCAAGGTCCGGAACAGTGTAGCCAATACCTAGCTTACAGTCGCGGTCAGTTTAGGATATTCTGGCAAGGATCAAGAAGTGGCCATGTCACTTACCTGGAATCACTGACACGATGGATGACACGTTCACGCTTGCCTGGGGTATATCGAGTGCGCCAGATGCAAGTGGACAGAGGCTGTCGAGGCCCAAGTCACACAGGCTGATCGTGTCATTGAGGATCTGGTATCCGTACACCAACAGCACCACATCTGCGGTGACATTGCCTGATACATTGAGAAATCCGGTAAACGCGATGTCGAGAGTTCCAGACCGTGTCAATCTGACATCGAAATAGGTCACGCTAATGGCTGTGTTGGGGCCACAATTTGCCAGAGCAGACGTTGAGATAGATTCGTTAGCAAGGACAACTCGAAAGAAGGATATAATGAGCAACAGGCGACATGTTGATTGAGATTTTGCACGCATCCTTGGACGTTCTGGTGTTCAGAGGGTGTAGAGAAGGTGATGCGGGTCGAAGGAGGAATCATCGTAGGCGGCAAGGCGAGTGTGTCTTGGTGGAAGAATGATTTTTAATGATAGCATTAGCCTTGAATTGTGACTGTGACGTGTATTCCGTAACCTAAAGGCTATTTTCGGACCTCGTTACTCACTGTCGGCTAAATTTCATTCAATATATTGGTGCGCACCTGATCTCAAAATGCATACCATCATTCTTTATGAATGATCAAATGATGCTGATTAACGGTATCGAACATTACTCATGGAGAGCAGTACATCTGTGTGGTCCCCCGACTGAGCTAGGCCTCGCCTAAAAAGATCATAATAATGCATGGATAGGCTCGGGTCTGGGCCGTTCCGTACGGAAGTAGCTGGTCTGTTCGATAGAATATGATACTAAAACCATACACTGGCTCGGCAAAGGCTGCCACAGCCTCATTCAGGGACCCACGGGTAGAGACTGGAGAAAGTGTGGAGGGAAAAGGATCCTCACACATCGGTGGTCGGGAGGTCGGGAACTTGGAGCCCCGATGCTCCGATGTAGTTTTAATTTCGCATGTATGGAGAGTGGCCCAGGCACAAGTAAAAATTGAAGTAAGTTGTCCACCCGCTTACATAGACGGCTCTCATTCCGAATCCCTTATGAGCGAAGTGCCATAAGTAGTTGGCTTTAGCAAGGCATGGATTTGCTAGGCCGATCTAGCCTGAGACCCTCCCCTTGTCTACTGTCCGGCTGAGTGCCAGTGGAGAGGATGAAGCGGAATCCCCAAGCCGAGCTCTATATATATGGGTGCCTTGGACAATGTCTTTGCTCTTCCTTGAGGAGAGTAGCCGATTCACACTTTCGAAACAATCAGTATAATTCTCTCTTCTGTCATGGCTCTCAACGTCGAGTATATGGGAGAGTATAACTATGTACCCTCCGTTGCGGCCGCGTCCGTCTTTGCCGTCCTTTTCGCAGCATCGACATTTTACCACACCTTTCAACTATCTCGAACAAGAACCTGGTTCTTCATTGCCTTCACTATTGGGGGCTACTGTATGTATGCACGATCAATTATGTTCCCCTGAGCGGTCGTCGCTGATACAAGGACCGGGAGATGAATAGTTGAGGTGACGGGATACATTGCGGTTAGTCTTTATCCCTCATGCTTTCATCTCACACTTTCTTTCTGCAGAGCAAATCATAATGTTGCTAGGTATAGAGAGCTATCTCAGGTAGCCAATATCCCGACTACGAGCTAGGCCCAATAGCGGTCCAGACGATCCTCATCCTCATCGCGCCCTCCCTCTTCGCCGCCAGCATCTACATGACCCTCGGCCGCATCATCATCATCACAGGGGGCGAGCAACTCTGCCCTGTGCGACGCTCGTGGTTGACCAAGCTCTTCGTCTTGGGAGACATTATAGCTTTCCTCACCCAAGCTGGAGGTAAAAGCTTCTCACTTCCTTTCCCTTCGTTCTTTCCCTTCCAGCAAGGTTGCTAACTCAACACACAAATTCCCGCCCGACCAACAGGCGCCGCAATCCTCGTCCAGCAGAAAGCCAGCAGTTTCTCCACCGGCGAGACGGTCATCAAGATCGGCCTGATCATCCAGGTCATCTTCTTCGGTCTCTTCATCTTGACCAGCGTGCTCTTCCACGTGCGACTGGTCAAATCCGGGTTCGCGGAGCGGTATACGAGAGACGTGCCGTGGAGACGACACATGCACGCGCTCTACATCGGCAGTGTCTTTATCTTCATCCGGTGCATCTTCCGTCTGGTCGAGTACGACCAGGGGACGACAGGCACGCTGTTGCAGCACGAGTACTGGGTGTATATCTTCGATGCGGCGATGATGCTGATCGTTATGGCGGTTTTCAATTGGGTTTATCCATCGGAGGTCACGGAGCTCTTGAAGGGGACTTATAGATGCGGGTCGGGGACGGAGCTGCCGTTGCATGGGTGATCAATCTGCGAATGTGCAGAAGGTGTGGGAAGGATATTGCACATGCACCTCAGTGGCGGTTTGTGGGCCAGCGGTAGAGTGGGAAATATGCAATGTGTATATACTACACTAGTATGTCGGCTTTAGAAACATGCTCACTGCTCCTAACAGTTCTGGGCATGGGAAGAAGATCACAGAACTCCAAACCAGCTGAATGACTCACGAAACTCTGGTCGTCTTTCTGCGTGATGATGGACAGTCATGGTTTTCGGCCGAGAGGAAGGCCACGTCTCCCTTGTAGGTCTGGACGCTTGCTGTCACCACACACAATCACATAGTGTTCTATCCGATCTGGCAGGTGACGAGCTCATGTACATGACACGTGATCAAGTACCAAGCACTATGCTAACGACGCGGAGAGAGAGACGCAAACCATCTGCGAACCATATGCAAATCTAATCCCTCTTGATCTCCACCGTATGAACACTCCTCAAACCCCACAAACTGACCAAAACGGACACAAAGCCCAACGAGCAATTATACCACCACCCGGCGCGATATCCCAGCATGAATGCCTCGGGCCCCACACCAGCCTGCCCAGGGACTTGCCTCGCGAGCACTGCTGACGTCGCGATCCCCACGCTCTTCCCCACCTGCGCCAGGATGTTGAGCACCCCACCGGCGAGGGCCTGCGTCTTGGCCGGAAACGCCCCCGTCATCACTGGGCTGGCGATCGTGTACATGAGATCCGCCCCCAGCGGGTTCAGCGCCATCGCCTGGAAGACGCCAGCCTTGTAGCCTGGTCCGTCGGTGCGGCATAGCGTTGCGAGGAGTAGGGGCGCGATTCCGCTGTCGAGACAGCCGGCGGGAACGGCGACAGAGGGGCAGGTGCGGTAATAACGCGCCGATGGCGATGGTCATCAGCAACCCGCAGATCGGGGCGGGGAGGAAGTGCAGTGAGGAGGTCAGGGCGGAGACGTCGCGGACGTTTTGGAGGCATAATGCTGTGAGTTGTTCGCCGGGGTTCAAGGTGCCCCAGAGGAGGAAGACGGTGATGCAGATGCTCGTAATGGGGAGGTTGGTCCAGAGCGTGTTGGAAATCAAAGCCGGACGACTGAAGCGGGTTTGGCGGTGCATCCAGTAGATAAAAGCTGGGATGAGCAGGGTGGCGATGTAGAGCGACAATATGTTGAGTGGGGAGGGGAAGGTATGAGAGTCATCAGTGATGCTTGTTGCTACGGCGCGTCCGTAGGATAAGAGCGCAAGGCTGGTGCTGATGAGCAGGGTCTTCCCGAGGAGGTGTCGGTGGTCGTGTTCATGTTGTTCGAATTGTTGCATGGAGGCAAACGACGGACGGCTCTGCAGCCTGAGTACTGTTTAGCATAGCTCACTCCAAATATTCTTTTTGGCTCGAAATATCTTCATCGAGCTTGAAAGAATCAGCTTTCAAAACTCGAAAAATACAAAGTCTACGGTGCTAGCTGGGCGGGATACGGGAGCAAATCCCGTTAGGCTTCTGTTCAGCCCTCGGATCAGCCCCCCAATCCCCCCCGGCATAAATCCTTAGCGCATTGTGGAAAATAAGTTAGATTACGAGACGAATACTCTTTGCAGGAAGAAATTCGATCAAGAAACCCGTTTATGTACAGTACAACTATTGAGAGCTAGTGATCCTTATATTCTACACCCTTGGCTCGACCTCACAATTCGCGGAGACAATATTAGATACAACCTTGACTAATAGTATCGGCTCTGATGGTAGTACTGGTTTTGATTCCAGTCTCGTCTATCACGCGAAGTCAAAACGATGAACCTATTATGCGTTAGCTAAATGGTTGTAAAACAACGATATCTACCGGGCGGTGTTACAATGCATGGATTATGCCCGGAATATCACCGAGCAGAGTCAGGACGATATTAATGCAGAGATCGGGTCCACATCCCCGCTTCAACAAGACTGCGAGTGGGGGAATGAAAATGGCCAGTATGACGAGGCAGACGTCTCTGCAGCGGCAAGCGTAGTTAGTCACGTGGTCACCGTTCGGGCATTTCGTGGCAGACTCACGAAGCCGTGGCTGGCATGACGGCGACAGCACACAGGACAGAGTTAAATTATATATATTATATGTTTCGTGTGCGATATTTTCAACTTACAGATTAATGACACGGACGACGTAGACGTCTTATACACAGAATCAAAAAGTGCGCATCCGGAAACTGACATCATAGACTCAAACGGCCCGTATAACCAGAACCGAGCAATCCCGAGACAGGCACCGCACTCACTACCGTCCTAGTACTAAACTACATCACCCCGGCATTCGCCAGGTTCTGGCCCAACTGATCCTCGCGCCCCCGTTCCTGCATCGGGGCCGAGATCTTTGGCCTTGCCCAGTAGATGTATCCTATCTCAAGACCGAGGGCCACCAGAGCACAGAAACTAGACGGGTCAGCATCTCGGGGAAGTGTTCACCGTACCATCCAGAATGGCTTACAATGCGATGAAGCTGAATGCCTCGGCGGCATATTTTCGGCTGCAAGCCGTCAACCCATTCCACAGAATGACACGGCAGTTCACAGCGTTGAAATTCTGCGCCAAGAACACAAAGGCAACGAGCCATCTGCGACACCACGCGTCAGAACATCTCCGGGCATTTCCACACCTACGTGATAATACTACTTACAAGTAGGACATCACCCCATCAGTGATCAGTATTGGCCAGATGTGCCATCTCTGGCGCTTGATCATACAGCTGAAAAGAAGCGCCGCGGAGGTGACAACGAGGGTAACGACAGACTGGACTTGTGTCAGCACGGCAGTGTTTCGAGTTCTAGAACAGCAACGACGGCTTACAATAACCAGACTATAGATGACCGTGAGACTTTTTGTCTCCTGCACAGCCCAAGCAGTGATTCCTAGGACGATCACGGAGCTGATGAACTGGATTGCCCGGGGAAAGTAGGACACTAGGCCTAGAGGATGGTTAAGAAAACTATCCATGATGAAGCTTTCTTTACAAGCACAGATTCGCTCGCAGATCGTGGACCTAGCCAAGGCGTTCAGGGAGTTTGGTGTTGTTATAAAGTGTAGGGGTGGAGCGGAGGGCACTGAAGATCTGCTTCCCCGCAATTTCTTTATTTCGAAAGTCCATGATCTCATTACCCGAGGTCAGCTTGGTACAGCGTCTCAAAGGGGATACCAACTAGTCAGAGAACCCCAAGGGTATGCAATAAGTGGCTCGATGAAATCACCACTTGAAAGGAACAGTCAAGCGATGCTGAGTCAGAAGGGGCTGGATTTGGCTCGGCTGGCGGTATTGTTACCACTGCTGACCCATCCCGCCTGCGGTTTTAGTCAGCCGTACTAACGTATTTGGTAAGCGAGTCGGCCATGTAAGCGAGTCGGCCACCCATGTATTACATATAAAATAGCTGATTTTTAAGTCATATTATCTTCACCAATTTCTATTAAATCTTTTTAAAACTGAATATTAAAAGTTATATATATATAATCTTCTTATCTACAGAATTAAAAGATTTAATTATCTTTATTAGCTTTTATATACACTATTTACATATCTTACAAAAATAACACTTTATTAGAGAATTACCACTGGTAAATAATAGATTTTAGAAGAAAATAAACTAAGTTATTATCTTAAGTAAGTTCTTAGATTATATATTACAGATTTTCTAAAGTATAGATTCTAAGATTGTTGAACTATTCAAAGATTAAAATCAGTTTTGTATATACAATACATAGGTGGCCGACTGGCTTACATGGCCGACTCGCTTACCAAATACGTTACCACGACCCGTGGTACTAAGAAGCTTTTCCATGGATCACGATCGTCAAGTACAGTACCATCTCAATCCCACATATGGTTTGTAGACCTGTCCCCATAGAACTATCCCCGACATTTGGATGCCCTTTTGCATGTGGTTGACGAATCTGAAGCTTGTTGTTGTCTATCCCTCACTACACAATGGTCTCAGCCATGGGCGGAAGTCGATACTCTCGCTAAGGTAGTACAAGGACTGAAGGGCAACAGAGTCTCCATACTGAAGCATAGAGGCTCGGGTTAACACCATCACCGCCCTTCGCTTTCATACTGCCGCTTGAGGTACTAAGAATGTCATGGTCCACGCACAATGCGATGGTGAGTATGAAGGCCCGTCAAGTCCGTAATCAACGTTGGGAGGGGGGGGGGGGGGGGTATCTAATAAGCTATGATGTCGAACTCAATTGGTAAAAAAAAGAAGTGAAGTGAAGTGAAGAAAAGGAAAATCAAAAGAAAAGGGGTTGACCATCATGTTTCACTTTGTAACATGCCCAGCCATAATGCCATGGTTACATACACACTGAGAAGCAGGAGGAAAAGGAGTCGGCCACTGATATCCTTGTATGGGTCAACGACCATGCCGCTTGGCTCCCCTGCAATCTTCTCTCCGAGGTCGAGCCAAGCTGGTTGACCATGTCTCGCACCTTTGATGATAATACAGCACTTTCCGTGTAGTTAGATCCGGTTATCTTCGATGGTGAGTCTATAATAGAGAGAGGAGTATGTTCAGTGTCTGAATCCTGCTAATAGTACAGTAGAAGGGATAAGCTTCAATCATCTTGAAGGGCGGGGTGCTCAGCCAGCTCAGCAGCCGTTGATCTCTCCGTTGGATCCCACACAAGCATCTTCCTGGTCAAATCCAGAAAGTCCTCTTTGTCTTTACCTTCAAGCAGGGAAAGCGTATCCGCGAGTTTGCGCTCGGGAATTAGGTCCGGATACAGGAACTTGCCTTTCTTGCGATTAGCAATATACCTTAATCGAAATGAGGGAGATAGCTACCTTCTTCATCAAAGAAGGGACCATCAAACAAGTCTTCAACCGTGTCACATAATTTTCCCATTACAACCTGTCATTCGTATCTTTGGAGACCACCTTTGATTCGACATTTCCCGGGCCCTTGCAAGCATTTCTGGAGGAGGGGGTCCGAACAAGGCGATCATCTCCGCTAGGTGTGATCTAGCATTATAGTATCCTTGAGCATCGTAAACCTGTGTGTACAGGTTACTGCCTTGGAGGAGGTTCCAAAGCTGCAAAGTATCAGCAGTTAACACATTGAAGGTACATCAACGCACTAGTATCCCCATATTCCAGACATCTGCGCCCGTGTTCCAGCCACAGCCAAGAATTACCTCGGGCGCCCGGTAGTGATGCGGTTGAATCGGCCAAATGCATTTGGCATCAGGATTGAGCTTGATTGCCGATCCGAAATCCACAATCTTGGGGATATTCCTGACTTTTCTCAGCGGCCCAAATTCATTATGGCAGAGATAAACATATCGACCGGCGCTGTCAATCTTGTAGTCCATGGGAATCTTGAGTTGCAATGCGGTAAACTCATCCAAGACCGATGGGTCCTCGAAGGTCATCATGATGTTGTCGAGTTTGAGATCTAGGGAACATCTGATCAGCTTCAAATCAGGAAAGCAGATGTTCATTGATTCGTACCTGTAATACACTCGCCGGTACGTGTGTTTAGCTAGTGAATATATTCACTATGTCTATTCCTTCAGCTTCTGTTACTTTCTGTGAAGTTTGTAGGGAAATTCTGGATATAAAACTGGGCTTCGTCTTTCATTCGCTTAGAACATCTTCTCAACATCCCACATCCGTGGCTCAAAGCATCTCGTCTTCGATTATCGTTTTATCTAAGCCCTGGCAAACACACATCCAAATTATGTAAGTAAATCCCGAGTTTCTTCCAGATATACGACACGGTGCTAAGAGCTGAAGCTTCCTCTAGTCGTTACTATTACGAGATGGATGGGAAGACATCCGATCTCACCAAGTGCTTCGAGGAACTCTATGATGAGATATCCTTCAAGATTAGCGAGATAACTGTAGCATGCACCCAGCGCCTGAGAAACCATGTGGTGTCTCACGATGAGGGTTTGGAGACCGCTATTCGGCAGTGCCAATCTGGGATCCGATTCGGCCTCATGGAAGTGCGCATCCGTCTGGAAAGCCTAGGCGAGCCATGGGCTAGCAATGACTTGGTTGTTCATTGGCAGAACATTATCAATGCAATGAACCATCTCCAGACCACCGATGACCTTGATGCTCTTCTGGCCATAAACGACAATCTACTCGCGATTTTCCTTGCTCAGAACCCGTCGATGAATGCCAAATTGGAGTTAGAGGCCTGAATCTGTCATATGAATTTCATTAAACACCCTTCCTTCCAGGCCACAGCTAATAGGAAATGATATCATACTCTAGCAGGCGAAATCACAAAGCCCTATATCGGAGAGATATTGGTGCCTGCAGGTTAACAGATCCTGAGTATGTCGAAGAAGCTTCGTTGTTGCAGAGTTGGATATCTGTCATGCTTGGGCTGTTGGATTGGAATCTTCATCACCATGATGTAAGAGAGAATGCCAGTGAGGGTCTTGAACTTTTCAGTTTTTATGAACTTGGGTACTCGCTTTCTTGACGCTCAGATTGGAATACTTACATGCATCGATGTATGTTCTGTCAATTGATTTACTCCTTCTTCGGTGATACATGCATACAAGTACTTCGCTTAAAGCAATGCCAGAAGATCATGTAAGCCTGGCTTGTAGACCAACCTGGCTTAGGCTCTTCCAGATATTATGCAGCACAAACACCTCGCGGATGTTTTTGCGGTTCCCTTTATGGGTGGTTGGTGGCTACTCTGGATGACTTTGGCGTAAAGCTTCGTGGTCCTGGTAGTTATTTTGAGCGGAGTCAAATCATTGGAACGCTTAATCGGGCAAATCACATAGCAAGGCATGCCATGTGGCTGAGCTTTGACAACTTTTTCGCGCGTTCCAACGCACACTAGTGCCAAGATATATATCGTTCGAACAAGTAGTAACTTGAAGAAGACCTTTACAGGCTCAAGATCGATCTAGCTCAAGCTGTCTACAACCGTCTAGAGAATAATAGTCCCGCTGCGGGGGTGTACAAGAGTGATGGGAGCATTGTTAGGCCGGGGGTTAGGTACAGATTGTAGTGACCACTAAGTCAGATCCATGTCTGGGTCGTCAATGTAGAAGATCAAATGCTCCAGCCAATGGGAGCACAGGAAAAGCATCATGAGTAATCTGGCCGACCGGACTGCACGTGACTCGACCATTCTTGGGCCAAGACCGGGGAACCAGTTCCAGTTCATCCTATCTCGAGGTCGCGGAATCTCCACAACCCACTCCACATTGATAGCCTGGATAAACCCGCCTTGAAATGCGAGAATGCCAGAAGCTTCCAGCCGCTGATACTGTCTTTCACTACAGAAATCGCGCTTACATCTTTCTGCTGCAAAAGGGAATTCCGGATCCTCGACCGATGAGGCACTCGGTGAGCTCGAGTGGCCCGTGGCAGCGTTACGCCAATGTGTCCGTCCCATGGGGTACCCCGCGTTTCGGAGCGATGATCCACCGACTTGGTGTGCCAAACAGGCCAGCCCGCTGCTTATCCTGACTCCGATAGGCAAGCCGACCAACAACTTCCGTTTTCAGTGGATCCCACCCTCTCCTAGTCTCGGGACAATGAAGGGCGAACTTCTGACGATATGCTGCCAAGCCGCTGGCTGAGTATTAGATGGACGCCATCCCGCTGAGGCGTGATAGCTTAAAAGATCCTTCGGCTCATCTACCTATCCTACACTTAAGCGAAAGCTCTGCGGTCACCTCATTCAAGATGCGGCTTTGGAAACATGATTTTCGGGGCAGGACCCTGATTTTTGCTATCACCGCAGCCTCATGCCAGGCCTTTCTTCTCCTAGGATATGACCAGGGTTAGTGCCGTTGCTGGAGAACCGTGCATCATGTGCTGATATGCATCTAGGCGTCATGTCCGGAATCGTCGGAGCCGACAACCGCTTCGCCAAGGATTTCAACAACCCTGATGCTTCGATGCAAGGCGACATTACCGGATTATATGATATTGGTTGCGTGGTCGGGTCTATTGTTTGCTACTTTGTGGGCGAGAAGTATGGGCGACGGTCCATGCTCTTGACGGGCGCGACAATCATGGTCATTGGTTCTGCTCTGCTTGCCTCATCCTACTCGATAGCACAGCTGCTTGTTGGTCGGATTGTCACTGGTTTCGGCAATGGCATGAACTCGTCTACCGCACCCGTGTTCCAAAGTGAATGCTCACCTGCGTCCTATCGAGGTGCTCTCCTGACTCTTCAGGGTACTGTTACCATCCTTGGAGTGGTCATTGCATATTGGTATGTCGACCTTCTCAGTGACATTAGACATTTGCTCACATACTGCTCTCTTCCAGGCTCGATTACGGCACCAGCTTCTACACTTCCTCTTTCGAATGGCGCTTCCCACTTGCTTTCCAGGCCATCTTCGCCATTTGTCTCATTCTACAGATAATCGGTCTCCCCGAAACTCCGCGTTGGCTGGTCCAACATGACCGACATGAAGAAGCCCGCGCCGTCATCGCCGCCATCCAAGACACTCACCTCAACGACCCAGCTGTAACTAAAACAATCCTCGACATCCAGGTCGTTCTCGATGAAGAGCAACGGGAAGGGCGTTTCCGCTTTGCGGAGCTCTTCTCATGGGGCGAAGTCCAGAATCTCCGTCGTCTTCTGATCACCATCTCGATCGAACTGGGCCAGCAATTCACGGGCTCCAATATGATAAATTACTACGGGCCGGTTTTGTTCCAAGAAACGATGGGGATGAGCCGCAACCTATCGATGCTCCTCGGCGGCGGCATGCAGTGCACCTACCTCGTCGGGTCCGCCATTCCGGTGTTTCTGATGGACAGGTTCGGCCGTCGCTCATTGTTGATGATCTGCTCCGCAGGATTGTGTCTGTGCTTCGTGATGGTCACAATTCTGCTGTCGCTCAACCGCACTGACTGCGCCTACGGCGCGACCGTGTTTATTTTCATTTTCCAGATCTTCTACGGGATAGGCTGGCTGCCTGTGCCGTGGTTCTATCCATCTGAGATCAACACGACGCGAGTTCGGACGCGAATGTCGGCCATTGCATCTGGGTGGAACTGGATGGCTGTGTTTGCCGTGGTGAAGATCACCCCGATCGCTTTTGGTATGTTCAGAATCCAGGCTCCGCTATGGATGAAGAATATTGGAATCACAGCTAACCGTCTGCCGCAGAAAACATTGGCTGGAAAACCTTCATCATCTTCGCTGTGCTCAATGCCGTGTTCATCCCGATGGTCTACTTCTTCTACCCAGAGACTAAAGGAATCGAGCTGGAGGACATTCCTCTGCTCTTTGCAAAGGGTGGCATTACAGGAGGAGTATTCAGTTCCAAGGGTGGCCGGACAGTCACGCCCGGCCAGCATGCCCAGGAAGCTCACGTGGACCGGAAACTGGAGACAGATGTGCAGCAGGTTGAGAATGTAGATCACATTCCGCTCGAAGCGTGAGCACCATCATCGAATTTTAGACACGGACTAGAACTAGAGCTAGAGCATAGAAAACATGCCCAGATTAGGACATAGATGATAGGTTGCATACAATTTGTTGAGAAGCGCAAGGCCGATACAGTGCAGAAACCCATGCTAACATCGTAAGCCCCCGACCCCCGACCATTCCTTACCTCCTTCTCCAGCCCGGAGACCATTTGCAACACCGAGGCGACGGAAGCGAGAAATCACATCTCATCGATCCTGGGCTCTTCTCGCTCCGGGAATGCGCCATCCGACTTCGCAGCGGTTTTCTGCCCGGCTTTCTTGGGCTCAAACTTGATATCTCCGCGATCGGCTTTGACCTACCACATGACCGCATCATTATTCATGCTCTCCCGCAGCGCTTCCTTCGTGGAATGATGGCCGTGGTCAACGTACCGAGGTCTCACTCATCGTAGCCTGCAACTCATCCCACATGCTCTCCTTGGTCTCCTTCTTGTGGATTAGCTTCGGGGGCTCGATGTCGTCCGGGTAGGATGGGGGGATGAACACTGTTGTATCCTTACGTTAGTATGCATTATCAGCAGTCCCAAAGGTGTAGGGATGATTAGATGAAAAGAGGGGACATAAATCAGCTGGAACCCGGGTCAGGACGTACTCTCCTCGCCTTTGTTGCTGTGTAGTTCTTTGTGGTACGGCCGGGTGAGATACGGTCGCAGGAGGAGAGGACGGAGGAAGAGGGTGGAGGAGCGGGTGGGTTTGAGGATTGAGCTCATTGTGGATTGGTTTGTTGTTTGTTGTTTGTGGTGAGTGATATTTTCGATGGATGGAGGTTGTTTGGAGATACCGAGAGCGTTGTTTGCGGATGAGATCCGGGGCCGGTGGGGTTGATATGGGATTCGATGGGGTGGGCGGAAGAACAGCAAGGTTCGGTTGGTGATGTCAGGGGAGGCTCATTTGGGGTTGGCGGATTGCGGCGGTTGTGGTTGAGCTACGGGGGGTGGCGAGGGACTCGTGTTACTTTGCGTCAGAAGTGTTTGGGTGAGTTACGTGGTGGTGTAGCTCTCGCAAATGCGTCTTTTGTTTGGGTTGAGCTGAGAGGAGGAGAAGTTGCTGCTGCTGTTGTTGTTGTTGTTGGAGAAGATAAGCTCTAGTTGTGCTGTAGATCTGATTAGATCGGCTGTGGGGTGAGACTTGACAGGAGCACCGGAAATAGCCTATTGCTTTTCTGAGCTATATGACTGGAAGAGATGAATGGTACTCACAGTGTTTACATCTCTGCTAGCAGCACTTTACTTGCAGCTATACCTGCTTATGTTTCACTGCAGCACACGCGGCGCATCGGAACTGATCCCTGATGGCTTAAGGTCTACTGTACAGTACCCCGGACTCTTATGGGACTTTCCGTCTTTGCCGAGACCCGAACAGCTTGGGAATGAAGTCTTGTTGCCAGAAAGCGTCCCCCATCCTTCAACTAGAATGAGACTTTGCATAATTGGCACACTCCTGGACGACCGAAGTGATTCAGTTAGAGTTCAATTGGCCGTACATTAGTTGTCCACAGAAGGGCCACAATATTCCTTTCATACCGCTAAAATCGACATCTGGGTGTAGGCGTTGTCGTCTTGTTACAGATTTGACTAAGTGATGTTACGCTGGCATACTAATGGAATTCCAAGTTGCTTTTCGTCGAATCGTCGCTGTTTACGAGTTTGACGACAGGGGAGGCCGAGCATTTGGAGCATCCTTACTCTGCCACGTGGTGCTGAAAGCTGGCATTGAGGAAAGCAGGTGAACCGCGGGAATGTAACTCGACATGGAATGAGCTCGAGCCACCTCATTGTTTCATCGAGGCATCGAACACAATGTTATCTCTGCTAGCATATCTACTGGATGTATCCATGGCTCCGGTCTCACGACTGTCACAAACAGCCGGTCGAACGTCTCTTTGAGCTTGCGTCGTCGCCCTGCAAGGACCTCGCGTCCTCGCATTGATGACGTTGACATTGACCCCCTCGCAGCAAAATGCAAGCCAAGCGACCGCACGATAACACTCAGCTTGATGGCTCGCAGCGTGACCCGGTGAAAGAAACTAGACTTGAAGTGTGGAGTATAAATAGCATCACGTGTGGGAGTGTGTCTCAGTCCTCGTTCATGCGCCGTCGATCTTCCTCCGCGGAGAGAGCCTATCGCCAATTTTCGATTCCCAGCGCTCCAATCACTCCCTACTTGGCGAACAAACTTACAATTTCCAAGACTCTCCATCCGCCCATAGAACCAGCGCGACATGTTTCAATCGCATACAAGTCCCTCGTATCCCGCTCGGTCACAGTACACACCGATGCATCCGCCTCTGCATCTGATCGCCCTCCCTCGCGCTTCCTCCGAGATGCAGTGCAACCCTGGCTGCAAGTATATAAGAGCAGGACCCTGCACCACTTGATCGTTTGCTTCTGTTTCCAGAGCAAGGATCCAACATGTTCAGTTCGATTCACTCCATCAACAGTACCATGCTTTACCTCTTTGCTCTCTTTTTGTTTCTGGCTCTTGGCAGTGTGTTCTTTCCATTCTCAACCATTGACCTCCTGTATCTCGCTTTGAATTCTAACAAGACGAACAGAGACCCAGACAACTACATTCGCTACAAGCACCGTCCCACCGCCACCATCCGCAACGACCACACCTCCAATACCCTGCGGGACCTTTCCCTCCTGCCCAGAGTCCCAAACCTGCACAACCGCCGTCTTTTTCACCCCGACCGCCTCCTATACAACCACCGTCACCTGCGTGCCGAAGCCAACTTGCCTAGGCGTTTACGGTGAGTCCAACCCCAATCCCAATCCCTGTCTCTTTTTTTCAGTCTACAGCTCAGCGGCTAATTCGAACACTCGGGGACAAAAGAGGTCTGCTCCTTCGGAAGCGGACTCAGCTGCTGTTCCGGCTACTGTGCTGCCAGCCACTGTCGAAATACCGACCCCAACTGGCCGTACTGCCAGGAAGATATGGGGGTCTGTCGCGGGGATGCGGATTGTTGCTATGGGAATAAGTGCGTGGCTGGGATCTGTTTGCGAGGGGTGTGATGGCGATTGCCTTGAGAAGTGGTTTCGAATGATAAGGTAGTGATAGGGACGGAGGAAACATTGTGGGATGGGCTGCAATGAGACCGAGGGCCGGCCGATGCTTTGGTGAGATGATGACAAAGCAGGTGCTGGGTTCTTATGACTTTTATGATAATGATAGCGCTGCAGAAAGTTTGGAAGTTTCTTCAAAAAGAGGATAGTTCCGAGTACGTCTACAAAAGTCTCTAGTACCTGTAGAGCTGAAAGGGTGTCAATCAGGGGTTATGTCCAAGCTACGTGCATAGTGTCAGGGGTACCGCGGAGGAACGGAAGACGAAGATCTTGACCTATGTATAGACTGGCGTTTAAGAGTGTCTGAGAAGACAGCCATATGCCAAGATATACCACAAGCTACTTGAAGAAATGAGTAGCACCATGCTACAAGCCAGAGTCTGACACCCTGTCCGCAAACTTGGTCCACACAATTACTATTTTGAAATGTCTCAATTGCCTACCTGCAGATCTTCGCTACCTGTCTTTGGCTCTGAGCCGTGTCGTACAGTACTCGAGTAAACTAAACCAATAACCTCGACTAAGCATAATTGACGATCAGTCTAGCTCCCCTGGCCCCACGAGCTACCAGAACCAAGAACCGAGGTACAGATACTTATACATACTCAAAACAGTCGTCCGCCCTACCCCAACGTTAGACTACTAGTGACAACCAGCATCCCCGCCCCGCGCGCCAACACCGCCGATCATCCCACCAAGTGGGGAAGGACCCCTTCCGCCGGACAATCACAGCTCAAACAGAATAATTCCAGAAAGGTCGCCGTTCGGAGATCCACCGTCCCCCAAACCCCGACACCGTCGCTCACAAACGGGGGGAATTGAGTTGGGGCGAACGTGATCGATCTTGTTTCGATACAGCATATCGTGGTTTACCTTCCGTGGGTTCCACGGTACGAGGGTCGATTGACACATCGCGATGGAGACATAAGCTGCATTACTGCAGTGTACAGTACAGCGCACCCAACGGCGCTCTGAAACAATGTCTCATCGGGACCCGCTGTGCCCCTAATTCCGTGGTCTGATATTTGAGACCGATGATGTCAAATTTCTTGGGTGATGGAATCATGATGCTGGATGCTGTTCAGGGGAGCGTCGGACATATAAAGCCAGCTGTCGCTGCTGGAGATCTGAGAAGCAAAAACAACAACAATCACAACCGCGCCATCAATTGACAAGCTCTTCTCAACTCAGTCCAACCAGAAACAAATCAGACTTTCATTCCAGCCAAAATGAAGTTCTCCATTGCTACCGTTGCTGCTCTCGCCAGCGCCATCACCGCCACTGCCGCCTCTCTGCCCGAGCGCTTCACTCTCGTCGCCGACGACAACAGCGCCGTCCTCACTGATGGCCGTACGTGTTCCCCAGCTACCTACCCACCACGCCTCATTGCTACGGGTTTCTAACACATGGCAGAGTACCTCTACATCGGCAACGCCACCTCCGACGACCAAGTCCCCGTCGTCCGTAAGTTGCTTGCCCCTATCTCCCTTCCTCGGAACAACTGTCCTGACCACCTATGCAGTGACCTCCAACTCCGCCGGCGCCCTGACTTACCTCGCCGACGGCGCCGTCCCCACCGCCTTCCAGAACCTGTACATCGTCGAGAACTCCGTCGCCGCCGTGCAGTTCACCGTCCCCCACTCCGGCAACATGCCCGAGGGTGCCAACATGACCGGCTTCGCGGTCAACGAGGACGGCCAGCTGACCCACGGCGACAAGGCCTGGTTTGCCGTTGATGGGTACGGCGATGTCGAGGAGAAGACCGTGTACTGGTACGGAGCTCACAGCTCTGAGTACATGGCTGCCTACCTGAAGGTGAAGGCTGCTTAATTGAGTGATGGATTGGGGTGTAGGACTTGAAGAGGGGAAATCCTAGAAAGATGTATATATTCGAAAGACTTTGAGCAGCGTGTATAAAGATTAGGCGACTGTGGATAATTGATCATTGAATTTACCTCTGCTTCTGATTTGACACGATCAAGTATCTGTTCTTTGATTTCGATATGGCTTGATGTTTGTCACTCGTGAGTTGATTGACGATTTTCCGTATCAACACGTCTCCCTCCTAAATTGTACATTAGGGCGCATAAACCCGATGACATATGTCGTGGTCGGACATTCTTCGGGCGGTCTGAGACTGTCCCTAGCAATAGATACTCACGTCGCCCTTCTTGTCTCCCACTATGTAGGGGGTGGAGTATCGTTTGCCGTCCTGCTAGGAAAGCCGGAAGGCCGCGGGCGTTGAATGCGTACGTCATCGCAACAAACAGAAAAGCCACGGCTAACCGCGGCGCCTTGCCTCGGTTTAACTGCGACCGCCTGCTCCTTTCAAAACTGTCTGGCAGAATCGGGGCGGTCACCCATCCAACTCCATGGAGGAGGTGGTGACCACTGCCGGAGGCTCGAGCACTATTTGGGAGAATCCATGAAAGTGACAGGTGATTTACGGAAATGGGCATTCGAGATCGCTGGTACCGAGAAGGTTTCTTCCATCGAGACATTCGTCGATCTTGTAGCTCACTTCAGTGGATCGGCCGCGGCGCGTCAAACATCCCCAAACAAGGTCAAGTTCAGCACACATCCCAGGGAGTCGTGACATGAACCCCTAGGTCACCTCTCATCTTGGTAATGAGGTTGGAAAGAAAGTGTTCGAGAAGTCCCTCTAAGCCCAAGGTCTGGGGCCCACCTTTCAGAGCGACCATCTTGACAGCCCCGTCAATATGATGCTTCAGCATGATTGTATTGCGAATGTATAGCTATTGACTGTCAGCTGGGTGCTCTGCGCCAGTCACGAGCGGAACGTGCCTCATCATAAGCGAGCATGATTGCCTTTGCGACCGTCGCGTCATCCAAAGCCGGCACCTCGGCCGAAATAGCGCGTCTCAGTGACCGCAGACTTCGCGACTTGTACTGGAGTGTCACTTGCGTGAAGAAGCGTTGCTTCTCCTGCTGCTCCTGCGTGTAGCAGAACGACAAATGTCGACTCGAGGTGAGAAGCACAATGTCGAGAAGGCTGGATTCGGTGATCGCGACAGGGACCCAGATACTATTCATGCGCTGCGAGAAGAGCACCTGCGTCTCGTTGCAGCGCATTAGAGGTATGATCACTGTGACGTCTGTGAGTCGCACACATTCAGGGTCAGCAAGAAGAAAGTAAGTATAGAACTCTGCGAATGCACACATACAGTGATCGAAAAGAAATTGTTCGGTAGGGGATAAGGTCCTTGCGAAACTCATGAAGGGGTCTGTTCTGTCTGCTGGAAGGAAAATGTCCAGTCCAGTAATGGGAAGGTCTGGAGTTTCTTGTGAGAGCCTTGCATGGCGTTCATGTCTCTTTTGTGCCTGGTATTGAAGCGTCCGCAGGCGCCTGGCCTTGGCATGCGCTGAGCGAGCGGCGTGCGACAGGGCGATTCTCCGCTGCGACTCGGTCGCCTTTGTCGGCTGGGACGTACTGATGATAAATGGTACTTCTCGGTGCGCCATCTGGGTAGGGACAGATTTTTCTCACTTCAGTCCAGGGAAGGATAAAGAGTTCGGTGGTTCCCTGAAGTTGAAGCAGGAGGCCATGGGATGGCTGACAAAGCATCTTGGTCCATGCCCGGGCCAAGACCTGCGCCTGCTCGAAATAGCCTAGCGCTCTACCATGTATACGCTCGGATAGACAAATTGGTAGCTGGCTGCGGAATTCATGTTAAGTCCGGCTTCCTTTGTGGATGTCCTTCTCGTACTTGCAAAAGTTTCACATAGCCTCAATGCATGGGTCAGTCTGAGTGATGCCTTGCAACGACCATGATCTCGTGGCCAAGACAGGCGCTTACTACATGTAGACTACCAGGTACCACAGGGTAATGTGGTGCCAACTCTGGAGAGTGCACAGCGGGTGGGAAACCTAAAATCGAGAGGTATAAGAGGAGGAACTAGTCATGCCATAATTACCTTGGAATGAGACCTTTACCTCCTTGTCAGTTATCTCGAAACTGTAGCGATGGAAGGAACAGTGGTCCTCACCGGCGCCAACGGCTCTCTAGCCCTGGGCTTTGTCCAAGCCCTCTTGGAAACCCACCCCCAAAAAACATTGGTTGCGACTGTCCGCAACCCATCTCCAGAACAAGATCCCAATACCGAGAAACTTCTAGCACTCGCTGCAAGATTTCCGAAAGCGAAATTCCACCTCGAGACCCTCGACCTCGGCAAGCTGGCCAACGTGCGCTCCTTCGCAGACAAGCTCTCTCGTCTGATTTCCTCTGGAGCACTTCCTCGCATCTCGGCCGTCGTCTGCAACGCGGCCTCGATTTCCTTCGAAGGAGGACAGAAATTCACCGCCGATGGCTATGAATCTACCTTCCAGGTGTGCCACCTCGCGCACTACTTGCTGATCTTGAAGCTTCTCGGGAGCATGAACCTCACCTCCGGCCGCATTGTCATGCTGGGCTCCATCGCGCACTACCCAGAGAAATCAAATCCATTGTGTTCGCTTCGACCACACTTTCCGGCTGATATGGAGGAGTTGCTCAGACCGGGGCCGGACCCCCCTGCCCTTGTGCACGATAGGGGCTTCCAGCGATATGCCACGGCCAAGCTGGCTAATGTCACGTTGGCGAACGATCTCAATCGAAGATTGAAGAGGGTTTGTTCACTGTCGCCGGAGGTACACTAGAAGAGTTGGCTGACGTTTGACAGGATGATAGGCTATCAAGCATCACGGCGATCGCGATGGATCCGGGTGGTCTACCGAGTGCGAGATCGCAGGCTCAGCAGAAAAGGTCCACTCAAAGGATCTTCGCGGTGATCGACTTTCTCATGCCTGTTCTAAAACACGTCACCACGATGTTCCGGACCACGGAGGATGCGGGACGTGATCTAGTTGCTTTGAGTGTTGATTCGTCTTTCCGGGGAAAGAGGGGTTACTATATGGGTCAAAAAGAAGACATCCCTGCGGCTGTTAGTATAAATCCAGACGTACAAACAAAGCTGTGGGATGCTTGCTGGGGGTGGTGTGGTCTTGCAGCTGAGGATACTGTACTTCGAGATGCTGCTCCTGAAAAATGATGCGACATCGCATGTGGACTGGCTTGAGGGGTATCTAGTTGTAAATGTGAAATAGGATGTACATGTTGACAGAAGATGGAAGTAGAAGAGAATGGAGAGGATGGTTTCGGGACCGAGTGTCATTCAACACCCGGGGGATGGTCACATGCTCTCCAAAATAAGCGGTTGTCGTCTTCGAATTCACCGATTTCAAACGATCCATCCAATTGTTCTGAGTTTCCGAAATTCATCATTCCTGCCAGTTCTTTCAGTCCTTCCTCATGGTCATGGTCTTCTACTTCTTCTGTTTCTCCCTCCTCCTCCTCCTCCTCTTCTTCTTCTTCGTCCTCATTGCCATCATCATCGTCATCATCGTCATCTTCGTCATCTTCGTCATCTTCGTCATCTTCGTCATCTTCGTCATCTTCGTCATCTTCGTC